GCCGTTGTGCTTAAAGGTTTTTTTCATATTGTAAATACATACTAATTGTGAAGAAATGTGACAGATCTGAGATTTTAGTGTCCATGCAAGCTAACCAGTTAACTCGCATCTTGACAGGGCTGTTTGATATACACACATTTTTGGAAAGATACTGTAGAATACAAGACCTGCAAAAATGCCAGAGACCCCTGGGAAAGTGTTTCCCAATACTAACAGGTTCTCATCACATACCATTTAAAGAGATTTCATTTCATTGTAATTATGTTCTTTTAGTCTCTCTGTTTTTTTGTTGTAAATTATTTCATAAAATATGAAACTCACTTTATATAGTACACAAGTGCCTAAAGTAACAGGAAAAGTAGAGTCTTTTGCACATTCAAGGCAGAGAATATTCACTTATCAGCCATGGAATAGTGTGTGGTACTGAAATGGTGATTAGAAATTTTCTAATATATAGAAGCTTAGTAGAGTTTCCTAAAATGTTGATTGAAAAATTGTTAGAGGCCAGAAAAACAGAGGCGAGGAGCAGTATCCTAATTCACATGCTTCACTCTGTTGTCAGAGAATCTGCTAAGTTTTGATTTCCATTAATTAAATTAGTTGCTGTGTTCATGCAACCTCTTCCCATTACAGGAATAAAAATGGGAGGGAGGAGAACAGGTTTTGCCCTTCCAGCTTTAAAATGTAATTTTATATTGAAGTATGATAGTGCTCATCTCTTGATTTCTACTTTTAGCAGAGTAAAATTTGGCTCATTTCAAATGAGATGCAGTTTAAAAATAGAGCGCCTCTGAATGACTTAAATTTTTTTTCTCAAGAAAATTTTTGTTTCAGTTCTTTGAAAGATGTGGGTATGTTTTGGTAAAATTACTGAATTTGTGGTTACTTGTTATTGTACACACCCAAATAATATTTTGTATAATCCCAGAGATCTTGCTGAAGATTTCCCTCCATTCAGAATCACTTTCAAAATCTTAACACCATTTTACACAACATACTTGAATCAATATTGATAGCTCCTTTCTCCTGGTGCCTCTCTTCTCTGTAGTAGTGACAGCTGAGTAAATGTTGTGTTTCATTTGATTCTAAAAATGCATGGTTATGAGTAAGTGATTATTTGTAAATAAGTAATTAAATTCATTTTGTGTCTCGTCATAGGAAAAAAAAATGTCCACTAGCTTTCTGCCTCACCCCACTTAGTATGTTCAGTAAAACTGCTGCACTTTATCAGCAGAGGAGTTTGGTATCTTCTCACCAGAGAGATCAGGCATCTAGTGGGTATATACTGTATGCCAAAGGTCATTAAATAAAATCATAGCTCATGTCTTTGGGCATTTTGAATAGTCAACTATGTGATAATTTTTGTAGCTACTCCTATTCATATTATTTACAAGTACAGCAGAGTGTTTCAATTTTAATGAAAATGGAGGATTGTAATGTTAAGGCATTTGGCACGTGTGAGGACTGAAATTTATATTTTATACTTTTATTGACATACAATTTGCATGCAGTAATATTCACCAGTTTGGGGATAGAGCTATAGCTCACTAGTAGAGTGCTTGCCCTAAGTGATTTGATTCTCAGCACTGCAAAAAAAAACCAAAAGGTTACCAGTTTAAGTTTGAAGTTGGGGATTTTAGCAGATACTGGATTGCATAATCACTACCCAATCATATAGGAATGCATCTGTTCAGCTCAAAGGTTCCCGCCATCCTCTTTTAGTCAGCCTTCCCCTGCAGTTGCTGATAACTGTAGGTTTGCCTTGTTCAGTAAGCAGGTAGAACCATACTGCAGTTGGTCCTTTTGGTCCAGAGCTTTTTCCTCTCAGCACAGTGCTCTTGCGATTGCTCCCATGGTCCACTGAGCCTGTAGCACTATTTGAGTGAACCGCAGTTTGTCACACTGGGTCTAGGATGAGTCAAGCTGCTATCAAAGTGCCAGTGTAAGTCTCTGTGTGAAAACAGGTTTTGACTTTTCCTAGAGAATACCCATTAGCAGGATGCTGTGTGCGCTTGACGTTAGAAGGAGCTGTTCACCTGTTTAAAAATGTGCTGTTCTGCATTTCTGTGCTTCAGTTGCTCTTCATCTTTGCCAGCACACAGTATTATCATCTTTAATTTCAGTTATCCTAATGGATGTGTGCTTGCATCTACCTGTAGTTTGACCTGCATTTTCCTGTTGAATATTTTCCCCCATTTGCCTGTCGTTTTTGATGAAATGTTGATTCAGATCTTCTCCACTTTTTTAAAAAAAAATGTTGTTTTATTATTGCAATATGGGAGGGTTGCATTGCTTCATATGAAAATATTCTGGGTAGACTTCTTTAGGAGATGATTGTTTTGTAAATACTTCGCATCTGTAATTTGACTTTTTGTTTACCTAATAATGACTTTTGAGGGCAAAGGTTTTTAAAGTCCATATAGTTACATTTATCAGTTTTCTTCATGTGTTATCAATTTTTGCCTAACCCCATATCACAAGAAAATGTTCCACTGCTTGTAAGTTTTATTGTACTAGCTTACTATTTAGATACATAATGAATTGCGAGTTTATTTTTATAGGCAGTAGAAGGTTTGAGATTTTTTGGGAGTTTTGTTTCTTTCCATATATTGTCTCCACTTACTGCAGCAGCATTTGTTCAGAAGACTTCTTTTCCCCATTGAAATACCTTGGCATCTTTGTCAGAATCAGTGAGCCTTGTGTGAGAGGGTCTATTTGTGGATTCTCTTTTGCCCTCTGACCTCTCTGTCTTCAGACCAGTGTAACTGTTATAATAGCTTTCTTATATCTTAGCCAGTGTTTTCTAGTTTTCAAAGTATAAGTATTGCTCATATATTAACATTAGCTCTAATTACATTTCTTGATGTAATTGTGAATGTGATAGTGCTTTTGCTTTCATTTTCAGTTTCTAATTATCCATTGCTAATATATAGAACTAACAGTGATTTTGTGGGGGACTTTGTATCTGGCAACCTTGTCAAATCCTATATTTTGATGGCATAGAACCAATAAGGGTGGTTTTTGGTCTCAGATCTCAGATAGAAGCATTTTGTCTTTTTACCATTACTTATGATGTTAACTGCAGCTTTTTTGTAGATGCCTTTTATCAAGTTGAGGAATTTTCTTTCAGTTCCTAGAGTTCTGAGAATTTTGTGATAAATAGGTGTTAATTTTACCAAATTCTTTCATCTCTTAATAATCATTAGTTTATGAGGGCTGTGTTTTGGAATTTTTTTTTTTTTGCCTAAAATGATTTTTGAATGCTCAACTAACCTTATATTCTTGGGATTAGTCTACTTGATCATGATAATGTTATCTTTTACATACATTGCTTGATTTAATTGACCTAGAATTTTGTTCAGTATCTTGTATGTGTGTTCCTGAATAATACTGATCAGTAGTTTTCTTACATCTTCAGTTTTGTCAGGGTAATGCTGGGTTCATAAAATGAGTTGTGTACTATGCCTTCTTATGTATTTTCTGAAGAGTTACGTAGAATTCATGTCATTTCTTCCTTACATGTTTGGTGGCCTTTTGCACAGAAGCCATCTGGGTCTGAAGTTTTCCTTGCAGGAAAGTTTTAAACTAAGAATTCAATCTCTTACACAGAATAAGACTATTCAGGTCTTCCTGAGTGAATTTTGGTAGTTTGTCTAGTTTTACAAGCTGTTTTAGTTTCTTATAACAATAAGTCTTTCACAATAAAGTTGTTGATTATACTCCATTATTATTCTTCAGCAAGTCTGGGACCTGTGGCAATGCACTGGTCACTAGTGTGACCTCTTTTCCCTGTCAGCCCAGCTAGGGTTGTATTGGTGCAGTTGACCTTCACATAGAACCATATTTTCATATTGTTGATTTAAATTTTTTATTTTCATTTTATTGACTTCTGTCCTTTATTGTCTTTATCTTGCCTGATTTGGATTAATTTGCTCCTTTTTTTTTTTTTAAGTGGACGTTTAGATCTACTAATTTAAGGTCTTTTTTTTTTTAAGCAGATTTAGAAACTTTTTATATAAAGGCATTTAATGTTACAAAATTGGTTTTAGGCACCACGATTTTCTATATGCGATAATTGTATTCAATTCAAATGTGCTCTAATTTTCCTCACGATTTTTCTGTGATCTATGCATTACTAAGAAGTATTAATTTCTTTTTAATTTTTTATGTATTGATACCTTTTTGGTTTGAGTTTTTGATTTGATAGTGTTGTGGTCAGCGAACATTCTTTTTGTGATTTTAATCCTCTTAAATTTGAGGCTTCATTTATGCAGTAGAATACATAGGTTTTGTTTTATTTATTTTGAGATTTGTTTTGTGCAACAGAATTCTAACATTGTGGAAGCATCCGCTAAGTGCTGGGTGCACTGTTTCAAAAGTCTTGGTGCAGTCAGATTGTTTTGGTGCCTTTGAAGTTTGCTATGTCCTTGGCAACTCTGTGCCCGCTTGTTTCATGGATTGCTGAGAGAGGAGTGTTGAAATCTTTAATGGTAACTTAAAAAATTGTATTATTTCAAAGTTCATGAAGGACTTGGAGGTGTGGCTCAAGTGCCTGCATAGCAAACACAAGGCCTGAGTTCAAACTCTAGTACTACCAGGGGGAAAAAAAAAAAAGTTAATGAAAAAAAAAAAAAAAAAACCAAAAAGTTAATATTGGGAGTCAGGAGTGTACTTGCTTTTGAGAATCACACAGACTTGCATCTAGTACCATGCCTGCCTTTATCTCCTCAGCAGCCTCTCTGAGTCTGTCTTCTATTTGGTTCAATAGAAATAATCCAGACTTACTGTAAAAGTTATAATAATTTGAGATAATAAATGTAGAATTCTTAACATGGCAGCTGATGTGTAGTAATTCTGAAATACATACTATTTTGTATTTGAATGATGTTTAAATTTTTGTGTAAAAATTTTAATGTGTAATAACGTATTAACTTTCAGCCCCTGTAAGATTATCCTCTGTTACTTCCTGTCTGAAGCAAATTGATTTTTTTGTTTTTCAGATAAATCGAGAAAGCTGGTGTACAATAGAGCCAGGTCCTGATGAGGCATCTCTTTTGGCTTCCAAGCAAAGCCCAGGTGAGAAGAGGTTTTCCACTTCCCATTTTGCTGGGATAACTATCCATGTCTATTTTCTGGGGCCATAGCCCTGTTCTGAGAGCTAATCATCCCATGTGGTACTCTACCCTTGAACACGTTACCCAGTACCCCAGAGGAAGGGATATGTGTGCGTAGGATTTGTAAACATTTGATTTCACAGTTAAAGATAAGCACAAGTCATGTCTTTGATTTTATTTTAGAAGTAAAGTTCATGTGAGGCTTTGTGGTTTATTAGTCGTTGGTGAAAGTGTCTGGTACCATGCATTTACACGGTATAGGTTTTTTACCTGGCAAGATTACAGATACATGTTATTAGGGACTAGGCCTGTGCTTCTTGTCTTTTTCTTTTTTTGGATTAAGCAAAAGTTTAATGAAGAATTAAGTTAAATGAAGTAATGCAAATGTTTGTAAATTTTGACAATTGATAAATTGGGTGGTAGGGAATTTAAATTGCAGAAAATTTGTATACTCTTGAACTTTACCTCTCACCTTAGTTTTCTGTCACCCATAAGGTATTTTCTAGTCTCCAAGGTGATTACAGAAAAAATGTATAAATGTTACACAATAGAAAAAAAAATCAAAGCCTATCACTCACAAAACCAGCAAAACACGAAGGAAGACAGCAAGACTGAATGAAAGGTACGCAGGAAGTGTAAAACATTTAGTAAGCAAGCAGTTGACAAAATGGCAAGGTAAATTTTTCATTATTAATAATTACATTTAGTGTAAACAGATAGTTTCCCCAACCTTCCCAACCAGACACAGGCTGTAACCTGTGGTTCTTAGTTTTGGCTGCACACTGGAATTATGTTGGAGTGCAAGCTTTAAAAGTGCCCAGATTCCTGGATTCCCTTAGAAATAGCAGTTGAATTGGATGGGGCACCACAATCTTTATAAGCTCCTTTGGTTTATCCTGCTGGGTAGCCAGAATTGAGAACACACACACTTTGGAAGAATTTTAGGAGTTGAGGTTTTTGTTAAGTGCCTGTGAGGTGTTAGGAAGGAGAGGTGGAGTTGAAATGATGTTAGGACCTTGCTTGTTGATGACATAGCACAATTGTGATTCGTTTGGATTCCTAACTTTTAACCCAGTTTCAGCACCAGCTCTGTGACCCAAGGTATGTTCCCTAATGTCTGTGTACTCCATTGTCTCACATCTGTAAAGTATTCCTAGCTTTCCTCATTTGGGGAGTTCTATATGGATGACAGGGTTCTGTGTCTGTTCCTACAGCTGCTAAATGAATACTAGCAATTCACATTTGGAGTTCTTTAGTCAGCTTAACCCCAAGCCTGTGTTTACCTCTCCACTTTTTACTCATCTGCTTTAGAAAAAGTGTTAGAAGTAAAAAGTACACTACCTACTGTGTTTTGGCTCCTTTAACTGTTCAGGGCTTTTTCTAAAAGTGTGGCTACTCCCAGCCACCAAGCAGCGAACCTCTCTGTCATATAAAGTTTTCTCACAATTTGGATATACATATGAAGGAAGTGTCTCCACATGCTGCAGTTTAATTTACTCATTAAGAAATGATTTTGAACTGGTTAGCAGTCTGCAAAAAACTGAAACTAGATCCATGTATATCACCCTATACCAAGATTAACTCAAAATGGATCAAGGATCTTAATATCAGACCCCAAACTCTTTAAGTTGATACAAGAAAGAGTAGGAAATACTCTGGAGTTAGTAGGTATAGGTAAGAACTTTCTCAATGAAACCCCAGCAGCACAGCAACTAAGAGATAGCATAGATAAATGGGACCTCATAAAACTAAAAAGCTTCTGTTCATCAAAGAAATGGTCTCTAAACTGAAGAGAACACCCACAGAGTGGGAGAAAATATTTGCCAACTATACATCAGACAAAGGACTGATAACCAGAATATACAGGGAACTTAAAAAACTAAATTCTCCCAAAACTAATGAACCAATAAAGAAATGGGCAAGTGAACTAAACAGAACTTTCTCAAAAGAAGAAATTCAAATGGCCAGAAAACACATGAAAAATGCTCACCATCTCTAGCAATAAAGGAAATGCAAATTAAAACCACGCTAAGATTCCACCTCACCCCTGTTAGAATAGCCATCATCAGCAACACCACCAACAACAGGTGTTGGCGAGGATGCGGGGAAAAAGGAACCCTCTTACACTGTTGGTGGGAATGTAGACTAGTACAACCACTCTGGAAAAAATTTGGAGGCTACTTAAAAAGCTGGACATCGATCTACCATTTGATCCAGCAATACCACTCTTGGGGATATACCCAAAAGACTGTTACTCCAGAGGCACCTGCACATCCATGTTTATTGCGGCACTATTCACAATAGCCAAGTTATGGAAACAGCCAAGATGCCCCAGCACTGACGAATGGATTAAGAAAATGTGGTATCTATACACAATGGAATTCTATGCAGCCATGAAGAAGAAGAAAATGTTATCATTCGCTGGTAAATGGATGGAATTGGAGAACATCATTCTGAGTGAGGTTAGCCTGGCCCAAAAGACCAAAAATCGTATGTTCTCCCTCATATGTGGACATTAGATCAAGGGCAAACACAACAAGGGGATTGGACTATGAGCACATGATAAAAGCGAGAGCACACAAGGGAGGGGTGAGGATAGGTAAGACACCTAAAAAACTAGCTAGCATTTGTTGCCCTTAACGCAGAGAAACTAAAGCAGATACCTTAAAGCAACTGAGGCCAATAGGAAAAGGGGAAAGGACTAGAGAAAAGGTTAGATCAAAAAGAATTAACCTAGAAGGTAACACCCACGCACAGGAAATCAATGTGAGTCAATGCCCTGTATAGCTATCCTTATCTCAACCAGCAAAAACCCTTGTTCCTTCCTATTATTGCTTATACTCTCTCTACAACAAAATTAGAAATAAGGGCAAAATAGTTTCTGCTGGGTATTGGGGGGGGGCGGAGTGGGTGGTAAGGGAGGGGGTGGGGCAGGGGGGAGAAATGAACCAAGCCTTGTATGCACATATGAATAATAAAAGAAAAATGAAAAAAAAAGATGATTTTGAGCTAATTGCATAATCTTGAGTTGTTCAGATTCTTCCTCCATTCCCACCATAAACAGTTAGAATGGTTATTTGCATACCTCCATCTAACAAAAATCTAAGATCTGAATTGTTTCTGAACTTCAGATCTGAGACTTTGATTTTAGGTATAGTTTTTTTGTTAATCCCAGGTATATTTTTTTGTCTTGCAGTTTATGGTTTTACTGTATAAACACATTCTCAAGAGAGCAATAAAATTAGACCATGTAAGATGTTATCTTTTAAATCACTTTCCATACTCTTCAGTACCGGATAAACACAAGATGGGATTATGGTTAGGGTGATTTAACGAAGCCCAGTTGATATTACTGATAGGTTTCCTACCCTGTCCAACTACTGTTTGTTAGCATATTCAGTCATGTGTTGCTTAAAGTTGAGAATATGTTATAAGGAATGTGTCATTAGGCGATTTCACCATTCACCAGTGTGCAAGCATCAGAGTGTGTTTAATGCAACCCTAGATGGTATAGCCTGCTACATTACTTAAGTTGGCTATGTTGCATACCTCTGTGTGTGTGTGTGAGATCATTTTGTGCTATGTGACTATCATTTTTTTAATTTTCTTTTGCACTGCTAGGCAGGTGCTGTACTACTGGAGCTACCCTACCAGTCCCTGACTACTGTCATTTTAAACACAGATGACTAGATAGCATCATAAAAGTAAATGTGCTGCTTCTAAAAAGCTAGTGGCTCAGTGCACAAAAGTTATAGACAGATTTCTATATATATATCACAAAACAGGACTCACCCCCCACTATGCCCACGTTCAGGATACTCCTAAAGATATTTTGAAGCCTGGACTTCACTGGGCATTTGTATCACATCCTGCTATGTGCTAAGGACTAGAATTCTGGTTACTATACATACACACACACACACACACACACACACACATATACATGTAATAAATTATTCCTGTACTCCAAATATTTTGGAAGGTATTAATCATCCCGTTTTGCTGGTATGGAAGTGAGTACTTACGGGATTAAATCGCTTCTTGCTCAAGATCTTTCTTCTAATAAGTAGTCAGACCTACAACCATGTCAGACTGTGGTGGCCTGTAATCCCAGTTACTTGGAAGGCAGAGATAGAAGGATCGTCGTTTGAGGTCAGTCTAAGCAAGAGTTGTTGAGACTCTGTCTCCAAAACCAAGCCTCATGTGGTGGTACACACCTGTAAACCCAGCTACTCTGGAGGTTCAGGTAGTCCTGGGAAAAGCACATGACTGTTACCTGAAAAACAATCCAAAAAGCCAAAAAGGACTTGGGGAGTGGCTCAAGTGGTAGAGTGCCTAAGGACCTGAGTTCACTATTCAGTGCTGCCAAAAAAAACCGTCAGACCTGGATTTAAGCCAGATCCATCTAACTTGAAAACCAGTGCTTTTTGCTTTTGTTTACACTTTGATATGCTATTCCACTTTAGTCATTTCAAAGGGGTAGTGTAGAAGAAACATTTCACTGATTTTACTTAGCAACACATATGACACAGGCTGCGGATTAGCTTTGCCTTTGGGGATTCCCAACCCGCATGAAGGTGACAATGCTATAGTGTTTTGTGGTCCTTCTCTCTTCCTTATTCCTGGGTTCTGCTTTTATGACTCTCCCCCACCACCTCCCCGCTGTTCCCTCCTTCCCTAGCTCAGCAGTCAGTATTCTTTCACACGCTAAACTCTTTTTATCCCAAACTTGGTTTGTGGTCCCTTATCCTGCCTTACATGTATTTTCTGGGTGAGGGATTCCTAGGGGCTGCCTTTGGATTGTCCTGTGAATTTCCTTTCAAATGTCTTGAGCTGGTTTGCTTTCCACTCTGGGATTTAGATGTGGTTGGTTGGACTGCCAGCTGCACAGCTAACAGCTCAGCATAGTTGCTGTGACAGCCCTTTCTTTTCTTGGCCAGCCCCCGTTTTCCTTTCAACCACAAAATGGAGTTTCTGACTTTTTCAGGTAGGAAAGGGAAGGAATAGGAAGATCACAAACCCACCAACTCAACCTAAATTAGTTGTCTTCTATGCCACAAGGAAAAAAGAACCCTTCAGAATACCCATCATTTCCGGTCTCTTAAAAAGGCAAGACTATTCCCATTGAACTAACACTTTCTGAAATTGCCCACTAAGTAAGTTTTTTTTTTTTTTAGCTGAAAGATTTTCACATTAATCCACAGGTACTGCTCATTTCCTGCGGCATCCTTTGTATAATTCTGATGAAGTTATCTCTTAGTTACTCATTTCTACAAGATTACAAATTTTGCATGCAGGCACACACCAAACATCCCTTTTTGTTTGAATACTCCCCAGTACCTAGCCAAATACCTAACTAATAGAAAAAGTAATTTTACTGGCAAGCAATTCATAACCTATACCAGTTCAGTCCCTTCTTAAAACTGTATGGTTAGTACAGGCTAAATAATTTGGTCATGAACTGCTAATTGTTAATTAACTTAGACAAAAACTTTTCTCCAGTGCTGTCTGCCTTCCCCACAAACACACACACGCACGCACGCATACACACGCTTATCCAAGCACAGACTCTAAGAATCAAGAGAAACTCTGGAAGTAATCTGCAGTCTCCTTGTGTAGACATCTTTTCTGTGATACCTCGACATAGCCATTTCATCTGTGTTCCACCCTTCTGGGAAGGTGATCCACACTACTTGCTGAGGCTACCCAAATCCCTGACAATAGTGAGGCTCTTTGATTTTCATTCATTGGTCTTGTTCTGTCCCTGAACAGCACAGAGGAAGTCTACAACTGTACCAAGGCACACTTCGCATGCTCCTCTACAAGCCGAGTGTATGGCTTTGTCTTCACTGTTGCCACTTCACTATTGTGTACACTTTTTTGTTTGTCAGTGTTGTAATTTAAATGTCTACTAGGAACAAATACAGTTTTGCATGATATGGTCTAAATAGCACATAGGAGCAGGACCACTCCATTTTGTATTCCAGTACACTGTATTAATATAGCCCAAAACTTTTAGTTTGGATCCTCCTGAATTTGCTTTTGACCAAAACCTCTTAAGTAGAGTCCTCACCAACTGCTGAGTAACTAGGTTTCCTACTCTTTCTCTCATTACTTAGTGTCACCTACTGATTTGGTAAAGTGTCTGTATATGTCCACATCACTCATTAAAACACTTACTAGAATGAGAGACATCTCTCTGATCTTCAAAACTTGAAGGAGTTTAATAGCCACCTTCTAATTAACTCTTTGAATTCCAAGTTTCACCATCTGTACATCTTTTTATCCCTCTTACTATCAGGTCTTATGTCCCATTTGTTTACAAAACTAATAGGAGAGAATAGGTTAAATACCTCTATTTTCAGGATACTAAAACTTGAAGTACTTCCACCTGCCAGTGTAGTAGTTCCATGAAGGACCCACCTGATTCCTTAGAGTCCCCATCCCTGGTATTGAGCTGAAAACATTCCAGATGATGCATTCTATTTTACACATTGTTCTACCAAATGTAAGATCTTTTTAAGGGGCAGGGGGGAACGTTAAATTACATTTGCTGTTACTTAGAAGAACCCCTAAGTTTAGTACAGTAATGTATTTATTAGCTATCACACCCTTCTTTGTACCACTATTTTGAAAAGGTGGAAAGTTCCAGAAAGAACTTTAGTCTCAAAAGAGAAATTGTAAACACACTTGGTCATATAATTTGCCAGTAAAGGATTTCAGATTTTGTTGGCAAAAGAAAAACATTCTCTAATTACCAAGAGGAGAACATTTTCATTTAGATAGAATACAGTTCTAAATCATCATTTTATCTTTCTGTAATTACATAAACATGGCAAATTGATAAGTTTCATAGAGTAACTATATCAGCCTAAAATTTTAGTCACACATCTCAGATCTATTAATTTGATTATGTTCTTTCTACCTTCTTAATATGTAAAAGAAGAGAGAATGAGATAAGGGGTTAGAAGCAAGAGAGAAAAGGGCTATTTGCTTTTGTAAAAGGCAAGTGAATTTTTAAAAAAGTACTGATTGACTAACTTTTCTTTTTCAGATTGTGAGAACTTCCTGGATGTTGAGCTGGGCAGAGCATGTGCCTCAAAACAGAGAGATTCTGGGAGCGATCCTGACCTCTTCCATTCTCCTAGCAGTGTTACCGACAGCATCATCTCAAAGGTACTGGCTGTTCCTTTCCTTTCTTTTTCTCTGCTGAATCTGATGTTTGCATTTGCCTTTGCTCCACTCTTTTTCATATTATGTCTTTCTTTTGTGCTTGTTCTTCCCAAGGTTAATCATTTCCCTTAATAGATGACTCTGCTAGTAAGTTGTGGTCCAGCTAGCCAGGTTAGGCTTTACTTGCCATCAAGGGTGTAAGTATTGCCTTTTGGAGAAAGGAAACTCCTGATTTCCAGGGCTTAGAAAAGGCATTCTGAAAATTTATTTTCTCCAAGATCATGGCTGGTCACTGAAGGTTTTGAAGCTTCTAAAATCTTGGAAGTTTCTTTAAAAATGAGTTAAGTCAGATGACAGCGACAACACTCTTCAGTGGGCAGGAAGGGACCCCAGCTCAGACTGAGAGAAGTCATGTGTATAAACTAGCCATAGTCATTTCTGATTAATGTGTTGAGGTCTGAAGCACACAGCTGAGCCCGTGATGTCATCCAGTCTGCTGAATTGGAACTTTCTAGATCTCTGCTAGGGAACCCTAGCTTCCTCCCTAGTGAATGGTCATTCACAAGAATCAGCTCATGTTTGCATACACTTTGAGACTAAGGAGTGGGGATGAGGACCTTTTGGTTGCTTTTGCTTGTGTTTGTTTCTCCTTGCAGCAAGTTCTGTTTAGTCCCCTTAGAAGAATAATAGGTTTTCCCACACAAGAGGGCAGATAGTACTCCGTGATGTGACTTAATAGTGGGGGGGGGGGGGGCAGAAACATTGTAGCAACTGCTCTATAGTTCCTTCTGGTTTTATGCTGACTTGGAAGAAAGGATGAAAGCAGTTGCTTTAGAGGGTGATAAAATTATCCCAGAGTTCAGAAGTTACAGTATAGGAATGCAGGCATAGAGTTTTAGAATTCTGGTCTGGAACATACAAAAGCCCCTGTGTACCTTCTTTTTCACTTTTGTCCAGAGACTTGACTCTCAGGTTCCCATTTTACCCTTTCTAGCCTTTTCTACCTTGTTCCTTTCTCTTAAGTTTGTTGTCTTTACAAGGTTCTTAGATTTATGAGACAAAGTTAAGGATTTCTGTCATTGTTACTTGTATTGATGTAGGGGATTCTGTGAAGTGAAAACAGTACCCATTGGGAAGATATGAAGTTACTCTGTGAAGTTATTTAGGAAGAGGGAAGCCAGTGTGATTTTATAAAATATTAGAATTTGGGTGGTTTCCATTGTACCTTTGATGTTTTTAATTGTAAGGACTTTCGTTGTACCCTGGGGAATAGCATTGTTAAGTTCAAGCTTTAAAATAGGCCCACTGATAGTGACTGACATTGGGTCATGGATACTTGGAAGTCTGTTACACATTTATTTATGTTTGACATCTTTTGGCGGGAGGGAGAGGGCTGTACTAGGGGGTTTAAACTCAGGACCTCACAATTGAAAGTCCTCTACCACTTGAGCCACGCCCACAGCCCCCTATCCCACTCCCCCCCCCTTTTTTTTTGCTTTATTTTGCAGATAAAGTCTAGTGTTCTTGCCTCTACTTACAGCCTCTTTACATGGGCCATATATGGGCTGCCACACCCAACTTGGTTGAAATAGGGTCTCACTAACTTTTTTGTCCCAGCTAATCTTGAACTTTCATCCTCCCTGTCTTCACCTCCACAAGTAGCTGATATTATAGGTGTGAGCCACCACATCAGGTCTCTGAAAATCTTAATTGTAAAGTTTTTTTAAATTATTTTAATTAAGGAAATGCTTGCTTGCCTACCGCTTAGACACTTGGCAGCCTGTCTGGGGTGTTACCATCATTGCAGAGTGGTAATTTCTGGTCTCTAAATTGAATGTTTATCTTCCTAAAGAAAATTCTAATTTTCCTTATTTTACCTTCTTATTAAAGCTATGCAAAGCAGTTACAAGATGATTTATACAGATAGTCTTTGTTGTAGATGGTAATTTTTTTTCCAGGATACAAAACAGATAACTTTTTAAAATTGAAACATGCATGCCAAATAGACTGCTACTTACGTTTCATATTGGAGTACCTAGAGAAAGGGTAGACAGGTAGGTGCACCTTTGACGCATGCATGTATGAGAAAGTTAAAATGGCCTGGATGAGATCAGAAGACGTTTTGTCTATTAACATTTCCACTCTCCCAAAGTGGTGGGTGATTAAGAGGCTTTCCTATACATGTTTTTTTTTTTTAGTATTAAAAAAAAATTAAGGGTTGCTGTTACAGAAAATAAAGTTTGTCTCTCTCAGACAAACTAGTTTTGATGGAGTGATTAGTGGTCAGAAGGCATTGAACTGAATTTCTTACATACTTGATCTCATCTCATGTCTAGCAACCCTGACAGGTACATAGGTGGCTTTTATCCTCTTCATACCCATGAGGTAATAGAGACCCTGATTGGTAAAGACATTTACACAAAATTGTGAGCACTTGAGTAATAGAACTGAGATTTGCACCTAGTCTTGACTGTAAAATTTGTTCATGTTTTATTACTTCACTCTGTTTCTAAAACTCTGCTCTGAAAACCAGAAACTTACATTGAAACATAGAACTGGTAGATAGACCATCAGCAACTCTATTAAAAGTCTTCCTCAGCTGTCATCCGCACAAACCTATGCTGCATAATATTAGAATGTTCCAGTTTCTTCCCATAGCCTAACTTCTTCTCCATTCTTTTTTAAAAAAAAAAAAAATCTGTAGGCAAGCCATTGCAACATCTTTGTGAACCATGAGTGGTGTTTTATGTCACTTCCTGCAGCCATTTATTTGACCAAGGCCTTTCAGAGATCTTCTTGATAGCCAACCTTTTCACCTGCATCTCATCTTTCCATTCAGTGCACCTCCTGGTTAAGTGACTTTAGTGAGTGTGCTGAGCTTCATGTGTGTTGGTTAAGAATATTTTCTGGTTTCTGAGGTCTTTATTTTCCTTAGATCAGGAACATAAAATTTACATTTTTTTAAAATGAGAAGCGGTCTTGGGTAGTAGCTCAGAAAATGTGGTGATATGCTAGCATTTGAATGTGAGCTGTTACTTTCCAGGGCACATTGCAGGATATCTTCTGTGTAATGCAAATAATAAATATTTGGTAAATAAGTGAGTAAAATTAAAGAATTGGTAATTTGGCAATATTAATTACGATTCTTTCAGGTATAGTAATAGGATAAAGTGGGTGGCAATCTTTATATTTCTGTGTGTATGGTAATAGATAATGTTTATATCTCTATACATATATATATGTATATATATCTTACTTACATAGTGTAACTTTGATTAGTAAAGCCAAACAGACCTTTTTTCCCCAACATTTTACTATAAAAACCCTGAAACATGTATAAAAGTTGAATTGTGCAATGAACAAATTCTACAGCTTTTTATTGCTTTTGACTTATTGCATAACTCTGTTTCTGTCTACCCTTTTATTTTCTAACCAGTCTAATGTAAATTCCTTGATGCACATTTCAAAATAAGGTACAGAATTCAATACTTGTGTATAGTTGGGGTTTTTGGTAAAGTTTATATGCATGAAGTACATAATCTTGAGGGCTCAGTGGCTTTTGATAAATGCCTTCGTGGACCTTTGTAAACCAAAGCTGCACAGATAATGGGCTGTAGCATCACTTCAGCGTGCTTCCTTGGTCCCTTCCCAGTCAGTCTCTATACAGACCCTCCAGGGGCATCACATATTTCTCCCCACCAAAGATTAGTTTATCACTGCTTCAGAAGTTCATGTGAATGGAATCTAAGTAATACAATTCCTCAAGCAGATATCTAGAAGTGAAATTGTTAGATCATATGTAGGTGTAGGTTTGTCTTACAAGAAACAGACCTTTTTCCAAACTAGTTGACCATTTTACATTCTCTGGTGTTGGATGAGATTTCTGGTGGCCCTACTTCCTTACCAACACCTACAGTTTATTTTAATTTTAACATTTCTTAGTCTGTACAGTGCTGTCTCATCTGTCTCATTATGGTTGTGATTTGCACTTCCTTGATGACTAATGATGTCAAACACATTTTCACATGTTCATTAGCAGCTTGTTTGTCTTTCTTTATGGAGTGTCTATTCAAATCTTTTGCCAATTTTAAAAAATTGGATTGTTTGTTGTTGAGAAGTGGAGTTGCGTACATCATAGATACTGGTCCCTTATTACTAGGTTAGTGCTTTGAGAATGTTTCTCCCAGTCTGTGGCTTGCCTGTTTACCTTCATAAAGGTGTCTTGATGCACTAATTTTTTACATTGAAGTATAATTTAATTTTTCTGCTTTTTGCTTTGCCTGCCCCCAGTCTTGATGTTTTGCTTTAAAAGTTTCATAGTTTTATCTTTTATATTTAGAAGTAGGATCCACCTGTTTTGTTTAAATATTAACAACAGCTCTATAATTTATAGTAGTAGGATTCAATTCTAGCTGTATGTAGAATAACCAAAGAACTTTTATAAAGTACAGCTCATATAAGGGTCCACCAGCCTCTAAACTAGAATCTTGAATTTATTATTTAACCCAACTGAATCTCTTTTGAAAACATGTAGAAGTCTTGGGAAAAATAATTTGGAGATTTATTTAGATTCAATCCAAGATGAAAGAAAAATTATTTGCTGTCGTATTTAATAATTGAGCTCAGCTTTAATTTCTGAATTTCATTCTTCTTTTTGTCTTTTTAAAGTAATGGCTGCCAACTTGTAATAAGAGCTGAATAATTCAGTAAAAATCTATTATGTGAACCTTGCTCTTATCAGGAATTCAAGACTGAAGAAATCATGCAGTGCCCATGAAGATTCATTGTCATTTCTTGGTGGGATCAGAATTAAAAGCACATACCAGGGAGAAAGACTGTGTTGAAAGGGTGTGTTTTAGAAAGAGCTCTCCTTTTAAAATTTCTATGAAGAGGCAACCAAACATACTCTCATTTTGCTAATGCCTTGCAAAAGGGTAAATGACTGTTTTGAGTTTCAGATTGGCAAAGTGCCAGGTCCTTCCTCCTTCCTCTCCCCCCAAAAAAGAAGTCCTAGACTGGGAGTGGTGGTGCACACCTGTGACCCCAGCTACTCAAAAAGCAGAGATTGAGAGGGCCAAAAAACCATGAGCGCCTGTCAGCAAAATAACTACAGCAAAAAAAACTGTTGGGGGTATGGCTCACACAGTAGAATCTGCCTAGCACGTGAGAAGCCCTGAGTTCAAACCTCATTACCAAGCAAAAAAACAAAAGAAAAAGAAATGTCCTTCTCAGACAAGCTGCAGTAGTGAAGGAACACCTTTTCTGTGGTCTGTGAACCATGTCCAAACTGGGAAGAACAAACTGAGACCATATGATGCATGGACACTTTAACTCAGAGCCTTTGTATGTCTTAGAACAGACTTACTGCACATTTTACTTACTGGTGCCCATTGTTTGTTTCCTGGTATTGTTTTGAGAATTAAAAATACAGGTTAAGGATGCATGTATTCATTTCTTAGAACTTCTATAACAAATTACCACAAAGTAGAAAACAACAAACTTACTCTCACAGTTATAAGGCTAGAGGTCCTAAAATCAACATGTTCACTTGGCCACTTTCCTTCTGGAGACTCTATCCCATGTTTCTCTGCTAGTTTCTGGTGCTTGTTGTAGTCTTTGAAATTGCTTGGGTTGTCCAGTCTCTGTTTCTGTCTTCACATGGCATTCTCCCATATATCTCTGTCTTCTGAATCTCTTCTCTTACAAGGACACTCTCATATTTGATCCACATTGACTTCATCTTAACTGGTTACATCTGCTAAGACACTGTTTCCACATAAGACCACATTCTGAGAAGGACGCATATTTGAGGAAAGACCAGTTTAAAACAATAGAGTGGGAAAGCTAAAACATTCTAGAATTGTCCTCTGAAGTTGATACTTAAGACCATTTACATTTTCCTTCTGGGTACAGAATGGTCCAATGAATAGGAACCCTTTAGACTGTCTTCCTGAGTTCATCCTTAACTTAAAAAGAAAAGGCAGTAACTTTATATTAAAATCATAACTACTATGCTATATAATTTACTTGGAAGCATAGTTTATTTTGCAGTTTGACCCAGTGAAGGGACTTTTCTATAAACGACTCTGAAATCTTATCTTTATAGGGGTTTGAAAGATGACTGAGATAACAGAGAACTCTTTGATTTGAAATCACCCTGGGTTCAAATCTTGATTCTGCCACTCAGTATTTGGGAAAGCCCATTATACAATCTGGGCCTCAGTTTGCTGAACTCTCTGTGATTCCCCTTGCATTTTCCCTCAGTCTCACTTCACATGTTATTTTAAAAAACAGTCTAGGAAGGTGAATGCATCAGAGTGGGTGAAAAATCTTAGATTAGCTGGTGAGGTCAAACCCAAAGGTATAAAGGTGCTTTTAGAAGGTAGTATGCTTTTGGTCAGAAGTGTTAAATCAAACCTTTTTAATAAAAAAACAAAAAACAAAAACCCTCCCGTGTATAAGGCTTGATTTCCATTCCAAACCTGAAAGGACTCATTATATTCTCTCCTCTCCCACTCCTTCTCCTCCTTCTCTCTCTCCTCCAAGAACCATATACAGATATATAACATCAGGCTGTTAGATGCCAGAAGTATTTCAGAGAGAAAATATTATCACTTCATCAGAGACCCTTACTAAGATTATTTTATGTATGATTTGGTTTTAGAACACTAAATTAATTGTCAGTGAAAAGAGAAGCAGTCGCTTTCTTCCTTCAGGTATTTGTGACAGACTTTCGGTGGGATATAAGCACTTTTTTAAAAAGGCACTTAAAAACAGCTGTGTACTTGGTTTTGGACTTGGAGCTTCACATTATTGTAGCCACACAACCTACCTTGTTTTAGTTAGTTTTCATATGGCAGAGATCACAGAGACTAATGGTTCCTTCTTTCAGTTGATTATATTAACTGAAAGAACTGACCTAAGGATTATTTCCTCTATAAGAAGGAAAAAATGTGTTTTCTGGCCTAGCACCTCCAGTAAGACAATGGAAAGACAGACCTAGAACATTCCTGTACTGGAGGCCAAGGGGATGATTTGAGTCCAGTAATTTGAATCCAGCTGCAGTTAAGCTTTTTTTTTTTTTTTTTTAATAATATCTGCTTGGAGTCAATTATTGATCTTGCCCATCTGGATCAAATGTGAAGCCATCATCTTGGAGTAACTGAGACTGTCTCCTCAGTCATGCCAGTTTCAACCACATACGTTTTTTCTCCTTTATAGCCTGAGGAAGAGCAGTTAGTCTGTGATATCACAGGATCCAGTTCTGCTGATGACACAGCTTCCCTGGATCAGCATTCTTCTCATGGCAACAACATGTCCATCCCTCAGATTTCAAAGCTAAGCAAGTCTAGAGACCACCAAAGCCCTGATGGCATGTACAGCCTTGGGGTAGGAACTGAAGATGGAGAAAGTGAGAGTGAGCCTGTTGGCTGTGGTGAAATAGAGGAGGAGGAGATGGACAGCATCACTGAGGTGCCCGCCAGCTGCTCTGTGCTGAGGAGCTCCATGCGCTCTCTGTCCCCTTTCCGGAGGCACAGCTGGGGTCCTGGGAAGAACGCAGCCAGTGATGCAGAAATGAACCAGCGAAGGTAAGATGGGAGCCCATTCTGTTCATTTAATGTTTCTATATCTGCTTGTTTTTGAGAAGTTTCTAATTTGGTGCTATTCTTGGTAAAAGGTTTTAAGAGATACTGTGGTAGAGAAGGAATATATAAGCTTCAAAATCAGGAAGGTGTGTGTTTAGACTCGAGCTCTGTAACTTGCATGTAGGTGACCTTGGGTGAATCACTTGACCATTCTGAGCTTTAATTTTCTCATCTGCAAAATACTTGACCTTACAGTGTATTTGTAATAATAATAAGTAAACCATGATTATCATATAGTGAGTGGTAAATAAATATTTATTACTAATGAAATTTATGAATATTGAAGGGAATGTTTTCGTGTCAATTTTTAATTGAGAAATAAATAGGAAGTCTTACAGTCTATTTGTTACTGCAAGTATTATCCAGAATTAAAACCATCTGTTTCTAATGCAGAAGTTTCGATAAGTCTGATTATCAGTATTTAATTCTCAAAAGAGTATAAGACTTATGAAATACCACAGAACTGTTTGGTATTTTCCCATGTGTTCCAAATCGTTAGTAAAAGGTCTTGGTGACTTTTTACAAGTGTGACCCATCCTTATTCCTTCTGTTCAACAACAGGCTGTATAGAGGTTGAGTTTGGTTTCTGCCCTTGACTGCGTAGGTGGATTTGAGCACATAGTTTTAATGCTAAAGAACATGTAGCATGATGCCTGCTGTGATTTCCAGTCTGTTCAGCCAGTATACATTGAGTATTCACTATATGCTAGGACTGTTCAGGTTATGGAGATACAGAGGTAAACAGGACCGTCTCTGCCTTCATGGAGCTCAGAGTAATACCCTATACTTTGCTAGTTTGTTCATTTTCTCAGACTCCTTTAAAACACTTGACCTCATGTAATTTTTAGTTCTGTCCATGAATCAGGTGGTATTATCCCCATATTTGCATGTGAGAAGACTGGCACAGATAAAAATTTACATCATTAACCCAAGGCATATAGAATCCAGGTTTTTGGTCTCGTAGTTAAATGTTCTTTCTACAATCCTGTTACCATTCTGTGGTACAGTTTAGGACGTTAGTCTAAAAAATAAGCAGTGCTCTTTATTTTGCTATGTTGTATTTATATACATTTGAAATCCTAGGTGGCACAAAAACCGAGTTGGAAAGGTTTTCTGTTCCATTTTTGTGCATGCTGTACTTTAAAAAATCATTCACAGTAATAGAAAATGTAAGCGTATGGGGAATGATAACCTGTAGCAGAATTCTCTCCCTAAAGCATGGGTAACTTTTTTTCTTTTTTTTGGCTGTACAGAGGTCTGAACTCAGGGCTTTACACTTGCAAGGCAGAGGATCTGCTTGAGCCATGCCTCCAGCCCTTTTTGCTGTGGTTATTTTGGTCTTGCTCTTTGCAAAGGCCCACCAGGACCACAACCCTCCTATTTTAAGCTTCCCACATAGCAGGAGATGACAGGCAAGTACCACCATGCCCAGCCGTTGGTTGAGATAGGGGTCTCACAAACTTTTTGCCAAGAGTTGACCTCAAACCATGATCTTTCTTATTTCAGCCGCCCCAAGTAGCTAGGATTGCAGGCATGAGCCACCAGCATCTGGCTAAGGCTAACGTCTTAATCAGACATCCTTCACTTAGGTGATTAACAGCATGAAGGAACAGTTTATTTATTGATATATCATTATATATATATATATATTTATATCACTATAGTGGATCCCTTTGTCATGACTGAATGAATTATGTAGCTCAGAAGAGGAAATTACAGCTTACACTACATGACTTACTCAAGATTATATGGTAATATTATGGCTGGTCTGAGCCTAGAACCCTAAGTTATTTGTATTTATTAGCTGTGCGTCATGGAGTCTCCTGTTTGAACTTAGTGTTAAGGGTTACTTAGCACCACTGACTTAATATTCTGGATAAAATGGATGAGTTAGGCTTCAATTATCACTTTAACAGTATGACTAGTTCTTACAGCATTACCTTAATACTGTGTAACTTGAATTTTAAAGTATGAAAGAAAATACTTTCAAAGTTTTGAATGGTACTTTTTTCTGATCCCTTTACTTTTATAACTTAAGAAACTTCATAGCTTTTCATTTATTAACTCCTTGGAACAAAAAGGGAGCTAAGTCATCCTCTACAGAGACCTTTTGGTTCTGATTATTTTTCTCATTCAACATTGTTTCAGTCCCTTACCTTCTGTGCTGTTTGTCCTTGGGGAGTGTGTCTCTTCCAGGCATGGTATCTGTATCTCATGTGTTCATATCCCATTTTGTTTCACCTGCATCACTGACTTCTTCCACCATTCATTTTCAGTTCAATGCGAGCTCTTGGGGATGTTGTCAGGAGACCTCCCATTCATAGGAGAAGGTACAGAGTTCACTGAATTGGACTAACCGTGTTGCCTCTGAGCATATACTAACATGCTTCTCATTCTGTTTACCATGATTGGGCAATCTGTTTTTGAGTGATGTCAGTTCTAATTCAGGCAAATAAAGTATAGGTGATTTCTAATTGCTTGTGTCTATTTCATGACATATGGTAGTTTTTTTGAATTTTTTTCTATTCTTTTATGCTCGTAAATTTTTTTAAATGTATTTTTTCTGGTACTTACTGATTCAAATGACTTTGATAATAGGCTCCACCCCAATTTTTCTAGAATTCAAAAAATTTCCCATTTTGTACCTTTCTAAATAAACTCTGGAAACCCTTGTTTCCTTAAATATTTTCAGCACATTCTTTGACATGTAGTGAAGGCATTATTGCTAGGCCATTGGCACTTTCCATTCCCTGTTGACATCATCCTTCACAAAGCAGTTATAAGAGGCACAGGCTAGCCTCTGAGTCTTTGAATTCCTTAATCACTGTTTGTTAGATTAAAATTTAAGCTACGAATATATGAAGCTGAGAAGTTATTTCTAGTCAAACAGTGCTGATTTGCTTTGTGTTTCCAAATGCTAAGTTTTGTTTTGTTGTTCAGATGTCATTAGTGACCTTTTCTTCCATTGCATGAAAAAGCATTTAGAAATCCAAAAAGTATGGTTCTGTTACTGTTTATTTCTCATATTAAGAGACATTTTTATCCATTAGCTGAATCTTTGTAAAGAAGCAGAGAAGTAGTGAGCTTCTACTTCATGTTTTTCAAGTGAATATTTCCTTTAATTCCTTACTATAGGCAAAAATAAAATTGAGCTTAACTTGAGATATCCTCGTGAATCTCAGCTGATCATTCCTTTAGTTAAGTTACTCTTTGGGAGAACAGATTATTACTGCCTTTTTCAGTAGAAGGCACCTAAAACCTGTGGGCATATGTTTGAGTTTCTCCAGTAGAAGGTCTTCATTATGGACTAAATAAAAACGTGGACTTGATCACATGGTGGAGGACAGGAAGTTGTTGGATTCAGTCCAAACTAGTACATAGATACAATGATCATAAACAATTCAACTTACAGGTTTTCCTTTGTGAAATTTATTTTTGTAGAAAGAACATGGTGTATAATTTACAAGTTTGTAAAATTGAATCATTCTGACAAGTATTAAAGGTAGGAATACTTGTTTTTTTAAAAGTCTAGAACTTCTAAATCTCAAACCAAAGGACCTTAAGTGTTACCCCCAATAACTGAGGAACTAAGTCATTAGAGTACTGTAAGAAATACTCATAGTTATGAAAGGAGGAAGGGCAAACCTTACAGAACATCCACAACTTCTTGGATGCTTAGAAAAGCTAAAATATCTATTAGTCTCCCCATTGTTCTTTATTTTACATTTTCTTCCCAGTCTTCCACAACATTTCACATTCTGAGAGTAAAAAATGAGTTTTCAGGATGATCTGGTAATGTGTACTTAGTTATTGATTTGCCACATTCGGTTTTTTCAAAAGAAATTGGATATTTATCCAATTTCAACGTTTTGGAAGTATAAAAATTAAGTTAATAATGTCAACAAATGGACTTCTGAATCTTAAATACATTTTTAAAGTATATCTTGCTTCTGCTTACATAACTAAATTACAAGTAAGTCTGATTCTGCTTACCAGGCTAGACATGTCTCTTAAGATGTTTATTTCTGCTTTTGCACGTAGAAGCTTTGTACTCTTAACCTCTGTTTAAAATGTTTTATACCATTTAAGTTATTTTTAAGTGATACTTTAAAGATTTCCTTTTAGAAGTGCTATGACAGAAACGTATATATCCTTCCTCCGTTTTCCTTGTCTCTTTCCTCTACCCCAAATCCCCTCTTGGACACCAAGCAGTTGCTAGACATCTTTGAGATGCATTCTTCTGTTGTTCACAGCTTTCCCATCTGCTGGATTCAATAGCGAGCTGAGTGATTATACTGCTGTCCAGCAGGTTTATTTTTATTCCCCTTTTGAAACAAAGCATATCACTTAGAATTTTAAGATCCAAATGGCAGCAGTGTGATTTTTAGATGACAGCTTTTATTATTGAAAAATCCTAACTAGAGCACTGGCGGTGTAGCTCAAAAAAATAAAAAGTCATGGCCTGTTGACACAATTCCATTCAGAGAGTACTTGATCAGTTTTGTTTTGTTTTTTAAGCTCGCTATATTTATTTAGCCTTTCCAACTCCATATTTTCTGCTGTGAAAAATTTTTGCTGGGAAAAATGGATACAAGCTTAAGGTTTAAAAGACCTATGTCTAACTTAGTACCATAGAATTTTTTGTTTTGTTTTTGCCACCTCCCAGTACCATAGAATTCTAAGAAAAATAACTCCACTCCTTATTAAAATCCAGGGGAATGTGGCTATTGTTGTAAGTCTTATTTTTGGCAGAAGATCCTAGTTGAGTAGTTTTTAAAGATGGATACAATTTTGACTATATATCATGCAAGACTGCAGGATTTATGAATCTTCTGGTTTAATGAGAACACATGAGAAAAGGAAACTGATTGCTCAGTGAGCCCACACAGGCCAGTGGTCCAGGTTTAAAGATGCAATGTGAGGGTGTTATGGGAGCCATGGGCTATAAAGACAGGTTGTCCCAGCAGTGGAAGTTGAAATGGCTCTCCGTGAATGTCTGCAGAGAAAGCCATGAGTCGTGTGGGTTTTTCATATTGGACTGGAGACAGCTCCCATAGTCCTTTCCAAAACATTGTCTAGGTAGACATCATTAGAACAATTTTAAGTTTCTTTGGTGCTTATTCTAGTCTTTTTCTAACTTCTCAGTTGTTATATTCCTAAGTTTTCAGATGATTAAATAAATCTGTCTCTAACTATGTCCTTTCTTTTTGAACCTAATAACCCCAATCCTCTTTCCCCTTTTCTTCTTCCATTTCTGTTTCTGCCTTTGATGTCATCCCCAGTATGAGCTGGTGTCCCTCTGGTGTACAATACTCTGCTGCCCTGAGTGCTGACTTTAATTACAGAAGGTATAGTATCATGACATGTCCAGCCACAAAACGGGGAGCCAGAAAATATGGCCTCTGGCTTTTGACTTGGTGCTGGCTTCTGTGTGCCTGGAATGCTGTGGGCATCTGCTTTGGCTGTGAGCGCAGTGTTTGTCGCCTTCCCTGTGGGCTTCACTAACCCAGTTGAGAGGGTATGGCCCAGGAGCCACTCCGCGTACCCTGATGCATCATGTTCGTCTGATGTGGGAAAATGTGTTTTCTCACAGACTTGTCTCTGTGGGATTGTAGACAGTCTTTCTTTGCTGTAGTCTTTCCATAGTCATAGATTCTTCGGAAAACAACGAAAGAAGTAAGGCAACTAATACAATGCCCTGGTCTGTTTTCCTTCCCAATCCACCAGTCAGATCCCAAATTTCAGAGAGTCCTCATCAGCTCATGTTCTTTCAGCCAAATAGCCAGATTTAATTGCTAAAACATTTTCAGGATTAAGTTTTATGGGAAGCATAGATCCAGTTTTCTCAGGCTTTTCAAATAGCTCACAACAGAAAACTAAATTTCTTCTTCACTTAGCCAATCTTCTTAATCCTGGTATTGAAAATGAGTTTTATAGAGATATTTAGTTGTAGTTAGTCATGATTTCTATTGTCATATTACAATAAGAAAAACAAATCTGTTTAATTTGCCCACAAGAGATAGCCAGAGACATATGGCTTCAGTTCATAAGGAATTTATGATGCCAAAAAAATTAAAGTAGCCAGTTTTATAGCAATTAACCACACAGTTTCCCAGAATGGAGCTAACTAAACTTTAGTATACTACCAAATACATTCCAGCTGGGAAGATGTGCGGGGGTGCAGTACTGGGATTTGATTTTAGAGCCTCACACTTGGTAGACAGATACTCTGCCACTTGAGCCATGCCTTCAGCCCTTTTTTTTGGCTTTAGTTATTTCTCAGGAACCAGTGTTGGACTACCGTCTTCCAACCTGCACCTCCCCTATAGCTGGGATTACAGGTGTACACCACCACTCCTGGCTTCCAGCTGGTTCTTAACAGAGGGCATGGACACCTACAACAGTATTTTGAGGTCTTGCTTATTTTAAGGAAGTTATGATAGCAGTTGTAACATGCAAATTATTCTAGACAGCAAACCCAAGAAATATAGATAAATAATCTCTCTGTAGCCTCCTACTTACAGAAAGTGCTTTTTACCCTGCAAACCACAAAGTCTTTATCCCAGGAATCTCATTTAAAATTCCAAATTTGCTTTTTTCTTTTGTTCATAGAAAGACAAAAAAAAAAAAAAAAAAAAAAAACAGAAACACAACTCTCTCAATAGCTTTTCAGTATTTGTTATTTAAAGTGTTTTATGTGGCTGTCTGCAGCTAATAATTCCCAGGAAGTCTGTCAGCAGTTGTTGTGTGGCCAGGTGTGCACAGATGATAATGCTCCTGAGTGACAGGAAGCAAGCCTGTACCGTTGTAAAGGTCAAGACACATGGGCAAGCCACCAGTTTGCCTCCTCAAGCTTACACATGCCCATACCTTTTCAGTGGCATTTGGCATAAGCAGAGCTAATTCTGGCAAAAATTAATTGTATTGAGTCAGTGAAAACACACACATACATTAAAAAAAAAAAGATAAGAGAAATTGGTCTGTCCAATATAGCATATTGATAAAAAGCTGAGAAAATTATCTTAGCTGGCTCAATGTTTAGATAAGTTGAATGAGGCAAGAAACCCTGTGTACAGTGTTCCTTCTCAGCTTTCCAAGAATACTGGGGGAAAGTAGGTGGTGCTCATTTGTGATGTTCTCTCACACAGTTTTACTAGGTGACATAGGAATAATAGGTGAGCAAGGGAGATACAACTGAAAGGATTTTGTATCTTCCTTCCATTCTGAGACTTGTAAGTAGAATGAATTAATGCTGTGCTGTGTGTTCAGTTTCAGTCTGGAAGGCTTGACAGGAGGAGCTGGTATTGGAAACAAGCTATCCTCATCTCTGGAAGTAAACTCTGCAAACTCCAAGGAGCTCATGCACCCTTTCAGTGGTGAGGAACAGGGTGATTCTTTGGTATCACTTTCAGAAGAGAATCTGGACTCAGACCAGAGAGAACACAGGATGTTTGATCAGCAGGTAAGGCTGAAATAGGTATATATTATTCATTTGGAAAAAAAAATTTCCCAAAATATGAACTCATACTAGGAACATAGAAGATAGGGCTTCAGTTAGTAAAAAGCTAGCAGCTATGATTACTTACTCATTAAATAATACACTCAATCTAGCACTAAAGCAAGTTTTTAGCACTTAAATAATATCATTTATCTGCACAGATTAAATATTCATCAAAACAAACTTTTTACCATTGGAGAGTATCTGAAATATTCTTTTACCACCTCAGGAGAAAAATGTCTTACATGTCACTATTGAATTGCCCAGTTTGCAGAACTATGTCCCAAGTTTCTCCTTCCTAAAAAAAATATATACTTTGTCTCAAGCATATTGTCCAGGAAGTAACTCTTCCTTCATTCTGCTTTCTGTCCCTGCTAGAAATCTCTAGACAGCATCTACACTCATTGCCTTCTCTTTCTCTCTACTTAGTCATTTCTTCTTCTCGAAGGTCATGGAATGCCTTGTCAGCTAAATCAAGTGATTTTCTAAGTTATCATCTTCTCAAGTCCCTCATTATAACTTACCACTTTTGACCATTCCTGGGGAAGGGATTGAGTTGAGAATTTAAATTATATGCTTTTGCAGCATCCTACTTTTTCCCTAATCCTTCTTCCTCCTCTTGAGCCAAAAGACTGGGCTAATTTCTGAAAGGGTTCTGAGATACCTCTTAACTCCTCTAAATAAAACATTTCTAACTAAACAGAAAAGTAAAACACCCATCTTTGAATAGGTGACTGCAGTTTGGGGAAAAAAATCTAATGAAACATTTCTAATTAAACAAACAAAAGTGTTAAGCTATTTTTTGACTTGACTGGAGTTTTGTGTAGAAATTTCTTCATTGTACCCTACTACATAGACATGACATGACTAAATACAAAGGTGATGCCAAGCAGTTACCTTAGTAATGACTCTGTTATTTATGCTCATATGAGCCCTGTTGAATAAAGAGAATTCAGGCTTCTTGAAAATCAAAGGCCTGACAGAACTTTGCTTCTTTTGTTGTTGAATTTTACTTGGCTTCCTACATTAGAAAATGTTATAAAGGCTTGGCACAGCAGAGCATGTCTGTAAATCCCAGCACTCAGAGGCAGATGTACAATGATTAAGTTCCATGCCAACCTGGGCTAGATAGCAAGACCCTGTCTCAAAAAGAAAATACTTTTTAAAAATGAGAGCATAGAGAATATGCTTATTGAAACAAGTTTAGATTTATTCAGCTTAATTGTAATACAAAAAACAGAAAGGAAGAAAAAAGCTACTGTTTGCAGCTTTGGTAAAGACCTATATAACGCATGAAAAATCTGAGAAGTAAATTATATTTCAACTGTATACAATTCTTCAGAAATCATTTGCAATGCCAGGTAAAAATACCAGAATTGTAGTGAACAGAATCATAGAGTGGGAGCCACTGTATCCCTTCAGATTCCTCTAAAGCTTCAAACCCGTCTAAGTGACTTGCCCAATACCACGGATTTATTAGCTAAACAGTGTTAAACTCAGCATTTCTGTCTGCAGGTCTCACCGCTTCTTTCCTTGTCTTTGATTTTCTTATTATTAGTTGTGTGATACCTTCTCTGAGACAGGTATTTCCAGAAATTTGACAGGTGACCCTGTCTTTTAGTAAATGATGTTAAAATAATGTTTCTAGATAATACCAACATTTTAATGCCTTCCTGGAACTCTGCTTAGTTCTTCATCTTGTGTGTGACCTCAGAGTGGGTATTTGAGCTGCTTATATCTCTGATCTAGACAAGTTGCCTGCAGCCAACTTCCTGTTGAAAGTCTCTGCCTTTCACTGAGGTCATTTTTCAGATCTCACAGTTGTATTTGAAACATAGCAACTGTTTGCCTCAGATTCCATGGTTACACATGGAACAAGGTCTCTAAATAGTCAGAAGTCTTTGGACTAATTGAGTTGAATTCATGCTAGTAATAGGTTTTCATTGCTTTCTTTGCACATTGTGTGAGTCATAAAGAGACAGATTTTACCCTACTTAAAGCAAAGGGAAGTGATAATCAACATTGGTTAACAGTTCGATTGTGCTTTCTCAATACAAAGGGAGGAAACCAACCCCTTGTCACCAGAAGTGGCAGTGTCTTTCATGGATTTTTGTTTGTTTAGAGGTTTTCTGTTTGATGAGTTGTGGTTGGTTTTTTTCGGCACTAGTGAGGATTGAACGTGGCTTCACAAGCAGCTCTCCCACTTGAGCCACACCCCAGTCCTTTTTGCTTTTAGTTTCTTTCAGGGTCTTGAGCTTTTTGCCGTACCACCTCAACCCACAGTCCTCCCTTCACCTCTTGAGTGCCTGGGATTACAGGTGTGGGCCTCCACGCCTAGTCCAGCTTTCAGGGATCTTTAGTAGGAACTTCTGAAGTTACTGGATTACACAGCCTTGAAACTTCTGTGTATTTAACTGAGAGAGTTAAATTACCAAATGTTAGTCACCCTCATTTTCATGTACACTCAGTCTAGTCTTAGAAGACAATGTGGGAAAGATTTAGATTTCTTTCCAGATGCACTGCTGTTTTACTCATGTGATCTTGAAATACTCTTTATTTGCATCTCAGTTTTTTCAACTCTAAAAACAGTAATAATATTGTATCCTTCTATATTGCTATAGGGGATGTTTAGACTTGTAAAGAACCAGTATTATATGTAATTTGATAGGTCCAGTGCAGGTTTTTTAATGGGTTATGTGTCCAGTAGGTACTTATTAAGCACTCACTAAGCTTGAAGCATTGTTAGAGGCGGTGAGGGATATAAAACCACTATAAAGGATGAATACTCTATCCCTGTTTCTGATGAAAAAAGTGGGGCTCAGCAAAACTGAGTAAGTTCTCAGGAGTTGAGCAGCTGTTAAAGTGGCAGAGCCAAACCAGAATCCAGACCCATCTTACTAGGAAGGTGTTCTTAACCTTTTCTGTCCTGCCTTATTTCACTAGGTTGTGTTGGAGTATGAAGTCTGTGCTTTTCTAAAAACACTGGAACATGTACTTAGAACCTGTTCTTTACTTTTTTACTTCGTAGACATGTCACAGATCTAAGCACCAGAGATTTAATTACTGTACATCAGCCATTTCTTCTCCACTGACAAAATCCATCTCATTAATGACAATCAGCAATCCAGGATTGGACAGTGAGTATGCTACTTATCAAAAATGTTAAATATAGCTTAACTACTTTTTCTGTTGTTTTTCTCACTCTAAGACCCTACAACATTACTTTCTAAAACTTGCCTGCTTCTTCCTCTGAATATATGGCTCAGGGCTTGGAAAGGGTAACATAGAGGTCAGCTCTTTGCTCTTCCTACTTTTGCCATCTAAAGGTCTCCTAATGCATCACATTTCTTATGTTCTCAGGTGTACTATGACACCATTTTTTAAATGTTTTATTTTGAAATTTTCAGACTTGAAAAGGTTGCAAATGACCCTCTTTAGAAAAAAAAAGTTGCAAAAGAGTATAAAGAATTTCCATGTATTCTTCACCTGAATCTCCAAGTGTTACTGTAATTCTGCTTTGCTGGCCTCTTGCCCTCCATATCACGCCCCTTAAAGTGTTTTCCTAAGGTACTCTCCACTTAAGAGAATTAATTATAGGCACAATGTTTCTTTACCTCTAGATAATTTAGTATATATTTCCTAAGAACGAAGATACTCTCTTATGTTGCCAAAGTACAGTTACCCAGATCAGGAAATTAACAGTGACAGAATTCTGTAATCTAATATAGACTTTACCTACATTTCAAATTTTCTTATCTTCCTGGATCCAAGATCCCATTTAGGAGAATATGTTAAAATATGGGATCATGCCTTGGTATTTTCCTTTAATTTGGAAGTATTCCTCAGTTGATCTTTGTTTCTCATGAGCTTGACAGAGGAGAAACCTGGCAAAGTAACTGGTTTGGGCACTTCAGAAATGTCAAGCTCAGAAGGACAAAGAAATTTTGAGGTACATTGTTAATTAAGCAGGTGTCAAGAGGATTAGATCTGAAAGTACTGAATGGGACTGGGTGTAGATTCTGATCAGTTGGCTATAAAAGGTATGTAGAGATGTCGTGACATCCATAAACACAAGACATTTGTGAATGAGCTGCGCAAAAACTTAAGTGAGAAAGATAAATGAGAAACCTCATTTTTAAAAAATGGTGATTTTAGGAGTAATTACAGTGTGAGATTTTGATACGAAGATGAAATTAGAGAGGAAGTGATAGGTTACGTTCCTTGCTGAAAGACCAGGTATGCTGGAGGCTGAAGCAAAGAACGTGAACAGAAACTCCTCGTACCTCTGGTGTTTCTTCATGTCCCCTTATGGAGTTGGAGACAGAAGGAGCTGCCCTGCATTAATGGGATGTCCTGTCTCTCACCCTGGCTTACTGGAGGCTTAGTCTTTTAAATTTTCACAGTGGAATAAGATGTATTTTATTGATGATGATTCTGTTAAGTGGGTCCTCATTTTCATAACTAGCATTTCAAAAACAAATCTGTGCTTAATGACCTGTTCTCAAAAAGGTACAGCTCTAACCTCACAGAACTGCTCCTGGTTTTGTTTTGGTTTGATTTAGATGTTTTGCCAGAGAAAGAGATGTCTTCCCTGTGTTACCTTCCTTCCATGACCAGTAAATTTTGTGACACAGTAGAGGTTCTACTCCTATAACAAGAGATAACCAGTACCAAGAGAATGTGTCTCATAAAGAAACCTTTTTTCCCCATTTCATTTTATTTTATTTTATGTGGGTTTTGGATTTGAACATAGGGTCTTGGACTTTTTAGGCAGATATTCTACCATTTGAGCCATGCCCCAGCTCTTTTTGCTTTAGGTATTTTTCAAATAGGGTCTCACATTTATGCCTAGGCCAGCCTGGGCCACTACCCTACTGTTTCTTCCTGTGTAGCTGTGATGACAGGTACATGCCACCGTGCCTATCTTTTTATTGGTTGAGATGGGGTCTTGGTAACTTTTTTGCTTTGAGCTGGCCTCAAACTGCAGTCTTCCTGGTCTTTGCCTCCCAAGTAGCTAGGATTTATAAATGTAAGCCACCATGCCCAGCTCTTTTTCCTGTATCTTGTGACACATTTTCATGTGCATGAAGCACTTCATTATTTTCCCTCCAAAAAGCAAAATGAGTTTTGACTGTGTGTTTGGTTGCTATCCAAAAACTACAAATAATGCAGCTAACTCCCAGAAACACGATCCTAGAGATTGTGACACATTCTTCGTGTTGCTGGGAAATTTCCTGCTTGACTCACTGAGAAGACCAGAAATCAGTTGTAGACAGCTGTCAAAAGCAGAGTTTTACACAAGAGCTTAGTCCTTCCCTTAATGTAATGCCCTCATTTGATTTGTAGTACCATTTCATACAGGTTTGAATGATAACTAGCCCCACTTACTTCCCTAAACTGCCATATGCTACAATGGGAAGATTAACCAATAATGTTATTATCACCATCTCTCCTTAGTACTTCTCATATATACATTATAAATTTTCCAGCTGTATTTATTATTCTCTAGAAACATGAAAAATCTTTCCTGAACTCACTCTCTCTTTTTTCTGGGGGGGGGGAGGGGCAGCACTAGGGTTTGAGAGCAGAGCCTCTTACTGCTTCAGCTGCTCTCTCAGCACATAGTGAGTCTTTTTTGGAAATGTTAAAACTGAGCATTGAAGAGAAGATGAATATTTTTGCTGAAGTGCATGTGGTATACCCTAAGCATCAGGACCACTGGATATTTCATGATCTGCTGTAGACTCAGATCTCCAATTCCAAATTGCTTACATGTTGTACATGAAAGCTAGACATGGTGGCTCATGCCTGTGGTCCTAGCTACTCCAAGGCCAGTCCAGGCAAAAGCATGAGACCATACCTGAAAAACAAACTAAAAACAACAGGGCAGGGCATGTGGCACGAGCCACATGGCCTAAGTTAATCTCCAGTGTGATCCATAGGTAAATGGTATCACATGCTCCTATAATCTTAGCACTAGGGAGGCAGAGGAAAGATCTCAAGTTGAAGGCTAATGTGGGCCACATAGTGAGACCCTGAATCAATTTTTTTTTTTAAAGGCAACTCTTCAAGTTTCATCTTTAGTCAAAGTCTTCGTAGGTAATAGTATCATCATTAGTATTTACAATTGATATTTAAAGCTGAAGTGTTTAATACACCTAAGATATTTTAACTGATGGTTTATGTAAGCACACATTTAGTAGCTGTATGACTTGGAGCTGGTTATAGAAACTCCCTCAGGCATTCAAGTGTTGAATGGGTGTAATAATGTGATGTGGCTTAAATTGAGTTTATTTAAACTTGTCAGCACATTTCCTGTCGTTTAATAAGCACTTGTTATCTTTATGGAGGGAGGGCTGTAGTTCACAGTGACTACAACAGTGCCAAGGTCTCTTTTTCTCTGACCAGAATTTAAGCAGTGTTAAAGAAACAAAAACTCTGTCCCTCATTGCCTTGCCAGGGCTGTATCTTAAGAGCATGCTCGTTTAGCAACAAAGTGCTTTCTGAAGTCATCCTTGCTCACTGCTGCTCAGCTTTTACCTCTACTCTGTCTTCCTGATAGCTGCTTCTATCACAGTCTTTCATAGCTATTAACTTCTGAGCATCTTTGAAAATGGATATCCCCTGAATGTATCATCTGAAATGTCTTGGGTCATTTGCTAGATTAGAAAAAACAGTCAGATTTAAAACATGATTTCTAAGCTGAGATCTGTTTCAAAATCCACTGATGAAGAAGAAAATACTGAGTAAAGACAGTGACTGAGATATTTCCGTGTCATTTTCTGGGTGGGAAGTGGACAAGGTGCAGCATACTTGAGCAGAAAAACTTCGATGGAGGAGCACGTTTTGCTGGCTCCATTGTGAGGCATGCAGGGAAGATGATTCTGAGGAGAAACCACTCCAACAAAGGCGTTCGTTGTATTTCTTACTTCCAACTCCCACATGCTGGGAAACTAAGATGATTTCATGACAGAATTTAAGAATAAATATATTTGCATATGCAGAGTAGTTTGTTTATTACAGAGGATTCCTTTCCAAGACTAAACAATATTTAAGCTCATTTTTCCCACCCAGATAATGTTCCAAATAGAGAAACTGTTTGTAATGTAGAGCTCTTAAGTACATTAGTGATGATGTTAAATGTTAAACCCCTGTAGATGTTGCTTAATGAAGTTTTATTTTCCCCTTTGTTTGGCATGGCTTGTTATTTATTATAAAGAAGGGTATTCACAAATGGCACTTGCCCGTACGGTTACTCTTAGACATTCACTAACGGAGTGTGCGTTTGCCAAGTTTCTTACACATGTTCTGATGGGAGCAGTAGCTTGTAATTGTACAGCTTGCGGTATGCTGTGAAAGCAAAGTCCACCTTGAGAAAACTGACCTCTAGTTTTTATGCATCATTTGTAGTAGGTCTAAAAGATGCATGACCTGTGTGACCAAAGATCAGAATGAGCCTCAGGAAAGCTAGGCACCAGAGCTAATGAGGGTTTTTTCCTTTTCTCTTTTTTCTGTGCTTAACTGTGGACAGTAGGGTAGAAACTTACTGAAAAGCACATTTTTTTAACATAGTCCTATTTGGAGGTCAGCATTGACAAACATGTCAGAAAGAACAAAAATTTAGTTGGGCAAATAGACTTTATTGATCTTTTGATTAAGTTATAAGTCTTTGTGTACATACTTATGCTTAATATGTAGTAGATATATATATTTGTACCATGTGTGTGTGTTCTTTGAGTACTTTATAAAATTCAATCACTATGTTACCAGAACCTCTTTCATATATGTTGATGCCTTCCATATATGTCAGGGGTATACTTTAGATATTCATACAAATAAGATTTATCCTTAAGATTCATAATTGCTTAACATAAAAGGAGGACACTTTTAGATTCTAGATAAGGTACTTTGTGTCATTCCCAAAATTTACTCACATTTGCAAATACTGTAGAATACACATTATAGTGTTAGTTCTTATGCAGAACTGTCATTGCCTAAAAAGCCAATGTACAGACATTTGTGCCAGTATTTCTGTGGTTTCTGTTAATTGCGCTGGTTGCACAGACAAAGTAGTCTGATACCACTTAGTATTTTGTCTGCGCTACAGACTGGTTTTCATATCAGTAGATACAGGGCATTTTCAAAACCCTGATAAAAAGAAGATTGATTTGCTTGTTTATCCAGTCCATATTTGAGTACCTACTCTTTGCTATGCACCAAACTAGATAGTGGTAGTTGAGGGATGAACTTAGAGGTATGGTTTCTTTCCTAATACCCTACAGATAAGAGAACAAGTAAGTCTAATAGAAAATGGCAAAGGAGACAACTGAAACAAGTATTCAGAGCTGTGGAAGTGACAGACTTCAAAAGTCACAGAAGGCTTACTAAGGAGGTGCAGTAACAAGGTTTACACCAAAGGAAGCTAGGAATTAGCTGAGTAAATTAGTATGTGGAAAGCTAAATCGAAGAACTTGGGTTTCTTACCTGAGGGAATATCATGTAAGATGATTAAAACACTTCACATCTCCACAGAGACAGAGGTGTCTGGAAGGAGAGGTTTGTGGGTCACAGAAGACTCTTGGGAGATAGTGTCCTGGGCTGAGCTTAGCACAGTGACACCAGGGGAGAAGGTGAAGTTCAGAATTCTAGAAGACAAAGTCAAAGAGGTCTGATGAGATGTGCTACAGGTTCCTGGTTTAAGTAGTTAGTTATGTTAGGTACCACTCTCCAAATGAAGGAATACAGGAGGAGGAGCAAGTCAGCAGGAAAGTAAAAAGTCAACTCTTCTGTATTTGTTGAGTTTCAGCTGCCCCCAGGAATCCACCCACAGGTGAGCAGTGAGATGGTGAGGGGTAGCCTGAAAGATAGTCTGCCTCAAACATTAGAAAGATGTGAGGCCCCAGCATACTATATTCACACTGTTAAGAGATGAGAGTAAATGAGATTTGAGGTGGGTGAGAACAGATCTAAATACCAAATCCTAAGAAATACCACTACTAGATATACTTTTCATGTACTTCTAAGAAAGCAAGCTGTAGCTATGAATTGTGACCATTAAAAATAGTTTACTTCTTGTTTTCATAATCTAAGAAGCACATACTTGTTTGGTGACTTTTTAAAAAAGCTTTGGTAGAAGTACACATATTCAGAAATTAAAATAATTTTCATTATCCGTTGTTCATCTCGATAGCCTTTCCTGGAACCCCATAGGCCAGTAACATTATTGTGTCCCACATGGTGGTCCTTTTGCTTTATCCTAGTACCATCCTCTGTGCATGCTCTAATGTCTTTCTGTTAACCCACTCCTCAGCACAGCCGCAGATGCAGCCAGCAAGGCGGATCTCCTTCTCCATCAGCATCTCTCCGCTCCTCCTTAAATCTAAAACTCTCTTTTCTCTTGGCTCTTCTTATTCCAGTGATGAGGACGAGGAGTTGCATAGTAAGTAAGCAACTTTGGTGTCCAGTAGCTGTTCTCCACGTTCAGACCAGCTCTGAAAATGCTGTAGGCTTGTTACTAAAAAATTTAATTGTTTGAGGATTTGTGTCCCCTTGTGTACCATCTTTCATAAATCACTTGACTTCATACATGCCTTTAAAATTAATTCTGATGAAACAATTTTGTTTTCCATCACTGCTAATACAGATTGGTCCAATGGCCTCCTGATTCCAGGGCACCAGGTATCTTTCCAGAACACACCACAAAGGCATAAGGGTTAAGTTCCCATCCCATTCTGTACCCTTTGTGATAATGATACTAATTTCACAAAACTTTCGATTTGGTAAAATCAACTTTATTTTCCATGTTGCTTTTTTTCTGTCTCCTGGAACTTATCTAGTCCATCAGTAGTATATAAAAGCTGGTGTTACGTTTTTTTTCTTTCCACTTTTCAGACCATTTCTTTTTTTTAAAAAAAAAAGTACTTTCACTCTGAGATTAGATCCCATAGATTAAAGGATTGGAGTGTTACACACACACACACACACACCCATGGGTGTGTGTGGGTTTCCTTTCCTACTTTCTCTCCTTTGGAACTTTAATGTTATGCCACAGTCCTTTCAGTGATCTATAGGATTCAGATTAACACATTCCTGGTAATACCTAGTTTAAAAACTTTTTAAAGTGTTTTTTTTTTTTTTTAACTTTTTCAGGGTCAGGCAATACTGTGGTTTGAACTCAGGGCCTCACATTTGTTGAGCCACACACCCAACCCTTATTACTGCAGTTGTTTTTCAGGTAGAATCCTGCATTTTTGCCTGGGGCCAGCCTCAGACCATGATCCTCCTCCCCACTGCCTCCCACATAGCTGGGATCACAGGCATGCACCACCACACCCAGGTTATTGGTTGAGATGGCCAGCCTTTTTGCCCAGGCTAAGCCTTGAACCATAGTCCTCTTGATCTCCCCCTCTTGAATAGTTGGGAATAAAAGCATAGGCTACCATTCCAGGGTCTTAAAACTTTTTAAAGTATCAGTTTTAGTAAACTTGGAAAGGAAGTGAATCCTGTCTTCATGAAAATCATTGTCTTCAATTATATTTCTATAACATTCTGGGGTTGGTATTTTTAAAGTTAAGCAATTAATTGTTTTCATGTACCTGATTTTATGTGTCTCAGTTATATCTGTTTGATTGTGCACCCTGATTCCTCTGGTCTGAAGTTGGAGCAATATATAAGTATTACGTCTGGCTACCATTATTACACTGCTTTTAAAGCAAAGTGCCTTTGGCATAGTAGCATGATTTAGTTGGTTTTAAATGGAGAGCTTATTAGTTTCCATCTGTTTTTCACTATCAAAAGATATTTGACAAGAAGACACATAAAATACTTATTTTATATTCATTGTAGTAGGAGGAAAGTTATAAGAATCCACTTCAACTTTGGGTGTTTAAAATTTTCCAAATGCTTTATCTTAAGGTATTGATAATACTCTAGAAAATAGCCAAGTTATCTTGACAAATTAACCAAAGTCCCCATAGCATTTTGTCTGCCACTAATAAACTGTAATCACATAACTGCACTGGTGACAGTTAATCTGACATGATGATGCAATCCTAAACATATAGAAGCTGCAGAAGCCTTTGAGTCAAATGTGTGGCATTTCTCAAGCTGTGCCCCTTAACTGAAAAACACTAGTAAGAATTAAAAGTGCTGATGTGTGTACACTGTGAGGTTCTAAGGCATTGTTCTTTATGCTGTGTTTCCCAGATTTATTAATAAGGAAACTAATACGTCAGGACCATCTCTACTGCTCACGACTTCAGCAGTCTGTAGAGCACACTTTGAAAAGTAACTGGCTATGTGGACAGACATAGTATAATACTATTCCTGGGTATAGGATAATAACACGAAGGTGGTACTGTGTCTTAAAAGAAAATCTGGTTGAAATTTGAACAAATATTTTATGGGCAGATCACACATTTTTTTAGTTTTTAGTTTATTCCACAGAAATCTGGTAGTTTATTCTTGCTCAGGCTTATTGTTGCTTCTTTTTCTACACTGTGAATTTTATTTTGTTACTATTACTATGGCAGTAACTTAATAGGTAATTGCCGAGATGCACAACAGGATTGTGCCCTCCTAACAGAATTTAATGCTGCTTATGTCATTGAAGACCCCTTGGATGGGAAAAGGTTTTTAAGTCACTTACTTAACTCACCCTATTGATTTTTTGAAAAACTGAGACGTAGTTTCACTCGTAGATTGTGCAGAACTGGGAAGACCCCAGATGCCCTTACTCTTACTCAAGGTCTCAGCCTCATGCCTGCCTGTTGTTACCAGGCATCTAAGTGCAGGTAGAGAACAGGAGAAAGTAGAAAAGACAAACTTGTGAAAATTTAGAATTTGCTTTTTATAAAGCTTCCTAGGCATTATTCCAACCTGTTGACTACTTAAGTTACTAAGTAATGTCTACAATTTTGCCTTTCTGCTTAGAATCTAGAACAGATTTCAAGTTTAAAAGAGTTGCAAATGCTGGTAATCTGGTCATGGGATATCTGCAAATCTCTGTCAAATTAAAGCTTTGCTCATAGTAATCTCAGATCCTTGAAACCAACCTCACAACAGTAGTTAACACTGAGCAACCTATCTCTGATCTCACTAAAGATTGAAACCATTTCTTAGTTTGTGATTGAAGGAACTTTTGCTCTGTTCTAGGGCCTTAGCTCAAACTTTAGTCACATGTGGTAAATCAAAAAATAATACTATTTCCTCTGTTTTTCCTACTTATTGCCCTGCTATCTCCCTTAACCTTAGAATTTAATAACCATAAATGGAAGAGAGGAGAGGAAGAAGAATGCGTCTGCCTCATTCATTTTACCACTGTCGCAGTGGAAGGACCTTACCATCTAGTTCATTCCACACGTTTCATATAGGGAGCTGTACTGAAAAGTCTTTACCCTAAATGAGTGACATGGCCAAGACTTTATAAGCTACTCCGATACTCCTTTCTGTTCACTAATCTGATGACGTCTCAGGAGACTTTCAGACAATGCTAGATTTTTTTACTTTATATTCTTCCTCTGAAGAAACTCAGAAAGATGACCTAAGGAATCAGAACATTGATAAGAAAAGGAATAAAATCTATTTCATGCATGTTTAAGCATTAGAAAGAATACTGATGTTGAATTCCAGACATTATTTTCTTCATGGGGAATTCACTGCCTGTTCTACTTAATTCCATTTCTAATTTTAAAGATTCAAGTTTAATTTTTCCTTCTTCAAACCTTTTAAGGAGACACCACTCACTGACTTTCAAATACTTTGTGCTTTAGCTGTGTTGCAATCTTTTAAATATTTTACCTGTCATCAGGGTAAAATCCTTTTGTTCTAATTTTTCCTCTGCCTGTTTTTGTTTTCTAGATTCACGGCCCTTCCACAACACCAGTGCCAATCTTACTGAGAGGTACTGTCCATTTGTTTTGTTATTCCTTTTCCCAAAATGAAATGAAGAAAATCCACACTATCTTACAGCGTTTAATTAAGTGTATTAAGTTATTTGAGCTTATCAGATTCTTACTTCCTTGAGTTATCAGTTTGGAATAATTGTTAGAAGTGGTTTTGTAATGACGGCTGTGTCTTTTTCAGAATATCTTCGATAGTTTTCTACTTTTTATATTGTCCTCATGATAAATGTTATTGTTTACATCTATTCATGTAAAAAAAACACTTACGTTTGACTTTATGAGCTTATGCACACTTTGCTGAAACAAATTTTTAGTTCTTAAGTCCTTAACAGCATTTTGTTTCTGTGTGTGTGTGTGTGTGAGAGAGAGAGAAAGAGAGAGAGTGAGAGAGAGGACGCACCCATGCAGTGTTGCTATCTTCTTAGTCATTTTAAGCTTTCATGCTGAGGGCTGGATATGGCTCAGTGGTGGAGTGCTTGCATGCATGAAGCCTTGAGTTCTATTCCCAGCACAAAAACAGACAACCAACCAAAAATAACAGTTCTTTTGAGTACATGTATGTCAGACACAGCTCTATCCAAGTAATTGAATTGGTTCTTGTTGACTTGAGAAGAGGGGCAGGAGGATACTGCAAGTACTAAACCACTGAATTACACCCCAGCCCTGAATTAAGTCTTTACTTGACAGCATCCAAAAAATTTCTGACTCACTTCTTACTTTTGTGTTTCTTGTTCTTGCTTATGAGGTTGGATGTATAATTTAAGTATGTTTGGGGTTCTGATTGTGCCTCATAGTTTTAAGTTGCCCTCCTTTATGCAAAGGCACTGGTTGTGATTCAGTGACCAAGACTCTCTCAATGAGTGGTTCTTTGTACACTGTACACTGCTTTCATAGCTTTTTCCTTCTCCTTTCCAGAGCAGTGGTTTTCATACCAATTCCCTTTTATCTTAAAAACAGACTGCTTTGTTTTGTAAACAGCATATATATATATATATATATATATATATATAAAAATACAGCTGTCGAAGGGGTTCCCTATGATCTTTCTTCTGTCTGCTTTCTCACAGAGGCCAACACTTTCTTATGGGAAATTTCTAAAATTGTAAAATGGCAAAGCAAAATGGTATAAATGGATTGTTTTTCCATATAATGAATTATTTAACTACCTGTCATTATTTAAAGAAATCAACCATTGAGTTTCCTAAAGTGTAACATCTTGGCTGGACTTGGATTTTATGTAGGCTTCCTGAGCAGTAGACCAGTCATAAATCTGGATCTCTGGAAAACTCTTCAAATGGATCTTTCTTTGCACATTCTGTCTGCTGTTCCCTCCAAAAATTGTGCATAGCTTTGTGGACTAGTCCACGGTCTTAATTGTTCAGAATGCCAAAAAGTATGTGGCCTATACTGTTGAACTCAGATTCCTGAAGGTCCTTTGTTTTGCAACCCTAACCAACAAACACTCTATCATTCCATCATGTATGTGGATTTCTTTTCAAGCACCTATTGCAAAGAAGATAAAATAATTAACAAATAATTGACAGTTTGTTTTTAACATCAGTCATTGTAAGTCCATAACTGAAACATTAATGAGTACTATGAGAAAACTTAGCCAGGCTTTGGCAACATGGGTGTTGTGGCATACTCTTTCTCAGATACTGTGTGAAACCATTCAGCAGCCTCTGTCCAGCTCTCATTCTTCTTCCCATTTAACTTCTCTAGTCCTTGACAAATCAGTCTTCTTGTTTTTATTTAGTATAACAGAAGAGAACTATAATTTCCCGCCACAAAGCCCCTCCAAGAAAGATTTCGAAGGGAAGAGTGGAACAAAAGTTAGTCGTACATTCAGCTACATCAGGAATAAAATGTCCAGCAGTAAGAAGAGCAAAGTAAGTATTACCCTGGGCATTCTTTGTGACACCTCAATCAATCATCTCAACAGCCTTCATAGACCCTCCCCCCCCCCAAAGTAATTAAACAATGGGGACACAAATGGAAATAAATTCAAGGGTGCTCTGTAATAACCTACTTGAAGAAAATCTACACTTATATGAGCAAGTTACTGCTACCTACTACTTTTACTATGTGCCAAGGGTTGTTCGTAAGGCAACCTACTCAGTCCTTTCAACAACCCTTTAAGGTAAGTAGTATTAGCTTCCTTCTTTAGGAGTGGGGTACCTTACCTAATGTGAAGAAGAGATTCATACCTATGTCTCTTTGGCTTCTGGTCCCATACCTTCAACCACAGTGCTGAAATTGGTAAATCAGGTTGAAAATGCAGTGGAAGGATTTTATGCTGAGATAAGGAAATTGAAAATACTATCATATTGAGGTTGAGAGGGAATAAAATTAGGCCACAAAAAATTACAAGAACTTTTAAGACTAATTCTTGAGTCTGTTTCTAATTAGGAATATTTGAGATATATCCTCTTTTGTGCTTAAGAAGTTAAAATTTTTAGACTAATTTTTTTTTTATTTTTATTGTTTTATTATTCATATGTGCATACAAGGCTTGGGTCATTTCTCCCCCCTGCCCCCACCCCCTCCCTTCAAACTAATTTTCTATCTAATTGTAATTACATGTTATAGGATTCTACAAAATATAAAAGAAAATAAAAGTTGTCTATAATAACTGTACATCAGAGAGAAGTAAATACTCTTAACATTTTAATTTAAGTATTTCTAATCTTTACCAGTATATTTTACAAAGAAAGAAAAGTTGACAGTCTTATACTGATTCCCAATGTTAAACCAAAACTGATCCATTTTAAATCAGTGGGGCAAAACTTTTTGCCTCTCACTCCCCCTGTAATACACAATTCAACACCTAGACACCACCACAAAAAAATAAATAGAATTTAAAATCAGTTAAGGGTATATACAGTAAGGAATCACTATATATCTGTGTGTTTTGTATTTACAAATACATAAATGGAAACACATTGCATACACACATACTTAAAGTAAGGGAGTAAACAGGCATTGAACTCAGGAGTGTTGTTATAGAAACACACTCCCTTCTCTCCACTGAGCCTCTCTGGCACTCAGTAAGTGGGCTGATAGAAATACAGCCAATTTATTTTACTAGGTGTGTTAACTTTCCATTGTTGTGATAAAATACCTCAAGTAATGAACTTTTAACAAAAAATTCATTTTGTCCCGTGGTTTAGAGATTTCAGCCTATGGTTACTTGAGCCCATTGCTTTGGGTCTGTGAGGTCTGTGAGGTACAGTGTGTTATGATGGGAACATATGGCAAAGGAGATGTGTTTATTTAATTGTGACCAGGAAGGAGGGAGCGTGAGAGACAAACTGAAGAGCTTGAAGGGTCCCCCATCCCCTGCAAGGACATCCCCCACACCCACTTCCACTAGGCCCCACCTCCTCAACGTTCCACTACCTCCAGATCCTTTAGTATATGGGCCTTTGGGGGATTTAAGATTTAAGATTGAAACCATAATAGTAAATTTTGTAAATAAGATCTCTTTCTTTTAGCAAATACTAGGTTTATTCAGTCTCGGAGGAATTTTTCCATAAAACCTGCCACCAGGATTCTGTTTTCTCTGTATTTCTTCTACCCAAGTGCAGTATGGAGAGACTGGGCAATCATGAAAAGATGCAAAGTCTAGCACATCTTTTCTAGCATAATTTACATATTTAAACATTAACTTCATACTTGACCTGATTTTAGAATTAAAAAAAAACAAAAACAGGTCAAAGAGGGTAGAATGCTTACCAGTATTCCACATATTTATTTTACTTATGTCACTGCTTCTTGAATAGTAAGTAGTTAGTGTCGACAAAAGAAAATTCCCTTGGAAAGAGCAAGGTAAATTAGCCAGGTATTATTGAGTGATTTCTATATTTTAAGTATTCTACTAGGTGCTAGCAAGCACTTAAAAGAACAAAAGCTCACAGTCTTAACTTTAAAATTTTTTATGGTCTAGTTTGGACTATTTCAGAATGTTCTCATTATTTTTTATTTATATGCAGAATCTTTAGAGTTTTTATTGGAAGACCAATAAATAAGTGAAGATTCCCCTTTTCTGTCTGTCTCCCCATGACTCTACTTTTAGGACAGCACAGGAATACACAGTGATCTTGATGAGGAAATACAGACAGACATTAGAAAAAAACAATGCAAGACAACTCAGACCTTTAAAAAAGTCTCACTCCACCCAGCTCCTTATTCTAGAAACTGAAGCACAAAGAAGTATGTTTCAAGTCATGGAACTAAATACAGACTAAGGCAGAACTGCTGCCAATCTGATTCCAGCAAATCGTTTTTGTCACTTCATGCTTTCTCTTAAACGAAATCCATCACTTTCCAGGATAGGGGTTTTTTCACCCTTTTTCTTTTTCTTTTCCTTTCTCATTTTTACTGTTTTTAAAGTTAGTTTCCTGTTTGCAGAACTGGGGTTTGAACCCAGGGCCTTGCTGATGGTAAGCAAGAACTCTGCCTCTTGAGCCACACTCCCTGTGCTTTTGTTTTCGAACTTTGCTTCTGAGATAGTCTCTTACTGCATATTTTAGTTAAGTATTTTTGTTTGTTTTTTTGAGAGTGGGCTTGCCATCTAGCCAAGTTGGCCTCAAATTTATGATCCTTCTGTCTCCTCCTCCTGTGTAGCTGGGATTATAGGCATGCATCACTCTTTTGTAAACTTTTTAACCTCAAAGGACTAAAGGGATGAGACAGACAGGAGAAAAGGCCATTTGTGTTAGAGGAAGATGTGCCATCACTGGCAGAAACTGTTGAAGTTTCAGTTGACCTCTTGCTTCTGATAATCTCCTTAGTTAAAGTGACAACATTCTTTTACAATTAAAGTTGGTTCCTCTTTCAGTCTTGACATCAAAATTTGATCTTTGAGGGTTTTGCTGTCTGTAGCAATGGAAACTCAAAAAATTGCAAATTAATAACCCTGGGTTATTTCCCATGATGAAGTGTTGAGGGTGCCCAGCTGCCTTGTTTATTAAGATGGCATCTTTCATATGGTTATTAGCTTTCTTTTAAGTAAGATTCCACAGAACTTACCCCAGAACATCTTGGATTTTGTCAGTGTAGATAAAGATAGCATTCAAATTCTGTTGAGTTACATTAAATACCCTGTCTTAATATAGCATGCATCCACAACAGAGCTTTACCATAAAGAAGCATTTTGTTTTTTAAACAGTAACACAAAAATAAATGAATAATAAATTTTCTTAGTATAGTGATGCTGACACCTCTTTTTTTAAACTATGAATAATGTTACCTACCCATAATGTTAAAAAAGATTCAAAGTGTTAACTTTCAAAATTGAAAGAAGTTAACAATGGCCTTTCTATAAAAACGATAAGCTTTTACTATTTTGGATGGGGCAGTGTTAGGGATCTGATCCAGGGCCTTGTAATGCTAGGCAAAGTGCTGCATCCTCCTCTTCGTGCCTTGAAATTGGAGTTCTTCTGCCTTCACCTCCTGAGTGCACAGATTCTTAAATTATTTTTTGATACATGCTACAAGAGACCTAATGTACTCCCTTTATTCATCTTCTAAATAATGTAATGCTATATTAAGATGGCACCTGTAATTCTTATCTGCGGATGGGTTAGAAATTTCAGCATTTCTTTCTCCTTTTTTTTTTTTTTTGTAATAAAAGTAATAGTAAAGTTTATTAGGAAAGGAATTTAATATAACAGGATAAAAGTGAGAAGAAATGGGAATAAAAAGGGAGAATCATTTCCTGCTCCCCATTGCTTTTCTTATACACAGTGTATATATTTTTATGAAAATAACTCATACTTACTAAGCTGAGTTTGTTACATTCTGTATATTAAACAGTGATTGTAAATTTTAAATATTCTAAGCAACCAAAAGTCAGCAGCCGTTAGGTAACAAATTGTTCACATTCCTGAGTGGTACATTTTGCACATAGGCACTGGTTTTTTATGCATGCAATTTCTTATTTTTACATAAGAAATTTAATTACTGATAGTTCACATATCCTTTTGAAAGCTAACAACAGGTTGCATAAGTTTTTAGGTAAATGCATGGAGTGTTTTTGAGAGTGTGACGCATAGCAGGAGGGCTGGCAGCCTCTGCTTCTGCCACTGTCTTTGAGAGGTGATGCTGTTTCCTGCTGAGTAAGTCAGCTCCGCTGCAGGTATTTAAGACTCAATGAGTAGCCTTCAAATTCATAAAGGGAGTAGAGAGGCCCACTTTAAAACCATCCTATCATACTGATTTTCTTGTGTCTTAAGCTTTTTTCTTCACTTAGACCACTAGAGATGGTCAGAAATGTTTTAGACCAGTTCTTAGTCTGACTAGCAGTAGGTGTTTTGGGGTGCAAGGATTACATTCATGCCCAGCCGATACGCTACATGACTTATAGCAAGACATTCAGCTTTGTGCTCTGCATGTAAAAGAACTATACCATCAGCCCTTCAAAATTCCTTCCAGAGTAGATTGCTGTTTCCAGTGTTAAAAGTAATTCTTTCATTTCCTCTTTAATTACAGAAATGTACCTTGACAGATGTTTAATCACATCATGTCCTCAGTTTTCCAGAGTGTCCTCTGACTTTAAAAATTGTGATTCCTTATCTAAAAAGATAGGCTTTTAAAAAGGGAAAATTTTCTCTCATAGCATTCCAGTGTCTTTCCTGTTGAAATGCTTCTTGATTCTTTTTCCACAGCACACAGTTAAAGTGTTTTAGCAGTTGTTAAAATGGATAAGTGAATCTTCAGAAAACACCTAGTCACCATTTATCAAAAGTAATTGAAACGTTTTCTTATGAAACTGACTTTTATAAAATTTGGAGTTTGTTTTTAAATAAGTGTGTTCCTTACTTCCCAGTGTTAAAAACTTCCCTTCATCCTTGCCAGATCTCCTATGTTGCCACATAAGCACTGTCCACACACCATGTTTTATTTCCTGTATAAACTAGGGTACTTAGTCTGCCTTAGGAGCAGCATTCAAATAGTTAAGACTGTCTTGAGGAAACAAGCAGCCTCAGCCCTCCCTCCTTCCCTTTCTCAACCAGTTTCTGGCTTCCTCTTACCGTTGTGATAATGGCAGCCCCAGGCTGCTGAGCTCTGCCCTGCCGGCATGAGCCCTCCTTCTGTGAGAGCACATTTCCTGGCATGGGGGTTGAATCATGTCTGTAAAATGGGGTCGGCTTCATGAAGTACCCCTCATAACAGTGAGATTCACAGGACTAAAACATGGAGAGGTAAGAGCCTACTTCTTTAAAGGACTAAATTCTAATAAACACATAAATAAGCAACATACAGTTGTTTTGGTTTTATCCCTGGAAGTACTAGATTAGATTGTTGCAAAAAAGATGAGGAAATTCTTTATTCAGGTTTGAAGACCACTGCAAGGCTTGAGAGAATAAGATAATTGCCATAGCAAATTTATTTTAACTGTTGGAGCATGCTTTTAACTTCCTCAAGGAAAAAAAAAACAGATGCTTTTTAGCTTAACAGTTTATGTATCAAGAAACCTTTAGCAAAGTTTAGTTGAAAGAAAAGAGTTATTTGAAAAAGTTCAAGTGTTGTTACTGATTTTCGTTAGACTTGTATGTACTTCAGTAGTTACTAATTTTCGTTTAGAACAGTTTCCTGTTTTGTAAAGTGAAGTAATTTGTTTTTCTCCCTTCCTCTCTCTCCTTTATGTAGTTTTAAAAGTACGGCAGTTGGCTCTTAGATTTTTGTTGCACATATTCTGCTCACAAAGGACTTTACAAAATAATACATTTAGTGCTAATTTACCATTTCAGTATAGTGGATGGATTCTGAACACAGTCAGAATGTACAAGTTCTAATTTTGACTATGCTAATCTTTTGCTTTGTGACCTTCTGCAAGTCAAGGAACCTCTCCAGCCCTTGGCAGTATGAGTGGCGAGTGAGAGCTGAGTTTGTCAGCCAGATCTGGATTTTAATGCCCGGTTGAGCACTTGTGGATGTGCCCTTAACTCCATTGTTAAACATCTCTGAGCCTCAGTCTTTTCAGATGTAAAATGGAGATAACCAAAACTTCATTGGGTGGTTGTGAGAAAATACAGTAAATTACTTACTGCAGTAGGAACTGCTCAGAATTTTAGACGTTCTTTATTGTTATTTCAGTTGTAGACTGGGAAGCATGGTGCTCACCCTGCCCACTTCAGAGTCACTGAAGTAATCTAGAGAAGGCATCGATTCAAGATGTAAGGCCTTAGTAGTTATCATGATCACTAACTTTGGGGAACCCATTTTCCAGGTATTTTTCTAGGTGACAACATGTGGTGGTAGATGAAACTCTCCTGTGAGTTGTTGCTCTTCATGGTCCAGCTGGTTTGAAAGATTAGTCCATTGATGTGGATTGGCCAGCTAAGTGTTTTGCCAAGCATTGCTTCTAAAGTACATTTTATAGAGAGCACAGTTCCAGCCTCTTCAGCACAGTGTGAACCTGAAATGTCCCTGACTGCTTTAGATATTTCATTAAGTATCTAACAGTCTTGAGTGTTTGTTCAAGTTTTCAAGATATAAATTCCTTTCCATCTTCTTCATGCCTGTATAAGTTTTAATAAGCCCTCGTAGATTGAAGCCTGATGTCAATACATGAAAGCCCCCTGCTTTTGATCTGTTTCCTGAACATTCATAGCATCCCTGTATTGTTTTGAGGTGATAAGCAGTCTGGTACTCAGAGTTTACAATTTCCAATCCAGACCATCTCTTTCCCACCCAATCCAATCTCTCCTTGGCCCGCATCCCCATTGGAGTGTACTCAGTCACTAGAAAGCATCTAGTACAGGGGCTGGACACAAAGTGAACATTAGTTGATGTCAGTTTTTTCCTCTTCCCTCTGTGACAGGTGAGGGAGACTGTGGGAAAAGAAGGGAGCTTCGCAATAGAGATCAATCAGCAGGTCTTGGGAAGCCTTGTCCCTTCAAACCAGAGGCATTTTGCTTGCATTTCCTGTCTCTCAGGGCCTCGGGGCAGAGGAATAAGCAGCTAAGCCTTGAGGACATCCTTTCTCTGAAAGTCATTTTCTTAAAGGAAATGACCACTGTGGCAACTAGCTTGAGGGGACAAGGCTGCTTCCCTATGTTTTCTGTACCTCCTGTCTCCCCTGCTCTGCATCAGTGTTCTTTGCCACTCCTTAATTTCTTTTATCCTCCCTCCACGAGTCAAATTTTCTTTCTTTCACTGCTATTTCTGTGCTGGATTAGGAGAGTAATAAACTACCAAAACTCGTTTTTAAGGAGGCATGAATAATTACTATAATCTGATTATACTTTCTATGTTCTACACATTGTACAAGATCCTTTACAAAGATTTTGTCTTGCCTATTTTTTTTCTTAAACATAAGAAATAGGTACCTTTCCCATTTTTCAAATAAGGAGACTGAGACTCAGAGAAATAATTTGTTCAAAATCATACATTAACAAGTAGTGTAGAACTTACATTTGATCCCAGGCCTGATCTGTCCTGCTTCTCTCACACTCTTCCTCCCTAAGTGAACATCAGATCAAAGTCAATACCTGTAACTTCAGAACTCTAATTAGTGAAAACTATATGTGGGGGGTATTTAATAGTTCTGCCTGCAGTAAAAAAAGAAGCATCACAGAGACTCCTCACTGAGTGAAGTTATGTGGCCATGTGCACACAGCAGAGAGGAGCTTGTACTGAGTTTTCATGATATGCAGTCATCTTTCCTGTCCCCTCAAGCTGATCCCAGAATGACTAGCATCCTTTCTTCTGCTCCATTCCTAAACTGACCCTAAACTCATTGCTTCCTATGTGGGCTCTCTGGTGGCTTACTAAGGAGAATCTTACCTGACATTACAGGCCTCTTCCTGGTGATAGGCCAGTCTTTGGGCATTGTGTCTATCAGTATAAGTAACCCCTGAATAAGCCACTGCCAGAACTGTGTGGCCTGTCCAGTTACCATAGGATTTTTCTAAGGCAGCTTGTGTGCTCATGGGTTAATGAGAAAATTTTGCCAGAATATTGTTCCTCACTTTTGTCCAAAAGTCATCAACCACTGTGGACCATATCATCTAGATATCAGGTAAACAGAAGATCTTGCAGTGACCAATTAATTATTCTTTTCTTTGGCAGGAAAAGGAGAAGGAGAAAGATAAAATTAAGGAGAAAGAGAAAGATTCCAAAGAGAAGGAAAAAGATAAGAAGACTCTCAATGGGCACAATTTCAGTTCCATTCCTGTTGTGGGTCCCATCACCTGTAGCCAGTGCATGAAGCCTTTCACCAACAAAGACGCCTACACTTGTGCAAGTAAGAGACGTGCTTCTTCTCTCATGAGATGAGGTTCCCTTGGCTTGGGAAGGTTGTTTTTTTCTAGTTTACTGTCCATCCCACCCCTTATCTGTTTCTCATTTATATAGAGAAGGAGCCCTGGTTATATTTTTCAATAAACAGCATTGTAGAAATTAACTTTAGATACATAATACCCAACCTATATTTTTTTCAGACGTCTCCAGTTTCAAACAACTCTTCTCTTATTCATAAACGACTTCATATTCCAAACATCTGTGTCATTACCAGACAATCAATAGCCTCAAACCCTAAAGCTTCCCCACAATCTCTTATCAGATTATATATGCTTATTTTTAAGCTTTTGTTTGTTTGTTTGTTTGTTTTTCTTTTTCAGTCCTGGGGATCAAACTCAGGACCTTTTACGTGCACGGCAAGCACTCTAGCTCTGAGCTGTGTCCCTAACCCTTACACACGTATATTTAAATGTAATGAAGACATTTAGGGTATACATTGGCCATTTACCAGCTTTGAGTTGTGGTGACTGCCAAGAGTGTCTTCACGTGCAGAAATGTTTCATATTGACCTGTTGTTAACCTGCATAAAAACCACCTTAAAGGCAAGTCTGTTAACTGAGCATGGTTCCTGGTTTTGATAAGGCACTTGCAGACCAGAGTCAGTTAACTTTCTCTGTACAGGACTTAGATAACAAATATCTTAGGCTTTGTGGAACATCCGGTCTCTGTCATAGCTACTGAACTCTGCAGTTAGAAGACAAAAGCAGCCAGAGGTGTATAAACCAGGGAGCATGGTTCTACTTCAATCAAACTCCGTTTATGGACATTGAAATTTAAATTTTTACATGTTATTTAGTATCATCTTATTTGTTTTTCCCAACTCTGTAAGATGTAGAAGCCATTCGTAGTTGATGGGCTGTGCAAAAATAGGCTCGGGGCCAGGTGTGGCACACACACTGTAACTGCAAATCCTATCTGAGGCACATGTCTCATAGCAGGTGACAAAGTAGAGCATACCAAAGTAAATCAAGGAGGCTTGATTTGGTGAGAGATGACAAGTCTAGAGACTAGCCTCCTAGGCCTAGCCTAGTCTGCTAGATGGCTAAGGTGATTAATTAGCAGCATATCTGAAAAATAAAGCAAAAAAGAGCTTTGCTTAAGTGACAGAGCACCTGCCTAGTAAGCATAAGGCTCTGAGTTCAAACTGCAGTACTGACTAAAGGACACTACCCTGCCACACACACAAATAAAATGACTCACCAAACATTCTCCTTTCCTTCTGAGGTTTTCAAAAGCATTGCTATCATTTTATTGTCTGTTACTGTTAGACTTAAATGACCAGTTGAAACAAATGTTTTGAGATGTCTTCACCACTGATTAACACTGGGGTGGCAGATGTTAGGGATGATACTCATGGAGCTTTCCAAGCAGACTTGGTGCCAATTCCAGCAGCTGCCTGTCCAGTGCTGTGATGACACCCACAGCAACTGTCTGTCTCCTAGCACAGACAGCCACACATTTAGAAGGGGATAGTCAGAGAAGCTCGTGGTTTAAATGAGATTTGATTATTGTCCTGAAGTGTGTCCAAGGTTCAAAAATACGTTTCAGATTTGCAGAAACTTAGGAGCTTGGTGCCTGTTCTAAAAGCAGTGTTGATACAATCTTAGCAATTAGTGGTGGCAGTAAAGTTGGTGTATGATGTTGTCCAGCCTACCTCCTAGAACAAGAAATGGGAGGAACCGAGGCTTGAAAGCAAGGGAACAGGGTGTAGTCATCTTCCCAAAAGAACAGAAGTAATTGGCTGATATTCCTGGTTTCCTGCAGGACAGAGGGTGCAATGCACGTTTGTATGCATGAAGCCCCATCTGTTATCTTGGCAGGAAGTGGAAAATACGAGTAATTTGGGGACTCAGAATCTTTTGTCCTTTCCCTTCATCCCCTCATATTTGGGATCTTCCCAGGAGTCTCAGGAAATGTATCATCCCTGCAGTTAGTCATCTACCCCCTAGGAAACCACTGTGCTCTTAGGAAAAAACAGTTTTCTCTTTTGTCTAACATAAGCCTATTTTGCTGACCCCTGAATGAAGCTTCACACAGCAGGCTGCTGCTCAACCAGGTTTCACTTGTGGCTTAGATAGATCAGCCACGTAGTCCTGCATAGTAATGTCTTATGATGGTTTATGTTGACTTACTCCTGCCTTCCACCACTTTAATATATCTATGTGAGTGCAAACACTAAAACATTGAGCAGGATAGAGTGTTGCAAAACAAATGAACATCTCTGACACAGCTGGACAAGTCTGACACAAAAATGTGAAAGTCACACAGCTGGAGGCTCAAGTGATTGAGAGCCTGCCTGCCTAGCAAGTACGAGGCCCTGAGTTTAAAACCAAATACCACCAAAACAATAATATAATAATAAGCGAAAGCAGAACCCTCATGTGGACTAATACAGAAGTGGTCATGATCATAGCCACTAGAAATAGCAAGCAATAGTGTGTCCATGTGGCTCCCTTATAGGCTTCTCCTTGATTTCAAAAGGAAAGCTAGGAGCAAAGCCTAAGTCTCTTCAGCATTTAACTGAGATGAAGCCTTGGGGAGATCCTCACTCAGCCCAAGCTGTCCCCTGCTGTAGGACTGGGTGACTTGGCAAGGAAAGGATGTTTTTCCTCTTCCTTATTCTTAATCATGGAAAGCTGTCCTTGAGTAATGAGCTGACACAGAAAACTCGTTTTGTGGAAAGCTTGGTGTAGTCTTTCATAATAAAGAAATGCCTATGCTGAGGGTTTCGGATCACACACTGGTTTTGTTTGCTTTAAACAGATTTAAAGTGATATGGAGATTACCGTTGATTTATTTTCTCTTGTTTAGCAGCTGCTGAGTACTTCTGTCGTACGTTCTCTTAGTTAAAAAAACATCAGTAGACCAGCTGTAATCTCATGTGTGAAACAAAAGAATTTAAAAACGTATGCGATGGTTGGGTTTTGCTTTGGATTTCATCACTAAAAGCAGCACTGTAGGTAGGCCATTTTCTGGCATTTAGAGTTCATTGCTTACATGAGATACTAAATGCATGTAATTGATTAAAGAAAGGAAGTTGGTTATTTAGGGAAAAGAAAGGTGAAATGAAGAGCCCAAGCAATAGAGCCAGTTCTTATTCAAGCAGAACACTCTGGTTTTGTTTCACTTTTGTTACCAGTGTTTTTGAAAACTGCTGTAGCAAGAACATTGGCCAGGATGGCTGGGCTGTTTTTGTGGCTTTCCTCTTGTTCTGTGCATCAGTACTATGGTTGTTACCCCAACTACCAGGAACATCTCACGTGCTTTTCCGTATAGCACTATCAGTGCAAACCAGCAGGATCTCAGATTCCCTATGGATTTCAAGCAAGAAGTTGCAGAAAGAATTTTGGAGCATGCATTTCTGAATTGCTCGTATTTAAATGTCTTGTTTGTTTTTTCTTTGCTACAGTTGGTAAGAGGAAGTTGCATATTTCTGTCCTTACAGGTAATTCTTCAACCTGTATCCTTAAGAAAGATCAGATAATTTTCTCCACATAGATTTTGCTGCTCAGATCCATCCCTAGTAGACAGAACAGTCAAAACTCAGCATATTCCCTCTTGATGATCAGTGGACTGAAGTACTAGAAAACCCCTTTCTGCAGAGCTCTGGCTGCATAACTCAACTCAAAAGGTGACTCTTTCCTTTAGCAGGCAATCCTTTGATACTCTTAATTTTAATTTAGTTCAGAACAGCCACCCCTCTTAGTCTATAAAGCTGATTTTCTTTTTTCTTCTTTGTTTTTTGGCAGTCCTGGGGTTTGATTTTAGGGCCTCATGCTTGCTAGGCAAGTGCTGTATCACTTGAGTCACTCCAGCCTTTGTGCTTTAGTTTGTTTTTCTGATAGGCCTCTAGCTTTTGCCTGGGGCTGGTCTCAGACTATAATCCTCTGCTTTCTGTGTTGATGGGTTACAGGCACAGATCCCCATGTCCAGCCTGTGGAAATAGGGTGTCAGGCACAGATCCCCATGTCCAGCCTGTGGAAATAGGGTGTCAGGCACAGATCCCCATGTCCAGCCTGTGGAAATAGGGTGTCAGGCTTTTTTTGGTTTTGGGGTGTTTTTTTTTTGCAATGGCTGGCCTCAAGCCACAATCCTCCCATTTCCACCTCTCACATAACTGGGACTGTAGGTGTGTGCCACCACACCCTGTAAAGCTGATTTTTTTTCAAGCTAGTTTCGCTAATGGCTTATTTTTCTGCTGAATGAGTAAGAATGCATATATTATAACAGGTCACCAAAGGTCTGTGGTAGTTGCTAGTAAAGCTTTAAAAAAAAAAAATGCACCAACACATACATGATAGTTCCCAGGCATGTCGAGGCCTCATCTCTTTTCTTTTGTTTGATGCTTCCTTTCAAAAAGAAGTTGATGGCTGGGCTGCTTGCTTTTAATTTTCAGAAAAATTGAATTAGGAGTAAGCTCTGTTCCTAACCATCAACCACTGTGCTGAGACTTTGTTTGAAGAATGTTGGAAATGAAAGAGTACTGCTTACTGCCATTAGGAAATCCTTTAAATGAAGAAAGAAAAGGCAGTTTTTATTTGATCTTTCTAACAACATGGAATGTATGGTTGGTGGCAGAGAGCTTTAGGCTGTATTAGACTTGTCTTCAGTTCTTATGTTCCTGGTAATTGTTTCTCAAAGCAGAGAATAAGATTTGAGTCCCATGACTTTGGCTGATGTCAGAAGTGCTAAAAGTCTCTTTAAGTCACCCATGCACAGTAACATTAAAACTGTCGGCTGCAGTTGGAGTCCAGGAGTGCTTGGTGACAAATGGAGTGTTTTTCAAGTAGGTACTTCAGTATTTTAAGCAGATGTCCATGTGAACTGTTGATCACTAAGACTCATGTCCATAGTATAGAGCATATTAAAATTTCAGCTGGTGTGTGGGTTTGAGCATGTCTTAATTAACTGAAAACATGAATTTATGTGAAAACTTCTACTAGAAGCTCATTTATAAATATTATTTCTGCTTTTATGATTCATCAAATGGGACTGTTTTTTAATCTCAAACACTGGCCTGAGAACTTGAAAACAGCTGAAGTCTGTGAGAGTGCCACTGCCTTGAAAATGGACATTGCTTAATTCTCTGTAGGGTTAGGACTGACTGAAAGGAAAGGAACAGGAAGGACACAACTTGAAAACGAGTTCTGTCTTGGCATTTGCAGATCAGAATTACAAATGCACCACCTGTTCCATTGCCCAGAGATGCCTCAAGTACTGTCAGCTTTCAGTAAAGCAGAAGAAAAAAGCACTTTTGTAACTGATGTATATGATAATAAAATGAAAATTATTTCAGATTTATTACAGATGTGGTAAGTTACTGATTGTAAAGGATAAGCAAATGCTTATAAGGAAATTTAAGAAACTTCGAAGGATACTAGAATTTGATACACTTTTAATTTGCGAAGATACCAATATAAAGTATTATACAGACAATTTAACAGGCACCTGTGTATGCACCACTCAAAATGACAAATTACAGATTAGTGGTATAGCAGTTGCTTACCATTTAATGGGACCCTGGGCTCATTTCCCAACACTATAAAAAAGAAGGAAAAGATAGTATAACATTTTGTATTTCAGAATATTTTTCATTTTTAAGAAGTAAACCATTACAGTTAAATTGAATTTCCCACCAAAAATGAATTCCTATTTTCTTGCTCCCATTTCTCCTCCTCCTCCCCCAAATTCAGACATTATCATGAATTGATTGTATATGTAGTGTGTTGGATAACTCCATCTAATATAAACACAATTTAACTTTCTCCTTGTTACAGTGTGTCTAGCTCTGTAATTTGCTTTATACTCCCCAGTGTTGTGTTTTGGAGGTCAGCATGTGGAACACACAGACCTATCATTGGCTCTTAGCTCTTCTATGGTATTCTCTTCTACAAAGGCCTCACATCTGTTCTCCTGCTCAGTCATTTGGGCTGTTTTCAATTCCTGTTACAAACAGTGTTATAAGGAACATCCTTAGGTACATGTCACTTGGCTCTGTACCAAGATAGGTTAAGTCATAAAGTGGGTAAGTACTCAGCTTTATTAGATATTGCTAAATTACTGTCCAAAGTGAGTATATCGACTTTTAGATCCATTGGCAGATGGAGAGTTTCTTCATTGCCATATCCTCATCAATGCTTTAAGCTGGGGGAAAATACGGTCCTTCTTTTTGTTTTGTAGATGAGGAAACTGAGGCCCATGGAAAAGGAACTTATACTAGGGCAACAGTAATTAACAGAACGAGAATCTAAATCAAATGTAATTTGACAGCTATTTGTCCTGTTTTCCTTTTAATATTAATAAATTGATAGAGTAAGTTTTGTATTTTGTAGTTACAGTTGTGTCAGGGCACTTAGGTAAAATGGGTCTGAAATCTACACATAGACATTTGAAAAAGTGCCACGAGTCAGGCACTGCGCTGAAGACTTGAAAATTCCAGTCCCTACCACAGAAGAGCACTCAGTACAGGAGAAAAACCCAACATAAGCCCAATGCAGTGTGACTGGTGGAGTGTACCAAGTGGGCATTACAGGAGCAACCAGTGCAAAAGGAATCAACAAGGCTTTGGGGGTCTGGTTTCTGGCAGTCTCCTTCCTTGTGTCCTAGTAACCTCCCCTTCCCATCATCACTCCAACCTGCCTCTCCCCTGCAGTCCATATGTCTGAGCTTCAAAGAGCATCTTGGCCCTTAATCCATGCATGTGTTGGTCAGGACAGAACCTGTGGTGCTTCCTGAAGCAGTGTGAGGCAGTGCACAGCAAATGGTGTCTGTGGCTGACTTCCTGATGAGCCTTTCCCAGGAGAGACAACTTCGTCATCTGTCCCCAAAGGCAAATCTTTTGTTTGTGCTTAGCTTGGCACAGTTCTGTTTTATGACTTAGTCACAGCAGTAAGAGCTGATGATGGCCCTTCTGGGACACAGTGTGGTTAATTTTTACCTCAGTGGCCCTCACAGACCAAGGGAGTGAGAAGTTAAAAGTATTTTAAGATAAAATTGTGGTTTTGGCATATGGTAGTCTCTGTTTCTGTCTTTCAGGAAGTCTCCCTTCTCTTGAGCCAGGGTTCCCAAGGATGCTCTACAGGAGCTGTAGTGACCTTTCTTGGGCGGCTCTTGACTCAGAGAGTGGGTTGCAGCAAGCTCAGGTGGCTAAGATGCCAAGTGTAAGGATATAAGCAGATAGATGTTCAAATCCACATCCTTCACTTTGATACAATAATACAGATTTTATAACCCCTGTCAGCAGCTTTATAATACATTTTCTTGTGAGTTAAACACACATATTGGTGGCAGACACTTGAACTTTTACTTCTGGGTAGCCTCTCAAGCTTCCTGTCTGAGAAGTTTCAGAGTTCTTGTTTTGTTAATCAGTAATGATATCTGTTCTTCCTCCTCCAAATAATATTAACAGGTGTCCTTCCTAGAAGAAGACTGTAAAATGTAGTTTCAGTTATGGTGACATTTTTCATGTGAGTGACTTCACTTAGAAACCCATAGGCTTTTTGCAACAGTGGAGAGTCAGAATCAAAGGCCCATTTGCTTTGCTGTTGTGACCTTGGCTTTGGCTTTCTTTTCAGATTGCAGTGCTTTTGTCCACAAAGGTTGCAGAGAAAATGTGGCCTCCTGTGCAAAGGTCAAAATGAAGGTAAGACATTTCTGGCTTGAAGAAGGTTTAAAATAAGAGTTTAAACTAGCAAAATTCTCACAAGTTGGGAGAGTTGCTGTTAGGGTAGGTTTTAACTATTTTTTTTAATTCTTTGGTACCAACTTTAAGGCTAAAATAATCAGAAAATAATTTTTTCCCTAAAATGATCAGTTCTCTTCTTGATTAACACACTCAGGAGTTGGATATTTTAGAAAAAGGAAATGCTTTCAGAACTTCTGCATGTTAAATATGCATTTCTCTGTTGTTTAAAATTTTTGTGCTGCTATTAAAGTAGTTCTCTTCTTAACCATGTCTGCAGACCTACTCTCCTATTCACACACCTGGGACCATGAGCGCAGCAGTTGGAAATCAGGGGTCTGTGATATGCAATCGTTAGAACCAGTCTGTCTGGGAGCACTTTTCTCCTGCCTGCTGCGTGATAATAGTATTCTGCTTTCCAGGTGGCCCTTAAAGAAAGTATGGGTGTGGGTGCAGGCCTTTTGGAAAGCCTGTGTGGTTTTCAGTGTTCCAGTTCCTCTCCACCTGCATATACACAAATACAGAAATGTTTAACATGCTGTGTGCTTCATCATAGCCAAACATGCTTACCTAGTGCACTGGCCTCAATCTTGAGTGTGTATCAGAATCACTTCAATCAAGGGTTTATTAAAAGAAATTTACTGGATGCCCCCAGAATTACAGACTCTGAAGAGCCCAGGAATTTGCATCTCTGAGTTCCTAAATGATTTGGGTCCTCGGGCCTCCCTTTGACAACCACTGAACTAGTATAATGAGAGGAAACTTCTGTATGCCAGATCTCATTCAGCTCACAGGCATATATTTTGTTTTGACCTTTGCGGTGTGTTTTCAAATTTGAGTGTGTGTAGTTATTTAAAAATTACATTTTGTATAGATTTCAGGTTTCTAATTTCTTCTAAAAAAAATTGGAAGATCCTACAACCCTGGGCCCCACCTGGTATTTCCTCTCACCTGGCTTTTCCTTATCCTGCTCTTTTTCCTTATTCCATCATACTTATCATCTTCTCAGAGTCTATATTTATCAGTCTTCGTCATATTTTTTTTTTTACGGTCTGTATCTTCCCCCAACTAGAACATGAGCTCAAAATGTGCCAGTCAGCTTAAAGGCAAGGATCTGTGATCCGTTAGTGGATTCTGAGCACCTAGGATGGTGTCAGGCTTACAAGTCCTTAAAAGTCGGAAGGATGATAGCAAAAAACAGTCACTTGGAGCTGAGTGGCTATTGGCCTCCTTTCAAAAGGGTAGCAAATTCCAGGTTGCCGCATCCTCTCATCACCCTGCTTGTTGCCTGCCTGGCCCAGGAGTCATTTGAGTCCGTGATCTCTGCTAAACCTTACTGCCATTGTAAGCACACTACACTCTGTAGAGCCCTGGCGATACCGATGACAGCATCTACTACCCCTAAAACACAACCTGATGGGAGGAATTCATTTTAAACTGGAGTAATCTGTTTTCTCTGAAGATTCGCCCCAGATTAAATGCCTTGGTATGTAATTTTGTTACATGCCACCACAGTCTTAACTAAAACTAGCATTTCACTTAAAAAATTTTGACACCTTATAAATGCTAGTCACTGGAGAAACACATGAAAAAGGCACAGGCAGTTGCCATAAAAGAGAGGAAGCTTTGTGGAATAGGTGCAGGGTTTTCAGGAATGTCAGTCTCTTGCTTGGATGAAAAAAGGGAAGAAACTAGAGGATGGCTTTCCCAAGGAGATAGAACTGAACCAGTCTGGAAATGGAAGGATGCCATCCCTAGAAAGATGAGAAGAGTGTTCCTGGGGAAAGAAACAGCACCTGCAGCATCAGTAGTGTTTGGTAGGCCCAGAGGATAGCACCTACTGAGGGTGACTGACTGGGACACAGGTGCTGAGGACCCATGCAAGGGACAGAGTAGGAAAGCAGGCTATAATGCTCCCTTTCCATTCTAGGCTTCTTAGAACTTGACAAGAGGGTAAATTGTCAATGCAGATGTCATGTATTTATTGTCTTTCTCTTTAACAGCCCAAAGGGAGCCTTCAGGCACATGACACATCATCACTGCCCACAGTCATCATGAGAAGCAAGCGTGAGTAGCTCAGCCCACTTCCCAGAAGTCCTTTCTCACCATCCAGCTCTGGCTTAATAGCTACTTAAGTTTTGAATGCATATGCAGGCGAATCACATTGGGCTACATGGAGGGTTCGAGGCCAGCAAATTGCTGTCTCAGGAAAAAAGATTTGAATACCAGAAGAGGCTGATGTTTTATTCTGCAGATTCATTGACCACTAAACCCTCTGAATGTTTCTGTAACAGCATGTGTATTAGCTTGAAGGGACAGTGTGGCCCCTGTGTGAGCAAGTAACCCTGTGTGGCTCAGTCTCTTCTCCAGCAAGCTGAGGGTTTAAGTGCTTGACTTTAGTACCTCACAATTATGTAAATCAGATGAGAGCGTCCTGGTTAAACTCTTTATAAACTGTGAAATATATATAAATATTTTTTCTTTTTCCCCAATGACCTCAAATGTTACACAAAACTAAATAACGTGGGTGCTGTGGCTCACGCTTATAACCCTAGCTACTCAGGAGGCTGAAATAAGAAGAATCACAGTTTAAGGTCCTTCAGGTAGACAGTTTGAAAGGCCCCATCTCCAAGATAACAAGAGCAAAATGGTTTGGAGGTATGGCTCAAGTAGTAGAGTACCTGTTCTGCAAGTGTAAACCCCTGAGTTCAGACCCCAGTCCCATGCATGGGGGGGCGGGGTGGGGTAGGGTGGGAAGAACCACAGTGAGTAAGTAAATCACCAGTTCATGCAAGGCTTCACTTTGGTTTTACTTACTCCTTTTCCCTTTTTGTTCTATATTCCCTGTCTCATTCCTGCTATAGTATACTAAATGTATGTGCTTCTAATCTGCTATATCTTTAGATATCTTATCTGTTTTATGCACTGAGGTTCAATTAGATGATGACTTGTGCTTTTATATTCTTATTTTTCACTAATATCATTTTGAGATTATGCATGTCATAATAAGCTAATGTTTCATATTGCTGCATACCATCTTTCATAAGCATATAGCATGTGTTAATTATCAGTTCCCCCAAAGACAGGATATTTTAATTGCTTCCAACAACAACCCTAAGTAATGCAGCAATGACTGTCTTAGTTGGCACCATGGAACCTAGGCAAGTCTTTGCCAGGGCAGTTGTTCAATGTGCAGTTCCAGGATCCATTAGACGTGCAGAATCTTGGGCCCTACCCAAATCTGTGAATCAGAAACTCGGATGAAGCCCAGTGATCTGTGTTTTAATCCTCCAGGTGTGTTTGATGCACTCTCAAGCTTGATAATCACTGTCCTATGCCTTATTTCTCTTAAGTGCTTCCAGAGAGTTTGAGAATGGCTAGACCATTCTGTACTTCCACAGAAGAACTGAATTCTCTTTAGACATATTAAGTGTAGTTCTTATTCATATTTGCATGCTGATGAGAGGCACTTTGCCAGACTGACACCCACATCAATCTGTGAGCAGCCCATTCCTTTTACAAGTCTGATCTTCCTTAAACTTTTTATGTCATTATTCTTTGTTTCAGATGCTTATTTTCTTTCATATCAGATAAAATAAATGTCTTTTCTTAAAATGCCTATTATGTGCAAGGTTCTTTATGTGTATTTTCTCTGACCCACATAGGTTTTCTGTTTTAAAATTTTCAGTGTATATTACTTGTACAAAATTTTCATTGTGAAATTTCCCTACATGCATATATAATGTTCTTACCTCATATTTACCCCTCCATGGCCTTCTTATCCCCTTATCCTAATACCTTCCACATCCCTAATGCTCCTCCTTTAACTTTCATATCCTTTTTTTCCCCCTCAGATAGTTTCACATAGGATAGCATGCAATACTTGTCTCTGTGAGACTGGCTTATCCGGCTTATCTAGTTTAACGTAATAATCTCCAGTTCCTTCCATTTTCCCTCACTTGTCATCATTTCATTCTTCTTTATGACTAAATAAAACCCTGTGGTGTACATGTGGTGTACACATTTGTCTGTATCCATTCATCTGCTGATGGGACACCCAAGCTGATTCCATAGCTTGGCTGTTGTGAATAGTGCCACAGTAAACATGAGGTGTCAGGAGTCTCTGTTGTCTACTGACTTTGATTCCTTCTGGTATATACCCAGGATGGTATAGCAGGATCATAGGTAGTTCTATTTTTAGTTTCTAAAGGACCCGCCATGCTGATTTTCATAGTTCCTGAACTACTTTACATTCCCACCAACAGTGTGAGAGGGTTCCTTTCCCCCCACATCCTTGCTAGTATTTGTTTTTTATTTCCTTGACGGTTGCCATTCTGACTGGGGCAAGATGGAATTTAAATAATACATTAAGAGTACAAATTGTGGGTTCAGGTTATGCTGATTTAATTGATTTAAAATTTTAAGTGTAAGTGCTTTCATATGATTCTTTATCCTCATTGCCTAGTTTTAGTCCCACACCACAAGTAACCACTTTGAGTTCTTCTATCTTCTCACCATTCCTTTATGAAGATAAAGCAAAATACTAACTTGGATTATTAGGTTTTTATTTTTTTTAAGCATAAACTATAGCCTATTATGTTCCTTGTTGTGTACCTTGATTGGTTTTTTTCTTTCTTTTTTGGCAATACTGGGGCTAAACTGGGGCTGAGCTTGGGCTGAACTGGGGCCTTGTGCTTGGTAGGCAGGTGCTTCATTGATTGAGACTCTCTGCCAGCCCTTGATTGATTTTTAATTTCTTCATGTAATGCATCATGAGATCTGCATCAGCACAGACACAGTGTCTTCATTTTGCTAATATTACTGCACAATATTATTTTGTTCGAGGTTTTGTTTTTCTTGTTGTTACTGTTTAAGACAGGGTCTCACTGGATAGCTCAGGCTGTCCTCAAACTCTTGGACATAAGTTCTTCCAGACATCTACGGGTACACTTTACAGACTAAACCTGTTGTAAAAGCTGAACACCAAAGAACATAGATTTTACAGTTTCAGTAGCTGCTGCCAAACTGTCCTGTATACTTGTCATACCAACTGAGACTCCAAAGGCTAATCTGTTTTAAAGCATTTCGCTTCCAAGTAGCATTTGTCAGATGAGCCAGCCCCAGGTGGGCATGGATAGGTGGTGCTTCAGTTAACAAGCTGTCTTCCTTTGCAGCCTCACAGCCCAAGGAGCGTCCTAGGTCTGCAGTCCTCCTAGCTGACGAAGCCACTGCTGCCCCGATGTTTGTTAATAGAAGGTCCCAGCAGAGCGTCTCTCTCTCCAAAAGTGTCTCCATACAGAACATTACTGGGTCAGTGGGTCCAGACATAGCACAGTTGACATCCAGGTGGCAAGAGCACAGTAATGGTGTTATTAAGCAAAAAAATTTTCTTTTGTAGAATGAGATATGTAAGATAATGTGTTGGTGTGCAGTTGGGTGGTAGACAGCTGGCAGTTAAACTTTTGATGCACTGTCGTAGTCTGCCATGTTGTAATAGGGTCTCCTTGCAGCAGCAGAAGCAGCAGGCTGGGTGCTTCAGTTGTTTGTGAGTGATCAGCCCCACTTTTGAAGAGCCTGAGTGCTGATAAAGTTCTGAAAAGATTATTTTTAGATCAAAATGAGGAAAAAAAGGGGGGAAGATGACTTGATTATAAATTTTAGTTTCACTTTTGTATTGTTTAGGTAAACCTGGTGGTTTTGTTTCTTTCTGTTTTCTATCCTTGCCTGTTATCCCTTAAGTCAGTTTTGTGGAGGTGAATTTTGGACCAGTTAATACTGCCAGGTTCCCACTCACTCATTTCCACTCAGTTCCTTTTGGGATCCTCTACAAGAGTTGCTGTGACCACTGGCAAGCCAGACATTGATTGTCAGGGGGTTAGCACAGAGCTGATTGTGATGTTGGCTGTTTGGGGTAAGATGCCTGACTGCCCATCAAGTGAGTGTAAGTCTCATCTGAAATGTAGGATCAGCATCTTTTGCATGTCTCTTAACCTAGGTTGGAGGAAAATTCTTAAGTAAAGGATGACAGTCTCCTTTTGTCTATAATTCATAACCTCCGTGTAGCTAATGTTTCCTCCTCTAAAAACATTTCAGGTATTTTTGTTTAGTTTGTATTTTCGTGATATCCATAAGTCTTCTTTTTAAAATTGTAATGTTACCAAAATTTATTTACATTGTGACTTTGAAAAAGTGATTTTTAAATGAGTCTTTCTTGCTCATTAATTTACTTAATTAATTTATTGTATTAAAATACAATAAATGTATTTTGGGTAGCTACAGCACTAACCAGTGAGTTGGGCTTAGAAAATCCAAAGATTATTAAGTGCTCAATTTATAGATTTTTAGGCAGCCAGAGTGGGAAAAATGTAGTGGTTATTCAATAAGTTTTAAACAGAAATTTCTTATATGATGTGTAAATGTTTTGAGGGCAGAAAGTTCCCTTGCTTATAAGGCTCAAAAAGTTGAAAAAGTTGGAGTTTTCAGTGATAGTGCTTCCAAGCTCTAATAGTGTTTCATGTTTCTGTGTACATAAGAAACTTTTCTTCAGTTACCGTAGTTTACAGCTATCATCTCAAAGTTTTTTATGTTCTTATCTGAGAGTGTGAACCACAACTTGTCAGAATGTACTTAACAGTATATATTCTTTTTGTCCCCAGAGTTGGCAGTGATGAGAATATGTCAAACACCTGGAAATTCCTGTCTCATTCAACAGACTCACTAAATAAAATCTGCAAGGTCAATGAGTCAACAGAATCCCTTACTGATGAGGGTAAGAGGGAACTTTTGCATGTGCTGTTGCCTACAGCACCTTTAATGAGTTAACAGTGCCTTTTTCTTTCCCTGGCTGTGTCTGAAGCATCAAATGCATCATAATGAATGGGCAGTCATACCTGTGCCATTGTCAGCTGTCTGTTGAAGGATGCCATTGATTTTAATGTGGGTGTACTCTTCGATGCAGATGTTTTTTTTTCCCTCGGCTTTTGTACACATTCTTTTCTAGCTGTCTTGGAGTAATTGTAAGCCTGCTCTCTCATAGGTAGCAGGACCCTTCCAGTTCCTACCTCACCTAAGAATTGTGTCTTAAGTATCAATCTTAACCAATCTTGAACAGTCTGTCACTCCCAAATAAGACACTGGTTCTTTTCTAGTGCCAGAATGTGCTTCCCATGAATACTCCTGTGTTAATATAGAGTATTTATCTCATGAAATCATTTATTGCCCTGAGGAAAGTCCAGCTTTTTAGAGGTTACAAACCCAAGATTCTGAGATTACTTTTTTATATTTTGAGGAGTAGGTACAGACATGAATGAAGGACAGCTAATGGGAGACTTTGAGACTGATTGCAAACAGCTAGAAGCAGAGTCCTGGAGTCGGATAGTAGACAGCAAGTTTCTAAAACAGCAAAAGAAAGACGTGGTCAAACGGCAAGAAGTGATTTACGGTGAGATTCTTCATCTGCTTTGCCTATACCTGATCAGCATTGTTCCACATTTTTAGGCTGGCGAATTGCTGGGCTATGGAAAAATCAGTTTTTGAGTGTGGGAAATCTTTAAAAACTTTGGGGACAGAGATACTGTTCTATTTGTGTCTGTTCATCCATTTTGCCCCATTCTGTTTCTTCTTTATTCTGTTGAGCAGTTGTTTCATATATGCATGCTTAGTTGTAAGCAGTCCTAGAAAGAGATTTCTTCTGAAAATGCAGCTTATTTCCTCAGCCACACTAGAAAGTAAATGAAACAAGAGTCATTTGGAGGAACCAGGTCAATTATGAGAGTTGCTGAATCTAATGAACACCTCTTTGGAAACCAGCACTTTACACTTGCAGAATCTAGTATATCTGTCATCAGAAAATAATATTAGGTCATGTGCAAAATGAGGAGTAAGATGAGAACACTTCCAAAGTTTAAATTGGGCTGTAGATTAACCTTATGACCACAGCAGATCTTTGAAGGATCCTGATTTCTGTCCTCCCAGAGCTGATGCAAACAGAGTTCCATCACATCCGCACTCTCAAGGTCATGAGTGATGTGTACAGCCGGGGGATGACAACGGAGCTGCTCTTTGAGCAGCAGATGGTGGAGAAACTGTTCCCCTGTGTGGATGAGCTGATCAGTATCCACAGCCAGTTCTTCCAGAGGATCCTGGAGCGGAAAAAGGAGTCTCTGCTGGATAAAAGTGAAAAGAACTTCCTTATCAAGAGGATAGGGGATGTGTTGGTAAATCAGGTGAGCCATGGGAAGGATCACAGGTCCTCCTCCCTTATGAGGAAAAAGTGAAGCTTTGGGGTTTGTGAGCCTGCATCCATCTCACCTCTCCCATTTAACTTTGCAGGCTTAGGGAAGTTAATCTCTCTGAACGTCGAGTTCCTTTTCTGTACAAAAGAACTGTAGGGCTTCTCTGCTTATGCTATTTTAGAAAGTTAAAAGGAGTATGTATGTAAAGTAGCTAACAAATGGTAGATATACATTAAAAGGTTTTGTCCTTAACAAAAGTAATGTAGTTTCACAAATCAAAGGATATTTGTTGGAAGTTTTCACTTTTCCTCTATGGCTCAATTAAAAAAGGGCATCATCTATGTTAAAACTAGCAGAAGCATAGAAAGTTAATCAAGAGACTCTGTAAAATATGTATTATTAATATTTACCAAGGGGTGATAAGGTTTCATTTCCACTCAAATTCAGCTAAAGATTATTTTAATGCTTTTAGGCAGCTTTTAATGTTTCTTTAAAAATACTCTTGAAAAAAATGTAGTACCTTAATGTTAATAGGGTATGTAGCATGCACAGGTAGCTGTTACATTTTTTTCTCCAGCAAATTACTACTTCTGTGTAGATGCAGAGGCTTAATTGCTACGACACTTGTCTGAGAATGGAAATTTTGCTTTCCTTGTATACTTGAACCTATACCTCTCACTTCATTGATTCATTAGCATTTTTATTCATTCTCTTAAGTATATTTACCAAGCACCTATTAATATGCCAGATATAATCACACAGGTGAATATAGCTTGGACTACTGCCTCAGGGAACTCCTAGAAGTAAAAGCAGACATGTTATAAAATGAATGCAGACTGATCAAGAGGTCTGCAATTTATAGTCAGAGCCTACAAATGAGGACCTTTTCTCCCCAAACATCCCCTCTTCCAAACATTTCCCACTTCCCTCTTTCTGGCTTCTCTCCACCTGCAGGCTCTACACAGGCACGTCATCTAACCTTGTCTTGTTTTATCATTTGTACACCTCCCCCGGTAAGATCATTGATGCTGAGATTAAAACCCTGGTCCCCTGATGTCCATTTGTTTTTCTGTGTGCCAAAGCCAGAATCAGCTTTTTCAGGCACTTGGTTTATGGTAGGAGCATATAACTTGTGGTCTTTCCATCTCAGCTTCTCACATTGGTGAGTATTCATGAAAGGAAAAACCACCCTGAACCCTCTTCACATTTTTTGGCAAAGATAAATTTGTATTGCCTACAGTGTTTTTAGTACATGGAAATAAGTGCTTAGCATATATCAGATAAACCTCATGCAGAAACTTATTGACATATCCCAAGACAAATATCTTCAGATGGACCTGTGAGGTTGCACATATTTGGAGATTATTTAAGGGCCTTGCAGAATTACTAAAACTGCTTGTCTAAAGAAAGTGGGATAATCAAAGGCTGGGGTATGGCTCAAGTGGTAGAGCGCCTGCCCAACAAGTGCAAGGCCCCCCACCCCCCAAAAAAAAGAAAGTGGGATAATCAAATCCCTAGATTTCTGATGTTCATCTAACTTTATTTTGTGTGTGTGGTGCTAGGGCTGAAACCCAGGACCCTGGAAAAACCTCATTATGGTGCTTAATTCATAATACTCTTTTTTTTGTGGTGGAGAGTGCTGGGGAGGTCACGCCCAGGGCTTCATGTATTCCACACTAGTGCTATACCACTAAGTTATTACCCCCATCCCCTGTGTAACTTAATACGGTCAAATTTAAGACTGTCTCATGAGAAAACTTCTGGTGAGCCTCCAAGTTTGTTTATTACTATGTTCATGACAAATGGAAGTTAGAAAACATTTCATATTTCTTACATGCACAGTACATAGATACTTCTGGTTTTGTTTTCAAAATGATAAAAGTCATATCCTGCATAATCCACCCATTTAAAATGTATAGTTAAATGGTTTTCAGTGTGTTCACAGTTGTGCAGCCATCACCACAGTGAACTTTAAAACATTTTCATCAACTAAAAGGAAACCCACACTCACGAGTAGTCACTCCCCACACCTCCCATACAACAAACTGCACCAGGTCTAGGCACCCACTAGCATATTCTCTGTCTCCGTGGATTTGTCTTTTCAGGAGATTATGCATAAACTGAATAAAACAATATTTGGTCCTTCGTGAGTGACTTTTTTTTCACTCTGTGTAATGCTTTCAGGGCTCTTCAAAATTGTAGCATGCAAGTGTCTAGCTTGAGTGGTAGAGCACCTGCCTAGCATGTGTAAGCCCTGGGTTCAATCCCCCATACCTCAAAAAAAAAAAAAATGTAGCATGTAAATGTACTTCATTCTTTTTGTAATACTCTACAGTTCCTGTCTTATGGTGACCATACTTTATCTATCCATTAATGGACATTTGTGTTTTTCATGTTAGGGACTGTTAACAGTAATGCTGCCATGAACATTTGTGTATAACTTTTTGTGTGGATTTCCCTTGGGTATACACCTAGGAGTGGAATGCTGTGTCTTAGGAGAACTCTAATATTTTTAGCCTTTAATGAAGTGCCAAACTGTTTTTCCAAAGCTGCATCACCAATTTAATCTTTTGGGGGAATTTATGAGAAAGCACTCTTGGCTTTTACAAGTAGACTGGAAATGTTTACAGAATGGTACACTGAATTATGGCATAACCACTGTCCTCTTTCCTCTGCAGTTTTCGGGTGAGAATGCAGAACGCTTAAAGAAGACATATGGCAAGTTTTGTGGGCAGCACAACCAGTCTGTAAACTACTTCAAAGACCTTTATACAAAGGATAAGCGTTTTCAGGCCTTTGTAAAGGTATTGATATGAAACATGAAATTCACCATTATTAAGGTCATTGTCAGTTTAGCTAGAGCTTTCTTCCTCACATAGTGCCTAACAATTTGTTTACTCTCTTGCAGAAGAAGATGAGCAGTTCAGTGGTAAGGAGACTTGGAATTCCAGAGTGCATATTACTTGTAACCCAGCGAATCACCAAATACCCAGTTTTATTCCAAAGAATATTGCAGTGTACCAAAGGTAAGTCCCTTTCTGAGCTCAGTCTTATATGCCAGTGGATTGTTCCCATTGTGCCCAACAGCCCTAAACACCACCATAGAAGAGCTGTCTCATACTATAGCAGGTCTAGAAGAGCTCCTGTGTTTTATCTTAAACAGTTTGTTGTTGTTGTTGTTGTTGTGGAGGTTTTGGGGGCAGGGGGAAAGTTGTTTTGGTTTTTTTGTGGCTTTTGGTGTTTTTGAGACAGGTAACTATATAGCCCCGATTGGCCTCAAACTGGTGGTCTTCCTGTTTTAGCCTCCCAAGTGTGGTGTACCACCACACCCAGCTGAAAACTTTCTGAGTGAAAGCGTGGAATGTTAGGTCACCGGTATTGGGGCAGGTGATAGCAAGAAGGAAAGGGACCACTTACTGATTCCGTCAAGAGTTGCATGCTCTGAGCAGCTTACTTCCCTTATCCCTAAACTGGCCAACAGTTCCCACCAGTTCTTCCCATAGGTGCTGGAATTGCTGCTGTTATTCACTTAATCAGTTCATACCAATTTCTCTTTCTTGGCTAATCCTTCTCCTAGGCAGTTACATTAATGATTACAAGGTGTTAACACTACATAAAGACATAAATTACTTGTTGCTCCTTTCTCTACTTCTCTTCCCTCCATAAAAATATCTGGGTTTTTTTTCCTTTAGAATAGAGCATGTAATCGCATACTATCCATAGCATTGCAAACTTCTCTCTTTAGAATTAAACTTATAGCAATAGGAGAGATAGGTTATGTAACCCAGTGTGCTGGCTTCGCTCTGACAGCACAACCACAAAAGGAAAATGATGTAAAGTAGGAAGGCAGGACCCCCCCACACACACATACACACTCATTTACTCTTGTCTGAAAGATGCCATTAAAAGCAGAATGTTCTTTCTTCCCAAGACAATGACGTAGAACAGGAAGACCTAGCTCAGTCCTTGAGCCTGGTGAAGGATGTGATTGGAGCCGTCGATAGCAAAGTGGCAAGTTATGAGAAGAAAGTACGTCTCAGTGAGATTTACACAAAGACAGATAGCAAGTCGATCATGAGGATGAAGAGTGGTCAGATGTTTGCCAAGGAGGATTTGAAACGGAAGAAGCTGGTACGGGATGGGAGTGTGTTCCTGAAGAGCGTGACAGGAAGGTTGAAAGGTAAGGCTCTGCTCACTTCAGTCCGAGTCTGTATACCTGTGGAGAATGGGCAAAACCCAAGTGCTTCTGTCAGAAATTCACCTTCAGGTTTTCTCCTAGCTAGCCATATCCAAACTCCTCACCCAGGAGCAAGAACCATTTAATGTTTGCAATCTTATATCAAAAAGGACCATTTTAAGATAGCTTACAAAATCCTAGGAAGTGCCACAAGAAAACAAAGAAATGATGCAGCCAGGGAAAATTGAAAGTAAGATTTTAAAAAGCACAGGATTGGATTAATACAAATATGTAAACTGCTAGGGAAGGCATAGTCCCTTACAGGAGAGGAGGAGCCACAGTGGAATTGGGGTCTGTGGCAAAACAGTTACCAGCAGGTAGACAGTCAGATGGTTCAGAGAGTCTCTGAGAATGAAAACATACCACTGTTCCCAAAATATATTAGAGGGATTTGCAGTTTCTGAGACCTTAGAGAAAGGTAAGTTTAATTCACATCAGCTAGATTTAATATTATGCTTTATATTTGTATCTTTCTTGAAAGCAAGAAAGATGATAAGATTACCCATTCTTCATTTGGTTTATACTTTTCACGTTTCAAATGATCAGCCACAATAAGTTAAGGCAATTAGAAGGTTTATTTTTTATTCAGCTGTACATCTGATTTCCTTAAAAATAAAAACAACCACTTTCACCAAACCCATTCTGGATGGCCCTATATGTGAACTCTGACTTCCTTCCCCCTTCTCCCTGGCCTTGGTGAGCTGAGGACATGGAGCTAACTGGGTCGTGCTGTTGGTCCCACTGGCATATTGAAGTTGGAGGAAATGTGTGCTTTTATCATCTCAGAGGTACAGTGATGTTGGTGACTGCTGTTGAGATTGCCCCAGGATCTCTAGCAGTTTCACTGGGTTTAGGATAGTGCAGAAGTCCAGACAAGCAGCTGATTTCAATCATGAATTAAGGAAAGAGGTACTTGCTCTCCATTGTGATGAGTGGTAGACTAGAGAAGAAGGGGTGAGGAATGACCATGGAGTCAAGCCTTGAACACTGAATAGGAGGGCACAGGCAGATAGGGAGAAGGTGGTCCTGGTGGTAAGGAAGAATGTGTGGAAGCACAGAGTTGGGAGGGCCTGGGAATCCAGCAAAGGTAGACAGCCAAAGCTCCCAGATAGCAGAATAAATGAGAAGGATAGGGAACAGGCCAGAAGAAACTGCTTGGGCCAACTGTGATGGGGGTGGAGTGGACAGTTGACACTCTTGACAGGTGTGGAACAGAAAGTAGACTTATAATGGTAAGTTTTACACAGGAAAGGGATAAATGAGAAGGATTTTGTTTTAGGGATTTTTTTTTTTTTTTTTTTTTTTTTAGTACAATGACTAGGGGCAACTTAGAGCGACATACTCAGGAATGACAAAGGCATCAAGGAGACTGTCACAGCGATTCGAGAAGCACCCACCCAGGGTTGTGCTATAGTGGAAGGCATGGAAAAGAAGAGTAGGATAATTTCAGAAAAAAAGTATCTCTTGCTGACACCAGCCAGTCATGAATTTCATCGTTCTGTAATGAGCTTGCCCCTTCCTGTCAGTCAGCTCCACTGTTCTGTGATGATCTGAGAGCCTAGCTCAGAACCCTTTCCATGGCACCACTTTGAGGCTCTTTCACGCAGGCTGGCAGTTCAGAAACCCCTGACCTCTCTTGTGAGGACCTGCATTTCCTAGAGCTGCTGCTGCCTGAAGCCAGTGCTTCTTTCTTTCCTTTACAAGCAGTTTATTTATTCATTCCCAAAATAAAACTAATAGATTCCAGCTGTTGGAATAAAGTTGTGGTGAAGCCAGTGGCAGAATGATAGGTTTCCTGGCTTGAAAATGCCTGCAGTGGTGATTGGAGATGGTGTTTAGTCATTCTCACCCCCGAGTAACTTGTGCCAAGGACAGCCAGTACTGTGTTGAGTGCCCTTGCACAGGGGTGGGATTGTTTTTCTCTGATCCGCTGACACTGATCATGTAAAGGAGAAGATCCAACAAAGTTGAAACTTGTATTTTAGAACTTCGTGCTGGGAGGCAGGCACATGAATTATGTAAAAGTGTACTTTAAGAAGAAAACTTGTCGAAACTAACACAATGAAAGGGAAAAGAGGGTCGAAGGGGGCAGAGGTTGAAGAAAAGCCTGGAAGGGGCTATATAAATCAGTCTGTCCTTTTCCAAGGAATCATAGGCTTCACTTTCCAGAGTGAAGATTCACATCAAGCCAGTCTGTTAGCGCTCAAAAGATGGTTCAGAGATGTCACACTATCCTTAAAGGAGTAATGGAAAATACCACTTTGTGGCTGGAGGCATGGCTCAAGTAGTAAAGTGCCTGCCTAGCCCCAAGTTCAAATCCCAGTATTACCAAAAAAAAAAAAAAAAAAAAAAACCCTGAGAGAGAAAATGTTACTTTATAATCCTAGAGGATTAGTTAAACAAGGGGTTTGTGGAAATTTTTTTTTAATGCCTGGATCCATGTAGAGATGTTAATTTTGTTGTTTGGTTTGAGGAGGGAGATGCTGGGGATGGAACCCAGGGCATCATGCATGCTAGGCACCCCTGGAAGAGAAGGCTGTTATTTTATGGTGTAGAGAAGTTGAAGTGGAAGCTAAAGGCTGACCCTGTACTCACTTGCACCTATGAAGCCTGAAAGTGTCTATGGGGGTTGAGGAAGAAGTCTCCCTTTCATTAGGCTTAGGTCCTGCCACACATCACCTTTGGAAAGCTTTCTCAGCTGCTGTTCCCATTACTGTAATCAGAAGTTGGGAAAGATTACAGTCATGGGCTGGGGGTGTAACTCGGGTCTATAGAGCACCTGCCCAGAATGCATAAGGTCCTGCACCCCAGCACTGAAAAAAAATTTACATATTTTGTGTACGTTGCTATTAAACATCAGTTGAAATCTAACTTTTAAAACTTTTTTTTTTTTTGATACTGGAGATTGAACTCAGGGCCTCACTCTTGACAGGCACGCATTCTACCTACATGGATGAGCCATGCCGCCAACCCTTTGGCTCTTAACTTTTCGGACAGAGACTCACACCTTTGCCTAGGCCATCCTTAGAACTCCGTCCTTTGTCTCCTGAGTAGCTGAGATTATAGGCTTAAGTTTAAAGCTTATTCTTAAAACTGTTTTAGTCTTAAAATCTTGCCTTATGGTATATATCTTTCCAGGACTGAGTACTTAAACTTTTCCAAGACGAGCTTTGTAACAAAAACCCGTTTTAAAAATGCCTCTAAAAATCTAGTGACCAGATCAGAATCCTGCAGAACTATAAAACTCTTTTTGGGGAGAGGCAGTTTCAGACTGTCGTTTGCACTTGTCATTCTGGATCTCCTGTGATGAAAGCCCTTCTGACATGGTTAGCTATTAAGTATCCTCTTCCCCTGTTTCCATTCACAGAGGTCCAAGCAGTTCTGCTCACTGACATTTTAGTTTTCCTTCAAGAAAAGGACCAGAAATACATCTTTGCATCATTGGTAAGCTGAATTGTTATTCTCTTCTGTTTGGAATTAATAGCATTTAAAACAACTAGGTTAGGTGTGGAATGTAAAAACATGGTATTACGGTTCACCTACTCTCTGAAAATTGAGTCAGGACAAATCCTCTGAGTATTGTTTTACATACTCTTGTGATTTTTTTTTTTCCATGGTACTGGGGCGTGAACCTCAGGGCCTTCACCTTGAGCCACACCACCAGCCCTGTTTTTGTGAAGGGTTTTTTTGAGATAGAGACTTGTGAACTGTTTGCCCAGGCTTGGAACTGTGATCCTCCGGATCTCTGCCTCCTGAGTAGTTGAACTACAGATGTGAGCCACCAGCACCCATTACTGATGTGATTTTCTGTTACTTCTTCTACCGCCAAAATTATTTTATTTTTCTGTTCCCTCATAATCCTTTTGGGATCTGAACATGTGATGATTTGATCTAAGTAAAAATATGAAACTGAAATATTTGTCACACATTTGACCCCATAAATTCATGTTTGATATTGCTGGCCATTACTTCTTTGGGGAACTTAGAGGATTCATCAAGTAGAAAACATGACTGGAACCTTTACAGCCATAAGTTGTCATCTCCATTATGGAAACCTTTGTTAAAATTGGAGTGAAATAAAGTATTTCTCTTTATCCTAAAGCTGCCATTGTGTTTTTTATGCATGCTGCATGTAGTCTACCTAGGTCAGAGTTGTCCTTAAAAGTTAGAGCATTGTGTACATACACACCGTATGTTTGCCTTTTCCTCTTTGTCCAGGACCAGAAATCAACAGTGATCTCTTTAAAGAAGCTGATTGTAAGAGAAGTGGCACATGAGGAGAAAGGCCTGTTCCTCATCAGCATGGGGGTGAGAGATCCAGAGATGGTGGAGGTCCATGCCAGCTCCAGAGAGGAGCGGAACAGCTGGATTCAGATCATTCAGGATACAATCAACACCCTGTACGTTAAACACCAGGGCCCACCCTTCCCAGCCCTCCTTACCCCGCCATGTGATTTCATAATAGACTGGACAGTGGCCAGAGAAATTGACCTCTTAGGAATTTTTGTTTTGTTCTGGCTGTATTAGGAACAGAGATGAAGATGAAGGAATTCCGAGTGAGAATGAGGAAGAAAAGAAAATGCTGGACACCAAAGCCCGGGAGTTAAAAGGTGAGCTGTTGGAAGCTATTCAAGGCCCTCATCTGTGGATTGTGTGCACTTGCACAAGATGCTTCTGCTTTCCAAAGACCTGGGCTGCGCCTCAGTCCAGGACTGTCTCCGTGGCATCATGACGGGGATGAGAGTCCTGGCAAAGCACGGCAGTACTTAATTCTGTGGTCCTGGGATCAGTGCTCTTGGTCCCTGATGACATTCTTTGTACTTGTCACAGAGAATTTGCCAAATTTCATACAGAAGGAGAGAGAGACACTTGAGGAAAGGAATTCTCCAGTTGATCTGTTTTAATCCTGCTAGTGCCTGGCTCGCTCAGTTATGCATGTGTTCACAAGTCAGTTGTGAGGTGGTTGGGAAGAAAGGTACTTAACTATGTCTGATCACTATTTAACAGAAGTACTGAGTTCCTTGTACTCTTATGAGCATCCTTTCAAATGAGATAATTGAGGACCTCAAAGGTCAAACCTCCAAGGGCCAAATGTGTGGTCTCCATATATATTGATGCATCCAACTCTGTGTCCTCCGGCCTCAATATCCCATCTACTGGGATTACAGATATAAACTACCATGCCCGTTCTAATCCCTGTTCCATAAACAGCAGAGTCTTGTACTTCCCTCTTCACTTATTGAATTTCCCAAGAGAAAGATTGGGCTTTTAGAAATAAGGCCATGAGTAAAGGAAATGTAAGCACCCAAGGAGTTTAGTTTGTCCTTCAAACTAAACTATCACTTTGTAAAGTGATAGCATTCTGTTTCATTGAAGAGGGAAAAAAAAAGAGGGCCAGGTTTAAACCAGAGTCAGAGTTATATCAGATTTATTGACCCATGGTTAAGATGACAAGGATAAAATCTACCTTCTGTTAACATTTGTTGAGCACCTGGCTAGGTGGACTGCTAGGGATGCAAAGATTCCCAAAATGCTCATGCCTGTAATCCTAACTACTCAGGAGGCAGAGATCAGGAGGATCATAGTCTGAAGCCAGGGCAAATTGTTTGTGAGACCCTACCTCAAACTACCTCAAAAAAAAAAAACCCATCACAAAATTAGGGCTGGTGGAGTGGCTCCAGGTGAAGGCCCAGAGTTCAAACCTCAGTACAGAAAAAAAAATAAAAAAATAAAATTCCCAAAACACAGCCCTTGGGAAGCTCACACTCTAGCAAGGGGTATATAAATGAATGGCAGGCCACAAAATGGCCTAGTGGACTGGAGGCACATGTAAAGTGTGTGGGATCTGTTCATCCTGCCTGTACGACTCACAGCTGACTTGTGAGCTGCATCTGGGGGAAAAAGTTATCTCACCACTTAAGTAAGAATAGTTACGTGAAAGTGAGCTTGATGAGTCTGCCACAGAATGTCAGGTTTAATATGTCTGGAGGATCAGGACTCAGTGGCAGGAGCTTAAGCTGGAAGGTACCAGGCAGATCTTAAAGGAAACAAGGGAGTGATAAAATTTTTTAAAAATTAAATACGTGTTTAAGCCTATTGGGAGAATCACTTGATGTTGTTAGGATTCTAGAATAGATCTGAGTGAGAAACACAGTTATTAAAGTCTTCTCAGCATGGTAGGATGTAAGGAGAGAGAATCTCTCCCAGGTTTCCAGATTGGGTAACCTGGAGAACGAAGAAGGCTAGTGGGGGCAGAGACTGTAAGCTAAAGGGAAGAGGTGGATTGGCAAGGCTGGAAAACAAATCGTTTTCTGACATCCTGAGAATGAATTCAGTGGGATCCAGTGGTCTTGTGTTGAGAAGGGAGAGTTGTGATGCCTGCTGTGTTATCAGCATATGGGAATTAGCTGAAGCAATGGGAGTGAGTAAGATTCCCCAGAGGAAAATGTGTCAGGTATAAAAGGCAGCCTGTGATGGAGCCAAGGGAAGGACCCAGCTGTGCTACTCCAGTATGCCTGGCAGGTCCATAAAATGGGTCTGAGAAAGAGTGGCAGGAAGAAACTGATGTCTTCACAGTGAAGGAGAGAAGTTGTTTCAAAAAGAGGGAGTATTATCAATGCTGGAATAAATCTAAAACTGAACTAAAGGATCTCTTTGGATTCAGCAGTGAGAACAGTTTCAGAATGGTGGTACCAAAGCCAGAGACAGGTGAGTTGAGGGATAAAAATGGGGTAAAGGAGTAGAGCAAAGTGAAGGCTTGTTATGTAAGAAATGCCAGTTTTGGGTTTAAAAAAAAAAGAGTGCCCAATATGGTTTTCTAGATAGAAATCACAGAACACAATCTTGATCGACTGGGCGAGGGATGGGGGAGGGGGAGGGGCGGTTGTCTTGACATTTTCAGAAATTACCACAAGGTGGTGCTCATGTCTCAGTCATCTCACCATACTGAACACCAAACACATTAGATCCTTTTCTTCACCCTTGCAGAGCAACTTCAGCAGAAGGACCAGCAGATCCTCCTCTTACTGGAGGAGAAGGAGATGATTTTCCGGGACTTGACTGAGTGCAGCACTCCCTTGCCAGAGGACTGCTCCCCAACTCACAGTCCTAGGACCCTCTTCCGCTCTAACACAGTGGAGGCTCTCAAAGGAGGACCATTAATGAAGAGTGCAATAAATGAGGGTAATTGAAGTTCGTGTTGCCCCTTTCACCCTCTCCCACAGGACATTACCCACCAGCTTCTACTTTGTTATAAAGCACCAGTACAGAAAACTACCCAAGCAGATTTATAACCATTCCAAGATCAAGACTTAAAATGTGCCCTGCCCTCATCACACGTCCTCCTAAAAGGAGCAACTGTTTTGACTACATTAGTAATCATTTATTTGCTAATCATCCTTTTTTCAATATTTTTTTAAATCATCTGAGCTTTCTGAGCTATAAGTTAACAGTTTATTCATACAGAAGTACTGTCCTCTTGACAGCTGGATTTGGTGTCTTAATATCTTAGAGTGATTACTTGGCAAGCTGTGGCCTTGTAGTGTTGTTCTTTCATTGAGAGGCACCAAATAACAGTACCGTTGAAGGATAAATGCTTGTGGGTTTTTTCTCTTCCTTTATTTACCAATTTTCAAGATAGTAAATTGATTTATGGTCATCTTCTGGAAATATCTGTCTATACACATAGGTAGCTCATTGATAGTATATGTGCTTAGCATACAATTAAGGGTCTTGGGTTCAATCCCTAGCACCAAAAATAAATAAAATATTATTATATATTCAAGTCATTGTGGTTTTCAGCCTCACTTGAAGCTCAGAGTGTCCCATATTGGCCATTGAGGCACCTCTTTGGTTTCTGAGTCTTATGGCATGCCTATTTGACTGTTGTAGTCTGAGAACTTTTTTGCTCTCTGGTAGAGTAAGATGTTCCACACTTACCATGACTGTTTTCTGCCCCAGATGTGGAACCATTTGTTTCTCTGAGAGCTCTGGTTTCTTTTAGTGGAAAATATTTTAAGGCCATAATCTGGGCCCTGGACGATGGTCATTATTACTAGGTTTTAATGAACAGAGCAGGAATACATTTTATATGAATTCACATTGGTACATCCAATCAAGTTGTGAGCTACATGGTTTTGGTATTTGTTGTTGTTTTGACGGTACTAGGGTTTGAACTCAAGATCTCACACTTGCTAGGCATTTATTTGCTCTACTCTCTGAGCTACTCAGCCAGCCCATACAGGGCTTTTTTCTTTTTAAAAATCTAATTTCTTTAGTATTACATCTGTATTTCTTCCATATTGTGAATCTTCACTAAAGGACACATCATATAATTATTCTGTGTTTTCTTAATGTCTTTATGCCACCTAATGCACATAGCAGCAGTACTGATACTCCTGCCACCAAGTACCGTTTTCACTGCTAGCTGTCCTCCCTTTGTGCTTAAGTAGCTGTACTGGGGCCACACTTCCTCCGTAGTCTGTGTTCTTATAAGCGCACGTAATGAGTGTCCACCACTAGCCGTCGTGGACGTCTGTGGCTTACCTGCAGCAGACACCTCAGCAAAGCTGAGTGGCACTGGTATTCCCCGAGCTCTAGCACGCTGATGATGATTTGTGCTGGATAGAAAAATCCTTCTCGTGGGTATGTTACTCTCAAAAGTCGCTTCACAAAGCGTTGCTGTCAGCGGGTGGAGATCATTTTCTTTTCCCCATGTAAGTCACATACTCTTGCCCACATGCCCGAAGGACTTTTAAGTCCAAGTAATTTTATTAGAGTATGCCTGGTTGTTCTCAGCGTCAGAGTGGTCCATTTGATAATGTCATTTCAAGTTTTTCAAATTTTAGGAAAGTATTCTTAAGTTACTGTTTTTAGTGTTTTTCCTTTCCTTTAGTTTTTCTTCTTCAGCAACTCCAATTACCCATACAATGCTTCTTCTTCGTCTCGACTTTAACATTTGTCATTTTCTTTTTCTTTTTTATATTTTGGCTATACTGTTTGAACTAAGGGCCTCGTGTTTGATAGGCAGGTGTTCTACCCCTTGAGCCACTCCTCCAGCCCTTTTTTTTTGTGACGGGTGTTTTCAAGATAGGGTCTCACAAACTATCTGCCTGGGCTGGCTTTGAACCTCGATCCTCCTAATCTCTGCCTCATCCCTGGATAGATGGCATTACAGAGTGAGCCGTGGCACCCAACTGCTCTTCTTTTTAATGTTTATTCTTTCACCTATTATGCCACTGTCTGTTGGTGGACTGCTCTTATACTGTAGCTTGGTTTTCACTTCTATAATTTTTCTTTCCAGTTCTTTGAGTTTTTTTATGTATGAGAGAGCCTAGGCTGCCTGGAACTCAAAATCCTCCTGCCTTTTAAACTCTAGGATTGTAGGCTGTGCCACCACACCTAGCTGTGGGTTTTCTCATTTTGCCTTAGGTTCTTTCATGTCTTAGGACATTTTGTCAGTGTGTTTTGCTATTTATTTTATGGGATGTCTTTCTGATATGGCTCTATTGTCTGTAGGGAAGTTAGACCCCTTGTGCTCCAACTCCTCTCTTCTGACTTTGTGAGATTTGACTTCAGTATTTTTCTCTTGCTCATTTTGGTATGAAGTCAGTTTCTTAAAATTTTCAGTCCAGATAACTTTTATTTCATAGTATTCTTCTACTGTTTCGGCTGTTTTTTTGTTTTTTAATGGAATGCTTGTTTGGAGATTTCTTGCCACCTCTGATTCCCTCCCTTATTCCATGTGTCCTTTTTTTTTTCCTTCATCCCTATTGTTCCCTTTCCTGCTCAGTTTTTTCGTCTACTTTCATCACATTCTCTGTGGCCTCTGCCCTAGAAAAGAACTCAAGTTGGTTGGATTTGAGAACTCAGAGGCTTGGGCTACTCTAGCCCCTCTAAACCCACTTGCTAGTGGAACAGACAAAAGAAAAAGCTGCTAGTTTTAGTTGTTGTTCTCAAATTGTCCCACCTTACTTCCAAGGAATGTCTTTGACTCCAGAAGCCATGCTCCTTAGTAAATTCCTCTGCTTCCCTGCATTCTTTGAAAATTTCCAGGCCTCGTAGAAGTAAGGTTGAAGGTTCATCTCAAAATTTCCAGTAGAGTCCAATTAAAACATGTAACGTGAGCTGAAACCCTGTGGGCAGGGGACTTCATCTATTCACTCTTTGGAATTTTCTGGCCTATTCCTATATATATCATGTATTACTGTGACTTTTTTTTCATCTTCATTGTACAAGAAGGTGTCAGCTTTGCGTGTTTTGTTTCTTTTTTTCCAGTGGAGATCCTTCAGGGTTTGGTCAGTGGAAACTTGGGAGGCATACTAGGGCAGGCCATCAGCAGCCCTGTTGAGCAAGAAGTCACAGCTGGCCCTGTTTCCTTGCCTCGGAGAGCAGAGACCTTTGGAGGATTTGACAGTCATCAGATGAATGCCTCCAAAGGTAAGCGGTCCCCGCTCTCCCATAGAACTAAACATGGCCTGTCTCCAGGTAGCTCCATCTCCTTTAAAGTGAGCTTCTAAAATATACAAGATTTTAGATGCAAACCGGTCAGATTTGCACTCATTTTGTGTAATTAAGGTTTTTCTGGGCTCTCACTTAAGCTGTATGTCACTGTAACTGAGGGAGTGCTAACACAGGTTGAGCATCTCTAACCTGAAAATTACAAATGCTCCAAAACCCAAAACTTCTTGAGCACTGACCTCACACCACAAGGGGAAGATTCTACACTTAAATTTGTGACAAGTCACAATCAGAACGTAGGCATGTTAAAAATATATAAAATATGTTCAAGCTGTGTGTATCAAGGTGTGTTTGTGACAAGCACTGAATTCATGTTTGTCCCATCTCCAGAGAATCTCATTATTAATGCAAATATTGAAAAATCTGAAGTCCAAAACTTGTGGCTCTAAGCATTTCAGATAAGAGATGCTTAGCCTTACATGTCTTCCTGCCTCCAGTTCTTCTGCATTAGGGAAAGTGTGGATAATGGCTGAGTCACTCCCATAGCCCTAAGCTATTTGTATTCTACCTCTCCCCCAGTATTAGGGTTTGAATTCTGGCCTTCCCACTTACAAATTAGGAGTGCTGCCACTTGAGCCACACCTCTAGCTCCTATATTGTGTTCTTTTATTGACTAATCTATTTCACAACTTTAATTTAAAAAAATTTTTTGAATGTTGTTGTTTAGCAGGTGAGAAGGAAGAGGGAGATGATGGCCAAGATCTCAGGAGAACAGAATCAGACAGTGGTCTGAAAAAGGTACTTCCTCCTACAATCTACTATCTATGAACCTCCTTTGCACCTTCCTCTGGATGTCTGACTTGCTACTTTTAATGAAATCTGACCTTATTTTTAGAAGAAAGTTTGCATTTAAAACAAACTATACAACTGAGAGTCCCTCCTGGTTGGCTTTTTGATCTCTGGCTTAGAGCTCCATGTTTCCATTCCTAACTCCAGCCTGGCCCCAGCAGGACCAGGAACCCCAAACCATCCAGCCTCATAACTTCAGTACCTTGCAGCGAGAGGCCACTGTAGAAAAGAAAAATAATCCTATATTGTGTTCTTTTATTGACTAATCTGTTTCACAACATAACTAGGAAACACATTGAATATAATTTCTGCATCAAGATCTTTATTTTTAAAATGCATATTTTTTGTTTTGTAGGGTGGAAATGCTAACTTGGTATTTATGCTTAAAAGGAACAGTGAGGTAAGGACTTTATGAACTGTGTGAAATGTGTGTGTTAGGTTAAAAATATTCACTTTCTTTTGCTGTTGCAACTCCTGGCTACATCTATTTGTGTAAACGGTACAGTTGTCTGTTTCCTTGGCCTTTCCTGTTTCCTTTCCCCAAAATGCTAATCTTGGGATTTTGCCAACTAGAATATTGCCTACTATGAAAGCCTCAGATTCTCTTTCCATAGGAAGCCTCTTGAGTTTTGTCAGCTTTGTCTACATGAAAGCTTCGAAGCCCTCTTGGTGGTCTCTTTTAGTCTTAGCCCACTGAGTAGAATTTGAAGTAACTTCCCATAACAAAAGCCTGACCCCAAAAGCCATAAGTGGTTAATTCTACATAGTAATTTCTTACCCTTCAAAAACTCTAGTTCACTTCTTTGAGCACTGCCTTCATGCAACGTGGTTTACGCTATGAAGGAGTGAGGGACCCTTGTTGGGAATCAGCCCTGGTGCTAGCCTATTGTACCTTCCTTTGCCTGAGCTTTGCTTGCTGTGTGGGGGTAACAGCACTACTGTCACAGAGCCCCTCCCTCATGCCTTCTGATGGAATCAGCTTCAGGGTCACTGCCATCTCCATTGTTGGTTCACTCTGAGCTCTGTCTTGTGTGTAAGCTGACTAGTCAGGACCTTGAATACCAGTCGCTTTTTAGGGTGGGCTTCTCAAGGACGTTGTTCACATTTCTCTTTTTTTTTTCCTTGCTGTATTTATTATAATATCTTAAACCCCTGTGGAGCTTTTTTTTTTTTGAAATTTTAAAGTAAGAGGAATCTTCATCCCCATCCCCTAAACACAGGAGGATGTTGTTTTATGTTTAGTGTGCTTGTCCTGAGCTGCTTGCTCTCTGTATCTGCCCCTTGAAAGCTAGCTGTTGGTTTTTCTGTTTGGCACAGTGAAAGTCAGGGTAGGAAATAGTGCATGACTACTTTGTTTTTGAAGAATTCTGGCATAGATCACATAGTACAAGTGCACAACTAGGGTCCATAGATCCACAATTTCTGTTTTTTAATGGCATTCTTAAATAGGAGAAAGTTCTCAGAAGAACTAATCTTGGTAGAAAATTTGAAAAATTGGGGGGTGGGCATGGGGGAAAGAACCAATAACATAAATTACTTAAAACAAATACTCCCACCCTTGGGAAGTAACTCCTGTTCGGTGTTCGGTGTTTGTGCTTCCATCCTTTGCTTCTACATGATGTGTGCTGTGCCTGAGTTTGCCTCAGTACTGGTGGAGCTTTGAATCCTGCTTTTTCCTTGCAACACATGTTCCCAAGGCTGATGGACTCAAAACCTGCTGTTGAACAGCAGCATATTACTTACTGTATATACTATAACTTACTTAAATCTTCCTGATTCTTTTTCTGCTAATGCAACCAAACCTGGAAGAATCTTGTACATAACTTTTTTTTTTTTTTACAGCTCTTTGATAATTTCCTCAATATGCTAAATTGTTATCTGGATATTCTGTAGTGCTAAGCCCTACTTGGCAGGCAAAGAGTGTCTGTTTTCATTTTACTTTCTCCAATATTAGGTATTACAACAAATATTTTGTTGGTTTGGTAATGTCAAGTGGCATTTCTTCATTGATTTTACATTTATTTGATTTCAAATCAGTTTGGTTTTTTTTTTTTTTTTTTTTTTTTTGTTGCTGGTGGGGTATGTGTTAGAAGGCTAGGGATTGGGTGAACCCAAGGGCCTCACCCATTCTTAAGTACACTTGGAGCTACACTTGCAGTCCATCAGTTTTTAATATTTTTATTTCTCTTGTAAATTGTGTTTCCAGCTTATTTTTTTATTAAGGTTTGAGAGCCTTTTTTAAATCAAAGTAAGCTTGTCCTTTGCTCCTTCCATTGCTCCTGTGTTTGGAAATCCCTGCCCGTTTCAAAATCAGAGAACATTCCCTTACGTTTACGTCTAGTTCTTTCATGGTTTATGCCTTTACCATGGTAATCATTTGATTGTCTTTGTGTGTGTATGTGAGCCAGTGACCTAAATTAATATTATTAAATTAATATTCCTGAAATTAATTGAATATTATTTCCTTTCCCAGTATGTAGACCATTTTTGTACCAGTTACTTAAATAGTGGAAGCTCCATAATACATTTTAATGGGTGCTGGTATCCTTCTTACACACAATTGTTTGTTTTGTCAGTTATTCTCTTGGTGCTTTCAGTTTGAAAGTACTGCATTAAAAAAGAAGCCCCATGTTGTATTTTAAGGAGCTGTAACCATGAGTGTGATCAGTTCTGGTGTACAGAAAGCCTAAAGTGAATGTTTCCATTTTTGCTCCTTTTGCAGCAGGTTGTCCAGAGCATTGTTCATCTCCATGAGCTCCTGAGCACACTGCAGGTACGAGGCTCCCTCTTTAAAGAACAGCAGCAAAAGGGCTGTTGTTGGTTGCCTAAGGCTAAATGGGGTCCTCAACCCAGAGAAGACTGGCTCTCAAGACAAGCCAGGCTATAAAACAGGTGCTTAGCACCCTGTCTACCTTCCAGGACTGCAGGAATTACTTGATGACATGGGGTGCTTATGTGTATTTGGGAGATCATTGTACCTTAGAAGGTCTTTAGTATGAATTTCCATCTCTCCCATGTGGCATTTGGTAGGATGACCCTCCCAAAACAACCACTGCTTAGTACTTCCCAGAGAAGAATCCTCACATTCTGTCCCCTTCATTTCTTGAGGCATTCAGCTGTCTCGTTCCTACCTTCTCCCACCTATAGAACATACACACTCACCTTACACAGGTACTACAGAAAGTATGTGACCAGGTGTGACCAAGTACTGAGTTCTTGAACCTTTGACATTCCTAGGTGATCACTGTCTGAGGTACCATATTGGAGACCAGACCCTTAAATCACAAGGGGAGGGCCTGTGATGGTGCCCCTGGTATGGGGTCAGGAGGGATCCCAGGAAGTGGCGCTGCTTCTGGGCCAGAGTTGCATGCCAGTCCTTTGTGTGCCCCTTAGGGCGTGGTACTACAGCAAGACAGCTACATTGAGGACCAGAAGCTGGTGCTGACCGAGAGGGCACTCACAAGGAGCTCATCCCGCCCCAGCTCCCTCATTGAGCAGGAGAAGCAGCGCAGTCTGGAGAAGCAGCGCCAGGACCTGGCCAACCTGCAGAAGCAGCAGGCACAGCACCTGGAGGAGAAGCGCAGGCGCGAGCGCGAGTGGGAGACCCGAGAGCGTGAGCTGCAGGAGCGTGAAGCGCAGCTGGTGGAGCGCGAGGAGAAGGTGCAACGTGGGCAGCAGGACCTGGAGCGGGACCGCGAGGAGCTCCAGCAGAAGAAGGGCACCTACCAGTGTGACCTGGAGAGGTTGCGTGCTGCCCAGAGACAGTTGGAGAGAGAGCAGGAGCAGCTCAGGCAGAGGCAGATGGAACGAGACTTCTGTCAGGTAACAGCTCAGGGCTGAGTTGGGAGACAAGGAGCAGGGAGGACCTTTCCTTCCTGTTTCTGTGAAAGCTGGACAGTGACTGGTACTAATTAATGGCTTAGAGCAAAGGTGGTATATGCCTGCTTGTACAGTCAGCTTTATCCTGGGGGCGGGGTGGGGGGGCAGCAGAGAGGAGGAAGAGAGCCTCCATCTGCCTTTTGCCTCTCTAGGAGGCTGAAGTAGTTAGCGAACCCTTGGAACTGACCACTACCAGCCCACAGCTGGGAGGCGGGCCACCTCTCACGCACAGGTTGTGTTCTCCTTTGGGGATACAGACATCGGACTCTGCTTAGTGCCTCTTTGGTTGCTGCTTAAATGGAAAGGCTTTCGGTTTTTCAGCACACTGACTCTTTTAGTGATATTCCGTGGTTATTCTGGAACATGGACACTTGTGGCAGATGGAAAGCCTGGGCGTGCACAAATTCCTTTTAAAATGCTTTCCCACTGCCAATGTGGGGCAGTGTTCATTTTCTTGAATATACAGTAGGGAGCAGATGCCTTGTTGCTTTTTATGACACAAGGATGGACCCAGCCCCATCCCAATAAAATTTGACAACAGGACGGCTCCCAGCTGAGAGCACAGATTGACAATCCTCTGCATCTTTGGTTTACCCTTCAACTCAGGCCTTTGTGGAAGCTAAGCTCTTTTCCCTTGTGCTCTAAACTGGACAGGTCTGTAGTCTCCTTACCTTGCAGTAGTGATCTGCATCCCTGTGTCAGTCAGTCTGTAGATAAGCAGCTCTCTTTGTTTCTTCAAGGAATCTGAGTTATTTGCTAAGCTGCCCCACTAATCCTTTATATACTAATACAGTACCTATAACAAAAGTGTTAATGGTACTAAAGGTGATATTTTAACATGTTCATAGAGTCTAGTCAGAGGAGGGCAATAAGTGAAACTGGGAAGTTCTGAACCTTTACAAGGAGTTCTAGAGTCCATGGACCGTGCATAAACACCCAGATGAATTCAGCCAGTAACTGCTAAGAGGCCTTCACCTTACAATGTCTTTTCTTAAATATGCACAGGTGTCACATCAACATACCAAGCTAATGCGGGTCCCCTCCTTCTTTCCCAATCCTGAGGCATCCTCTTTGCCATCAGCACCTTCAGTAACCAAATCGGGGTCGTTGGACTCAGAACTTTCAGTGTCCCCAAAAAGGAACAGCATTTCTCGGACACACAAAGATAAGGGACCTTTTCACATACTGAGTTCAACCAGCCAGCCAAACAGAGTACCAGAGGGACCAGGCCAGGCCCCGTCCACCACCTCCACCCGCCTGTTTGGGTTAACTAAGCCAAAGGAAAAGAAGGAGAAAAAAAAGAAGAGTAAAGGAAGCCGCTCCCAGCCTGGTGGTGAGTCCCCCACCCCCTGTGGCCTTGGTGTCCATGCATTCTAAAGGCGAGGGTGGCAGCGTGTGGTGGAAAGGTGCAGTCATTTGTGTGCAATGAACGTCCAAGAACCTGTGCTCTGCCTGACACACATGCCAAGTGTGCGCTGCATTTTTGAGGCATACTCCATTTGAGGAACTGGAACTTACTAAATGAAGTAATTCAGGTCCTTCCTGTCCATGTAGACCTAACTACTCACCAGGAACAGCAGCGAGCACCATTGTTAGTCCTATACTCATTTCCCCAAGAGAAACTTTTCTGAAACTCAGAAAAGTTGTCTAAGTGCCAGCGTTTACAGAGGCTGTGGTTAAACTCTGTGACATGCTCCCTGTTCCTGTGCCACTCTCATTATGATTGACCGCTCCCTTCTCTGTGGGAGGCTAAAGAGAAATGTCTGTTTCCCCCGCCCACTTCTGTGAAAGTTAGAGAGTAACTAGAGGGAGTGAAGAAATAAATCACTCAGGACCTTGCTTACTAAATCACCCTTGAACCCCCAACTAGCTGTTGTTGCACCCCAGAGACTGGACTGGAAAGGCCTTTTTCACCTTGTTTTCACTGTTTCAGAGGGTCCTGCATCAGAAGTGTCAGCAGAGAGTGAAGAGATCTTCTGCTGACCTGTTTCCTCTGCAGAGGCAGCCGCCTCCTGCCCCTGGTGCCCCGCGCTGCCTCTCCTGCTGCCCCTCGTGCACAAGTCTCTTACACTGGACCTCCACTGCTCCTCAGTGTCCAGTCCTCCTGGGCAAAGGAACACCCTTTGCATGTCAGGGTGGGGAAGGGGCCCAGCCTCACTTCTGCCATCATCTGTGACTGTCTAGAACTCACAGGTGGAGCTGGCCACACTCAGGATGTTCACTGAAGGCAATATCTTGTATTTTGGGGAACACAACAAGAATGAAAGCAGAGTGTGGACTTTTATCTGTGTGCAGTGACCCATCTGCACGTACACACGGGGTACACCAGGAGTGTGCACAGTCTGTCGCAGGTATCAGGGCAGCTTAGCTCAGGCCTAGGGGGCGCGTGGGTGTTCATTCAGTGCTTGGCCCCATAGTCCTCAGAAGTTGGGTTCCCTTTCCAGTGCCCATCTGCACACACCGACTCCTCTGCATCTAATTTCTTTTTAGAAGGGATGACAAACATTTGTGAAGCCAGTGAGAGGCAGCTGAGGTGTGAAAAACACGTGGTCTATACTGCGTTGGTCTCAGTGTTCCAGGCTTAATCCAGAAGAAATACACTGAGAGAAGCCCTGAACAGCTTCCTTGGGGCAGGAGGCAGCGGTGTACCTGCCTAGAAACAGGCTATGCTCCGAGGCCTCTGCCAGGTTGTCCCCACCCCCATGCTAGGACAACTGCTGAGAAGTAGGTGAAGAGGCTGAGCCCGTGTGGAGTTCTTACCGTACAGACCCAAAGAAGAGCTGGCCCCAAGGTGTGACTGGGAATCGTTCTTCCTAGGCCTGGGGGCCTCAGCATAACTCGGGTTTCCTGCAGCATTTTTGTAAATCTGATTATGAAGTCACAAATGCTGCATCTTTTCCTTTTCCCAGTTTTGATCTGTTTGCTTGAGGCTTTCAGCCACTGGTATGTGCAGGACAGTTCATCATTCATGCTTTTCTCTGAGGCCCCCATGCCTGCCATGCACGGTACTCCCCACGCGGAGGTCCTCTGAGTTCTGTGCTTCACACAGGGCCTTCAGGTCCTGCTTTCTGTCCCTCAGAAGTTTGGGGCTTTGAACATACTTTGAAAAACAAACCTGTAACTTGGTGCTTGTTAATGAATTGCAAGCTGGCCTTGCAGATGGAGATATTTATCTTTCAGTTTATTTGAAAGAGGTCTGGTTTAAAAATTTTAGCCTAAATTTATTTATTTTGTGTGTGTTTGTTTTGTTTTATTTTTAAGGCTAACCAATATTAGCCCAACAATTTATTCATTCAGTGCAGAAAATGAAGTAGCAGTAGCCTGGCTTACTCAAAAGCCAATGTCTTTCCAAGTGCCTGAAAGTGCAGGTGAGAACTGGGGATTGGGAGAGGTCTGTGTCCCTTCCCCCACTCCACTTGTTCTTTTATCCTAGAAGGTGGTTCTTCCTTGTTTGGGAATTAAAGACCTTTGCCTGTTTTTGTTATAGAAGCTTCTCGGTCTTCTGACCAAAACTAGCTGATTTTTCTATTGAAACCATGCTGTACCTCCAAGGACCCTTAAACAGCAGAAAGTTAAGTCCCTTCCACCAGTCCACAACTGTCCTGTCATGACTTCCGCAGGCCCATCATAAGGCTTAGCTGGCTGTCCTTGTCTCGGACTCACAGGAGGACGGTACTGAGCAGTACTTGCCAAGAGCCCCACAGCTTCCTGCAGGACAGGCTGCAATGCAGAAAGAAGCATGTGGGAAACTTGTGGGCACCAAACCTGCCCCCACCACAGGGGCTGTGCTAGGGGACACCTGGGAGCTATGACCTTGACGAGTGCCCTGTGTGTGGCTTCTCTTGTAAGACTGCTACCCAGTCAAGACAGAGAACTCAGATGCCTAAAATTGTGTTTAAGTTTTGGAGGACAGATGGCAATTCATCCAGAGGTCCCAGGTTTGATCATGTCAGTAGCTGTCACCCCAGTGTGCGACATGCACACTTTAAATGCTCTCTTAACAGTTGGCTTCATTTTTGAGACAATCACGTGTTAACCATTTTAGAAAACAGAGTTGAAACATGCACACTGCCATAGTCTGCCTTTGCCAGCATTCCCTCTACCCCGCCCCGACACTATGTGGGGGAGAAATGCGCAACAGGCTGGGTTTTGAAAAGGTACGAGCCGCACCTCTTCTGTTCTGTCTCCAGGTAAAGCTGCCCCTGCCTCATTAGCCTCCGGGGCCTCAGTGTCAGTAGTAAGCATGGATTGAGACCCTTGGGATGGTTCGTGTGCAAGGGCTTAACTAAGTAGTCTCCCTTAAAGGACAAAGCCGTGGGTCACAGCTTCATCTCCTCATGTTCTCCACACATACTGTGCCTTTCTCTCTTCCATCCCTGAAGCTTTTTACCCATTGCCAGCTTTTCTTCCCAAGGTGGGTGGCCAGGGTGTCACTGCAGAGGGCATCCTCCCTCCATGCCTGGATGGCCTTGGAACCCAAGAATTGTCCTGGCGGTGACATATGTGCCTGCCCCTTCCTCAGCAGGATCTGCCTGTGTTCTGAGCTGTGCCCATCCTCCTGAGACCAAGGGCAAAACGTTGGGGTTTGGTTCTTAATTTTTCTCACCGTAGCGTAACTTTCCTCATTAGCCAGAGCTTTTGAGAGAAGCCTTTCCACACATCTGTTTCATTTGCCAAGATTGACAGACCATGAGTTACTTCTCCATCTCTCACTAAGGTTACAAGATGGGCAGCCCCCACTGGATGAGTGTCCCCTGCTCCAAGCCAGGTGGGCCTCTGGGAAGCACAGAACCCATCCCCCAGCAGGAGCAATCCCCACCCTTCTGACCACCTCTCCCAGAGCACGGCTCTGCAGGAGGGTGGTTAGGATTCCTCTCATACCTCTGCTGTGTGGACATTTCTATGCTAAATCCCATTCAATAAACAGGTGGGTTAAAACCCAGCCACTGTATATGAATTTGTAATTATGTAAAAAGTGAAGCAGTTTCAAACTGTAAAGATTTTTTTTTCCAGTGTGTTTTCTGGAATTTTTTGCCACAACAAATTGGCTTTGTATTTTATTTATCCTCCTTTCCAGTTACTGGCTTCAGATTCTTGTAAAGTCCCCCTCTGCCCTTTCCAAAAAATAAATTTCCTTTAAAGTCTTGATTGTTGCTGTGACTTATTCCTGTCATGGTGGAGAGCCTTCTCCCCAGTGGAAAACTGCAGCTTGGGGCATGGGAGGAGAGACCTTTAGCCAATACTTGGACCCGAGAAAAGTGGTCCATCTGCCCCACAAGTGAGAATCACCCAACCTAACCTTCCCTATGCGAGTTGCCACTTTCTCCACTCCATCACACACCCAGACAAAAGCAACTGCCAAAACTGAAGAAGAAAACCCTGTTTGCAGGTAGCCAGACCCACAGGGCTTCCCGGCCCAGCCTCCAGTGGGGAAACCAAAATGAGCAGAAAGGCCCTGACGTCCTATTGCACACATAGGAACTGCCCCTCGAGTGGCACAGAGGACTGGGGCAGAGCCACCTGGAATCGCACTCTGCCTCCCGGCCGTCAGAAATCCTGCTGGGATGCCAAGGGAGGGCCCTTGGCATCTGTGAACTTGGAAGTTCAGATTTCTGAACAGAGGCTTTCTGTAGCCCTGGCAATAGCTGTCTCCCCTCAAGCTGGTGAAACACTGGTCCCTTTTCACCCACTCCCCAACCCTGGCTGTCACTGTGGCTCTAGCTGTCCCCTCCCCCATGGAATAGGATAGCCTCAGTCTGCAGGAAGTGGTTCCCATGGCCTCCCTGTGGCCCCACCATAGCTGGTTCTGAGCCAGAGAGGCTGTTGTCTGGGAGGAGAGAAGAGCATTGAAAGGTCTTCCCTCCAAAAGAGCAGCAGAGGCACAAAAGACCACAAGATTTCTGGCTGCCTTTCAGTGGAGTGTGCCTAGGGCCTCTGTCACAGCACCTGTGTGAAAGTGGCCATCTCGGGTTGAAGGTCCCCATCCCAAGGGACAGCCCATGACCAGACAGATATCTATGTTACCTCTATGAGGCCTGCAGCAAATGTTCTTCCAGGAAAGCTAAGCCTGGAATATGGAGTGGAGATTGGGAAACCTAGACAACAGAGCCAGGGAAGCCTGCAGGGGAAGGTAGACCACTTTCTCCGTTCTAGTTATTTTTTGCTAACACACCTATCTCCATCAGAGCCTTAATTGGGGCAAAGGAAAAAAACATTGTCAATGGAAATCTAGCAACCTATTTACCTTATTCAGTTTATTCCTTACAATAGCAATGTTGTCCGTCCATCCCTTTCTTTTTAATAACGAACTGAAAAGGAGAAAGAGCTGGCACGTGGACCTGTTGGCTCACCTCCCTCTCGGCAACCCTGAGCTTTTTGGTAATGCTTAACTCTCAGAGAATCTCACTATCGCCTGTGAGAAGTGGAGTGCTGGAGAGGAGAACAAGCCTGAGTTCCCACAAGATCCAACTGAGTCTAGTTAGGGACCTGGAGATGGGAGCCGTGCAGAGCCCGTGTCCACTCTACAAATGACAGGAGGAGGACATTGCTGTCAAAACTAGGGCCAAGTTTAAGGAGCTGTACACACCACGCGTTCCCCCGGTTCTGTGGCCAGGATGAAACTCGACCTGATCCTAATGCCAGCCCCAAGCCCTAGGGAAGCCTTGCACAGAACAGGGCTGGCAGGCAACCATCTCCCTGTTCCACCTCCACTGAGGTGTGAAGCAGTGAAGCAGGGCTGGGTCTACCTGGAGACCTCTTTGGAAGCCCCTGTGGGGTGGGGGACCTGGCTGGGACAGATAAGCCAAGAGAGCATGGAACCTCTCACTGGCAGGGTCAGCCAGCCTGCTGGGCCCCAGGGGAGAGAAGAGCCAGCAGCATGGAGCCTGGGGCCTGTCACAGAGCTGCTGTCCCATACATCAGATGACTTAATTGATAAGGCACTTTGTGGTCCTGGAGCAGTGCTGTTCCTCAACTCAGAAAAGCCAGGAGAGCTGCCGGCACTACCCAATAGCACCCAAGGGTGACTGCTTTGTGGTCACATCCACAAAGCACAAAAGCCCAAGACCATCTGTAATGGTGAGGGGAGGCTGCACGGTCCCCCTCTTTAAAAAGCCAGTCACCTTCACTGTTGCAAACACCCACAACTGGAGCTCCAGGGGCCACATTCAGGCCGCCCCAAGCCGAGCAGGGCCCTGGAGCCCAGGGAATCTGGTACTGGGACCAGACACCCCAAAAGAGGCTTCTGAGTGCCTCTCCCTTGTCTTTAAAATGGAGACATCAGCACCCACCCTAGAGTATCATAGAGAGGAAAATACAAATGTCATTTCCTGGCATCCCAGAGCCCGGTGCACAGCAAGTGTGGGCCCCCAAGTCCTCTGTGGAAGGCCATCCACTGGTGCTAGGAGCCTGGGAGTGGGACCCGCAGCCCAGCCCCCCGACTCCTGAATCTGAGGCTTTTCACCCCACCCAGGGGACTGGCTGCCTTGGCTCTGCTCAGCTTCCCTCTGAAGGTAGTGCCTGTCCCCAGCAGGTCAGCATCTCAGGCACACCAGGAAGAAAACCCCAAATGAGAAGGTAAAGAGGCACCAGAGGGTTCTAGGTGACACACAAGCTGCCTGCCAGCTCCAGGGCCAAGGTCACTGTCTTAAGGCCGTCCTGACTTGGCCACTGCACAGCGTACACCATCCTTCTTACTCCCAGATGTCTTCACACCCAGTCAAGGACACTGTCAGGCAGAGGACTTGCCTTCTGTGACAGAAACCACCTCCAAGTCTCTCTCCTGCATTGGGGCAGCTGGAGGTGGTGACGTCAGATTTGAATCTAGATCTGCCTAGCTTCAGGGCCAGTCTCAGCTAAAGACCCTGCCCATTGCTGACCTCTCGGTCGTATTTTCTATTAGCCTGCAACGTCCTCTATCCTCAAAACCCACATTGAGGTATAACATAGCCCCAAAGCATCGACACAAGAAGGAAAACAGGACCAGAGATGTTCACGATCATGCACCATAAAATAAGGTGACAGAGCAGGAATCCACCCGGGTGCACAGGGCTTGAGGCAGGGTGGGAGGTCACCATGTTCAGCCAAATAACCACACGGTAACAGCAACACTTTTGGCACCAGGAACTGTTCTGGGGACGTTCTCTGTCCCTAATGTATCCAGTTCTCATAAAGCCCCTGAAGTGGCCTCTCATCACATCCCCCTTTCACAGAAGTGGCAATTGATGCAGGAGGAGCTGAAGGACCTCGTCCAAGGACACAGCTAGCTGCAGTGTGACTGCTTCTTGGTCACATTCACACAGAATGGAAGGGTACAAGGCCATCTACACTAGTGAGGGGACCAGCACAGTCAGCCTGCTCTGTCACTAGACGGAATTCACCTAGAAGGGGTAAGAGTGTGGTTTCCTGTCCCCAGCTCTGTTTACAGTGTTCTTTTCTTCTTTTGGCTCTTACTGGGGCTTGAACCCAGTGTCCTGGGCTTGCTAGGCAGATACTGCTTTTTTGTTTGTTTGTTTTAGTTGTTTTTCAGATAGGGTTTTAGGCTTTTTGCTTGGGGCTTCCTACCTCTGTCTCCCAAGTAGCTGGGATTACAGGTATCCACCACCATGGTCTTTAAAATAAATGGCCAGTAAATTCTGGCTTAGAAAAGCACCTGGTAGCCATGTGCAGTGAATAAAGGCTGTTAGTCCAGAATAGATTCAGCACCAACTCCACCTGCTTCCAGGTCTCATGGCTCGGGGTGACCCTAGGTCCCTGTTGAGTCTGTTTGCAGATCAGGGAAATCGGCTTCTAGAGACCCAGGACCTGTCCGAATGAAATCTAGGGGCCAGCACCGGCCTCCAGTTGTCCACACACTGCAGAAGCTCCCATGGGCCTCCCAAGGAGAGACTTATGTGGCTCTCCCAGGCTGGGGCCAACCTGGTGGGCTGGCTGTTGAGCCTATAACCTGACTGGAGCCACCAGAGTACGTGACAAAGGCAAGAGGTGGGGAGTGAGTGCATTGCGAGTGAGCCAAACTGGTCTTCACCAGAGATGCCAATCCTATTCCTTTCCAGGCCTGCTAGTCACTCCCTAACATAGTCCTCCCCTCAAGGCACCTGCTCCTTCCTGGATCTGGATCCCAGGAAGGGACAGGTTGTGGGGCCTGGCTTGTGTCCTGGGCTGGGGGACACCTGCAACCATTAGTTGCCCCTCCACAGAGTCAAACCCCTGGAGCGCTCTGTAGACCCTGCACACACTTCAATCTAGTCTGCGGACAGCATTTCCTAACATGGGGCCAGTAGGAAGGTCCTGGTCATTCTTCAGGTGAACATTTGTATTTTCATTTATGTTTCAGTGCTGGGGACGAATCTCTGAGCCTAGTGAATACTAAATACAAGCTATCCCATCAAGCCTCCTCCAGCTGGGGGGTTCATTTAAGCACACACAGCACAGCACGGGACTGCACAGGACCAGACAGGGACTGACTTGCCAGGGCTCAGTTCCACAAACTGAGCAGCTTAAACTGCACGAAGGTGTCCGCTCACCCAATCTGGAGATCTGAAGTCTGAGTTCAAGGTGTCCGTGGGCTGTGTCTCCCCCGAGGGCACCAGGAAGAAGATAGCCAGGGCTCTCTCCTGGTTTCGAGTTGCTCCCTGACTTGTGGCACCGAGCTCTCCCATGTCGCACAGGCCAGGAAACTCACTGGAACGGGCAGGGCCTGAACTCTGAGGATGCTGTGGGGTGGGGGTTGGGGGGGAGGTGATAGGGGAGAGAGCTAGGCATGGTCCTAGCTGCCTGAGGGGTAGGAGGCAGCCCACTTGCAAGAGTAGCCTCCCACTCCAAGGGGCACGGTGGGAAGGGCTTGATTGAGGAGGAGTGTGGAAGACTGTGACCACAAAAAACGCCCACCCAGGATGACCCAGAACCAAAAGCTCTTCCCAAGCTACAGAAAATTCTTTCTTAAGCAGCGCCTTCCTCTTCAGTTTCCAGCTGCGGGGTGGAGTGGGATGGCTGCCACCTGCGCTCAATTGATGGTCCAGCTGACCCTCCCCAGCTCCATGTGGAGGAGGGGCCTGAGTGCGGGGCTGAACACAGTGTGAGGAGGAACCTGCCACCCTCCGTGCCCTGGGCAGGGCCTCTGAGACGCGTGCACTCTTCTCTGCATCAGAAGCCACAACCCAAGAAGCTCCATCCGTTTGGGCCTGAGGTCCCCAGGGAAACCTTGCCTCACACCTAACGTGCCACATGTTAGGAAGTGCTGTCATCAGACTAGCTTTGAATGTGTGCAGGGTCTGCAGAGGACTGCAGGATCTGCCCTGCATGGTGTCTGTGGGGCTTGACTCTGTGGAGGGGCAGCCAATAGCTGCAGACTGTCCCTCAGCCCAGGACACAAGCCAGGCCCCGAAACCTGTCCCTTCCTGGGGTCCAGATGTGTGGAGAGGGCTCCATCTTCTTTCCTAAAGCCTTACTCATCAGGCCCCCAAGAGGCCATGTTCCAGGCTTGCAGGACAATGGCCTGGTGTGGTGACCCCTGACCTCTACAGTGCAGTACAGCAGCCATTCTCACTACATCAAGGTCTATCCAGGTGCTCAGCACATATTTAGTGCTTTACAGAACTTGACCTCAACCCCTTCTATTAACCTGGCCATCATCGAGCCCAAATCGAGGTGAAACAGAGCCTCGTGAGTGAGGTGGATCAGTCAAGACCAGGTGAGCTGAGCCCTGCAGCCACACTCCGTAGCCTCTGAGCCATTTCCTCACCAGCAAGAGGTCAAGAATGCACACCTACCTCCAGGGTGCATTCTGTAAGGCACTACGGAGGGAGAATCCAAAGCACTGGCTGGGACAGAGCATGGTAGGGGATGGAGACACTTAAACTCACAATGTCAGGTTTTCAACTGGGACTCCCAGCTCTGACCGTTCAACCTCCAACTCCCAGAAAAGAGGACACAGGTCAGTGTGAGCAGGCTGGATCCAACTCCAGGGCAGGCCTGTAGTCCCCTACTTGCCCAGCAGTACCCACTCCCTTCCACACTTAGTCACAGAGCCTTGGAGTTTTAGCTGGGCTCCTTCCATATAGATGGGGCTAAGTTCTCCACCTTGGGAGGGTGTAGAGTTACTACATATGCATCTTCTGAGTGCCTTTTAAGAGGCTTGGCTGTCACTTCTTTTCTCCCCTTTCCACTGGCTAGAATGCAGACAGGATGGCAGGAGCTGGGGTGCCATGTTGGACCAGGAAACAGACTTGACTGGAAGTTGAAAAGGCATCAAGAGGAACCTGGGCCTGCTTGCACTCGCCCTGAGAATGCAGGGAAGGAAGCTACCTGTCCTCACTGTCTGGGCTGGGGCTAACCCCTGCCTTCTGCTGCCTGCAGGCCACAGCTCGAGCCTGCATGGAAGCAGCTCTGTCCACCATTGTCATCCCCACCCCCAGTATAAGAGTGGACAGTGTGGGGGGTGGGGGCAGGCCAGGATGTCCCTCCCAGGGTGTGCCTCAGCGTCTGTGCTCTTGGCTGATCTCACACCACACCAGTACCGTACTTGAGATCCATTCATTCACACAAGGGTGACACTGCTGTTTATGAGAGTGGTGATGGACATCACTTCACATCTGATGCACTTCTGCACTTGGAGCCCCATTTGGACTTTGTGCCTGCACACTGCTGGCACCACAGAAGATGACAGCCACGAAGTGGTCATCACAAAGGCTCAAGGCCTCCTGGATTCCCAGCACACAGCACGGCACTAATACCCAGGCCCCTGTCATCTGAGGGGAAGCCTCAAGATTAGGCCATTCAACACAGCTCAGCAGTTTCATCCATGATGTACTCTTGTCTTCAGCTCACAATGGCTGAAGGAGAACCATCAGCAGGGGTTCTGATGTAACTTACAAGGGCGGAGTGCTCCAAGATGGTGTTGTGACCCGTCAGCCACCTACTAAGGTACCTGTGGCCACCTGAACAGTGCTGGTGTCGCTTTCATTCCATAGTGCTATCTGGGGCCCGCTCTGTGAAACCTCTTGCTCACTAAAATGGATGGAAGTGATTTTCAACTTGGAACTCCAGGAAGAGGAACATAAGTAATTGTAAAGGCTATAACCCATAAGCAGGAAGGGGAGGCCCTCTCTTCCAGGGGCTCCCCACTGCACACCAAACGGCAGATGCCTGACAGGGGTGCAGGAACCCACGTCTGCCAATGCCAGTCCCAGCACCCAAGGAAGGCCAAGAATTTTCTCAACTTTTTATTAAGTTGGAAATTCATAAAAGCAACACAGCTTTCAGAGAAAGCACCACGGCAGGTCCTTTGTGCTGTGACAAGTGTGCTTAATCTCAACTAAGCTCCCCCAGCAGCCTCTCCAGAAGCCTCCGAAGAGTCCAGCAGGGCAGCGAGCATCCCAAGGTGGGGTGGGAGGAATGCCAGGAAGAAACTGAGCTTTCAGCTTTCTTTCCCGGGGACACACTGGGATCAAACTCAGCCCTTAAACCCCCCCACCAAGAGATGCCCACAGGACCAATGCCAGGCAGGGGCATCAGGGCATTCAGGGCTTTGAAGTAACCAGTCTGTACTGTGACTTCAAATCCCTATGACAACGTAACCCACTCTGGAGCCTGACCTTGGGCCAGCTGGGCCTGGGAAGTCACAGGTTGGATGCCTTGCCCAGTTGCCCACCAAGAGCCCCTCTCTCTGTGGGTGAGCCAGGGATGAGCCTGGAGTCCCTGACCTCAGGATGGCTCCAGCAGATGTTGACTTTTGTACAACCTGCATTCTGGAGACACAGATAAGGGATCCCCCAAGCTTGCAAGGTGACAAATGGTAATTACTTTTCCTGGACCATTCCTTCTTTTTGAGCTTGGGGAACACACAGGCAGGCAGGATCCAGTGTTGATTACCAGGTAAAGACCAAAATGCCAGGACAGTGGTCACTGGCTAGAACCCTGTCATTCACTGAGACAAATCTGGCTCCAGGGTCTACAGTGGGTGCCCTGGGGTCCCTCTACTGTCCCCAGCTTACAGCTGCTCCTAATCTTGGAGGGCAAGGCCACTACCTGCTCACTACCAGCTACACTACCAATGCTGGGAAGGGGCCTCCAGTGCTCCCCTGTTAGTAGGGGCCCTTGTTGCCTCTTACTGTGGGCTCTGAGAAGGGGGAGGGGACAGGGTGGCCCTGTTAGCTCCCCAGAGCCTAGAGTCCTGCTGAGTGACGCCAGGACACTGTTGGATGGGGCACAAGGAGAATCTGGCCCACACCTGAGGTCACAGTCTCAGTGGCTGGTATGGGGGCAAGGGATACAGCAGGTCTCCCCTTGGTCTGGGGGCCTGGGTGTGTTTGCCAATGAAGCCTGGTAGGTGGCACTGAGGTCACCCTATGGAGGTTCTTCCCCTGATAAAATGTATCCTCAGGGATAAGTATAAGTACTTATATGTATCCTTGGTGACCATTTGCTCTCAGTTGAGTGAACTGTGTTTCCCTGAGACTTAGAACATCGTGTGGGGAACAACGTCACAATCTCCCATAGGGCAGCCCTGGAATCAGAGGCTGCACCAGTGCAGAAGGACCACAAGCCATAGAGCTGCTGCCCTGGCCAGCTCTGGTCTATAACTTGATGACAGAGTTGTCCTCTGAGGCCTGGACCCCTTTAGAAGCTGCTCTCCCCACACAAGCCACTCGCAGCTTACGAGGGCCTGGGGCACACAGGACACTGGAGACCCTCTGTTCTTCTTGCCTGAAGCTCAGAAGAGCCCCGGAGGCTGCTGCTGCCCAGCGCTGGTGCCATCGGTTTCTGGCCATTGGGAGAGCTGGCCCAGGGTGGCTGAGTTTCTCACTGTGGCAGGCAGGGTCAAGGCCACTCTGGAACAGTGAAGGCCACAGCCAGCGGGGGGGAGAAACAGGCAGAGTCTGTGGAGGAGTGAGAGGGAGAGAATGAATAGAGGAATGGGGGGTGGACTATTCTACCTGACCTGGAATAAACGGATCACCATAAGCCACCTAGACCTCAACCTCACAGGTGTGGTTTTCACACATGCCACCTTTCACTCCAGCCATTTCCCCATACCCTCGCCCCAGGCAGCACCTGGAAGACCCTGGGACACAGCAGGGCAAACAGACACAGCTGTAATCCCCAGACATCATCTTCCCATGAGAAACACTGAAGACTTATACAAATAATTATACAGAATGTTTATACAAATAATTATATAGAATGTTTATACCCTGAATTATTTTGATGCAGAGTGTGAAAAGGAAGTAATATTTAACCTGACACTTGAAGGATGCACAAGAATTAGCTAGAGAGGAAATAGCAGTTCAGGCAAAAGCAAAGGCCCTGAGGTAAGAATCTGACACATTTGAAAATCTAAGTAGACAACTAATGAGGTAGAAAAGCAGGGGCAGACCGAGGACCGAGGACCGGTAAGCAGGGAGGAAGCCAGGCACGTGGTCAGCCATGAGATTAGGAAGCTCATTTGTGCTCTTGGACAAACCCTTAACCACAACCTCGGATACCAGGCCACGTACAGGCTGTGGGATGCAGTGATGGGCACAGCTCACAGCTGTGCTGCACGCCCAATCAATGGCACCCACTCTCTGAGCATCAGCATTTCCAGGGAAACACCGGGTAACGGATGGATGCCCACCTCCCAGGGAACCTAATGTATGTTGGATACTTCATGGAGAATGTTCCTGAAAAAGGAAGAAAACTCCTCTTCCTGGTGTGATGGTTTCTACAACTAAGGCACTGAGACAGCTCAGCGTAACCCTGGGCCAGCTCCAAGGAGGGATAGGACCAGATGTGGGAGGTCAGGAAGGAATCCCTTGGCCAGGCTATGGCACCTGAATTGCTCAAACTCAGACAGAGAGCAGAGCAGGCAGGGAGAGAATCAATCTGTCAGAGGGGAGAGGAGAGGAGGAACTGGGTACCAGGCAGGGTGGTTTATCAAGAGGGGCTCTGGGACAGCGAAGAGGGATGGGAGTCCTTCACAAGGGTTTCCTGCCACCCTAAAAGTCTGCACAACTTTGGTTCCTGGGAAGCACTCGCTGGCCTGTGCTGGAAATACAGTCAAGCAGGCCTACCTGTGATGAGAGAAGACCGGAGGGTACGCCCACAGCCGGGGGGCTCACAAGGGCTGTCCAAAAAAACGGAGGCCCATCATTCCTAGCAAGAGGCAGAGGCAAGTTCTCAGCTGTGGGCATGTTCGTATGTATTTAAGGAACCTGGAGTCTGTGAGACACTTTCCTCTATGTGGGGTTGACCCTGACACCATCAGGGCCTAGGGGATTCTGCCATCCTCAGGTGTCAGCAGGTTCCTAAACACAGGACCAGGCGGAGCAGCACTGGCTTCTCACCACTGAGGGCTCCCCAATCCCTCTCACCATCACACAAGTGAGAAGAGGAGGTCACAAGGCCCTTACTCATCCTGAGACACTCCAAGATGGTAAACAACACCTCCGGAAGCCTGGCCATCTCACCGATTCTGTCCTCCCAGGACGACCCCAGCCCATCATAGGCTGGTGTGTGGGCAAAGAGGGGCAACCATGGGACCCTGACCACTGAAAGTAGATAGGGTGCCCTAAATGCAGGGCGGGGGAGGTACCCTGCCAGGCTCTGGGGTCACCAGGTCACCTATCGTCCTTGGGACCATCCCAAGGCCCTCAGTCTGTGCCCTCTCAGTTTTGCCAGCCTCTTCTCTGAGGCTTGGTGTCCTCGTCTGTGAAATGGGACACTCCTCCAGCTGAAGTGGCATGGGGTCAGCAGCCACCTGCACAGCCTGTGAGTGGCAGGAACTGGTATAGGACCTGACCCAAGGGATGTCACCCTATTCTGATGGCCCTCTTCTGGCCATCTAGGCCTGTCAGAGACTGGAAGAAACCCGCAGTACTATGTTTTGGGTCCCATCTTTGTAACAGTGTTTGGTAAGGCAGGATGGAGTGTGCTGGGTAGTCCCTGCAGCAGTGACAGAGTCCCAAAGTGGCCTGGCAAGCTCCGCCTTTCCCAGAGCTGGGGTTGGAGTCCTGTCTAGAATCCCATGTGACAGGCTCCAATGCCTGTGAGGAGGTGAGCACTCTCAGCCTGGTCACCTGCCCTGACATTCCAAAGCCCCTCAGGCCAGAGGCAGGCTGGACAGGTGATGCGGGGAGGAGTTACACGGCTGTTCTGCAAACAGGTTTTGGGTGCTCATTTTAAGAGGAAAAGAGAAAAGGAGGTGTTCATGGCAAAGCACCCACCAAGAGCTCAAGGTGGGTGCTGAGGTGGAGAAAGCCAACACAGGCTGCACTGGAGATGTCATGTGAGTGCTGGGGAGAAGCTGCAAGGGATCTGAACTGGTGGGGGCTGAGCTACATCAGAGTCTATCAGAGTGACAGTCAGGCTCTGTGGACCCAGGAACACCAGGGAGACAGAGATGCTCTGAGGGCCTGGTCCTCTCTGACACAGGGCCCCATACCTTCCGCACTATAGATCCTGATCTGTGGCTGGGTTAAGGGCTCTCCTTCAGTTTGACCCATTTTCTGGGGAGCTAAAGGTGGGTGGGGAGGACCACCCAGGACCCAGGGAGGGTCAGGAGGGCCCTGGGCATCAGCTCTTGTCCTTCTGCTGAGCTGTGGGCCCTTTCCTGTTGAGCCCAACCTATGTCCCTGCCTCTGCAGAAGCCTGGAGAGTCTTAGCTGTCCAGGCAGAGAATCTGCAGACCATGAGAGCAACTGGGTCAGCTGCAGGAGACAGAAGCCAGGGAGGAGCAGTTTGGGTCAAGGAGGGGCTGCAGTTCTCTGGTGGCTGCTGGGGACCACAAGAAGGACACAACCAGAATGTAGACACCAGCTGAAGTCCAGCTCCCAGTCCAGTCTGATGCTCACAGCACCTTGGGGACACACGCTGATGTCCCATGCTGACTGGGACTTGCTCTGTCCTTTACAAGTAGCCTTTCTGCTCCAACTTCCTCATCCCTAAAGCAGGCTGATGACAGCCTCCCCCATCCCCACCCCACAGGCTGGGCAAGACTAGATGGACAAAAACCCATTCAGCATTGGACTGCGCCATGCAGCTGCCCCCAGGTCACAACAATGATGGTTGTGGGGACACTGGGAGACCCCTGCAGCCCATGGCATCCTGAAGCCATTATCACCACCATCCTTCTCCTCACTGATCTCCAGTCAAGCACTGTGTGTAATACAATTCCATTCCCATTTTCCAGATGAAAAAGTTGAGCCTCCCCACCAGGAAGTTAAAAAAAAAAAAAAACCTGACTTGGGTCAAGCAACCAGTGACAGCCACAGCCAAGAGGCAAAGCATGCTACCCTTCCAGGGCCCCTGAAAGCTAAAATTCCTGAAAAAGAAATGCTTGTCCAGGTCCAGCTGAGGCAGAGCCAGGTGGCAGGAGCCTCAGTACCTGGAGTGGACAGCCTGTCCCTGCTTCCTCCCCTCCCACTTGTGAACTGCACTCTGGGTTCCCAAGGCAGGGGACACCAGAGAAGGACAGCGGCACTCCTACATCCTGCCCAGCCTGAGGTGGGAGGCAAGTGACCACCCTCAGGTTCCTAAATCACCCAGCAGAGGAATGGGTCATTATGAAGGAAATGCCAGTTCCCTCTGTGAAGCTCACTCCCCAGGGAACCAAGAAATGCTCTTCCAAAGAAGAAGAGAACAGATTACAACAAAACAGCCACAAGAGCCTCAGAGAAGCACGCCAGTCCTATTCAGGCTGCCAGACCCCCTGTGCTTACAGATCTGAGGCCCATAGGCACTTCAAGGGACTCCAAGGTCGGCTAGATGTGTCTTAGTGGGACACCAGGTCCATTCGGCAGCCCCAGCTCAGAGCACTGTTCTTTCTGTGCAGAGCTCTTGACCCAGGTTGGCAGCACTGAACTGTTCTCTGAGGAAATTAGGCTTTGGGCTCAGGCCACCTCCTGCCAGGGTTCCTTGACCTGAACTGAGAGGGGTCTGTGCTGAGTCTGCACAGGGCTGCAGGCACATGGAGGTGGGAGGGGCTGGCTGGGTGCAAGGAAGCAGCTAGCTTCCTGGGCCACAGGCTCTTCCTCCTCCACCTTTTTCCTCACTCGCAGGCCTTCAGGGAACCAGAATCTCCACCTGCCCCCTGGGGACCCACACTTCCATGTGAGAGCTCAGAAGGAGGGCTTGGAGCTGAGACATAGGACAAGAGCTAGTGACACGTCAGCCTTTCTCAGGACTTGGCCACAAAACCTTCCTCTGGTGCCTACAAATCCCCTGCCCACAAGGGCCCCTCCCCAAGTGCCCTGCCAGGTTGGCTCGGACAGCCTCTTCCAGCCTTGGCGCTTGACACTGACCCTGCTCCACCAGCTGAAGGAAAGGCCCTGACCTCCCACAGAAGGGGGAGCTCCATCCCAGGCTTCTTTCGCTCTGCTCCTCCTCTCCACCAGGCTTTCCTCCCAGCTGGCCTAAGTCCCTCCTGGTGTCTCCCTTCCCTCCCTTCGCCACCCAAAGAGCACTTATGTGTCACTTGGCTCTACCCATTGTCACCCTTGCTTGTTTTCATGCAATGATTTCATACAACCACAGTGCTCAGAAAGCAGCAAGAGCAGGGCTTACAGGCAACTGCTCCACAGCAGTGAGGGGGTCGACCTCACTTAAGCCAGATGCCTGCTGGCCATAGGAAGACCATCTCTTCATCCGCCATGAGGACAGGAGACACCCCCTCACACGCCAGCAAGTGCACAGCTGCTCTAGGAAAGGCCCCACTGAACCTGGGCTGTCTGTCCCAGGTTCACTCGACCTTCCCTGGGAGATGTGGCAACCATTACCCAGAGTGGAGACACACAGGAGAGGTTCACCCCCGCTCTCCTGAGGGCTCAGAGCAGTCCTGGATACAGTGGGGTGGGGATGGGGGGCTCACCTGGTGACTCTCTGCAGGTTCTCCTCATGCAGGCAGGTGCTTCCAGGTGCTGACAAAGGCTGTGGGGATGAGCGAGTAGGGCACGGTGGTGATGCAGTTCCATGTGTCCGAAGTTGGGTCATAGCAGTCCAGGGTCTTACACCTCTGGGTCCCAAAGTAGCCACCCACCACATACAGCTTGTTGCCTGAAGCCAGGGCATGGCAGGACATGCGCTTGGCGGTCATGTCCCCAATCCGGGTCCACTGGTTGGTCTCAGAGTCAAAGCGGTAGGCAGAGGCAGCTGTGAATTCTGTGTCACCTCCCATGATGAAGATCTGGCTGCCCAGGACAGCGGCAGCTGTGTACCGCCAGGGCTGAGGGCACTCAGCCTTGATGGTCCACCGGTTCTCAGAGGGGTCATAGCACTGGACTTTGGACACCATGTCCCGGTGGATACTGGTCCCTCCGAAAACAAAGAGCTTCAGCTTGGCACTCACCACGGCCGCATTGCTAACACCATCCCTCAATGGGGCCACCATCGTCCACTTGTTGGCCCCAGGGTCGTATTTCTCCACTTGCTTCAGGGAGACAGATGGGGAGGCTGGGAAGACACCTGCCAGGGATGTGTGCCCGCCTACTACATAAAGACAGTTCTCCAGCTCAGCTGAGCCATGGCCAAAGCGGGCTATCAGCATGGGCGCCGCCTTGGACCACTCCTCATGGACAGTGTCATATACCCAAACGTCCTTGGAGACGCCATTCTCGGAGCCCCGCCCTCCAGTCACATAGACCTTGCATCCTATTGCCGAGGCACTGAACTCCTTCCGGGGACTGGGCAGGTCTGCCTTGGGGATGATCTCCTTGGCCTTGTGGTCCACCTGGTAGATCTTGTCACACATGAAGGTCTGGCCACCCAGGATGAGCAGTGTGTGGCCTGCCTTGCGCGGCCGGGCACAGGGACTGGTGACCACCCCGTCGTTCTGCAGGATCCTGGCCTTGCAGCGGAGTGCCTCGTCTATGATAAGCTTGGTACGCTCGTCCGCCATGAGGAGGGCCTCACCAGAGATGGCCTCCTTCAGGCAGTCGGAGGGCAGCAGAGCCAGCCGCACACTGCGCAGGAGCTCAGGCAGGTGGGCCTTGCGCTGCTCCAGGTCATGCTTCACCCACTGGAGAATGGCCTCGAAGACCACCCGCTCATCCTCAGTCTCCAGCTCGTCACTGGAGATGAGGTCCAGCAGCGTGTCCTTGGACAGGCTGTTGAAGTCCTCACTCTGTCGCACGGTCTCAAAGTGCACAAGGCACATACGCCAGGAGAGTTCGTAGAGCCGGCGGCACTGGTGGGCATCTGACAGCAGCATCATTCCCAGGCAGTTGGAGGGAAAGAGGTTCTTCTCCAGGAACTCAGCGGCCGCGTCCCGCACGTCATGGAACTGCAGCATGTCACCCGCCTCCAGCAGAGACTCTGCGTTCTCCTCATTGATGGCGATGCGGGAGGAGTAAGCAAAGTCCAGCAGTAGCTCCAACACCTCAGGGTGCAGGTTGTCGTGGAAGTTAACTGTGTCATCCCGGCTTTCCCGCAGGCCGTGGCTGAACATGGCCTCAAAGTAGCGGCTGGAGGCGGCCAGCACAGCACGGTGGCAGGGGAAGGCGCGATCGCCCGCAAAGAGGGTGACGTCGGTGAACATGCGGTGCTTGCGCAGCGTGTTGAGGTGGGCCAGCACGCAGTCGGGGTGGGAGGCCTTGTGGAATAGGGTGATGTTCATGGAGCCCGAGCTGCTCCGTGACTTGCGAGTCTCGTGGACACTGACTGACATGCTGCACAACCTGCAGGAGCAGCAGCACAGGTGAGAGGGCCCTCCTGCTGTGTGCCCTGTCCTCTCCCTAGTCTCCTCTGCTTGGCTCTGACACACCAAACCCTGTTTCCTGCTTTCTCAACCACATCCCTAAGAACAATACAGGCAAGAAGGGCTGGGCCTCCTGCCGCCTGGCAGGACCTGGTTTTGATCTCAGTTTGGACCAGCTCTGGGACACATGCACATCTTGGCCTGGAGATGAGCCACCGTGGGCAAGCTTGGGGCGGGGCTGCCATTGCTGACTTGGTTAAAGCTAAGGTCAGGGCAACGCTAAGCAGTGTGGACCCCTGATGGCACTGCACCCTCAGGACAGCCCTCTGGGGAGGCATCTCTTGAGATGTCACTCTGTACAGCAGAGGTAGCCAAGGCTCAGAGATGCAAAGAGCCACCCAAAGTGCCAGAGCCAGGATCCTACATGGCTGTCCATTTCTGAAGCCCAACCTCTGCCCTCCATTGGCCCAAGGAGACCCTGACTCCTGCTGTGGGGGAGGGGACTTTTGAATATGTTCCACAGGACCTGTGAATAGCAAAGCCTTCCACACCACCCTGCTCCCAGGAGGCCCATCCTAAGCAGCAGTGACCAGAGGCCCATCTTGCCCTAGGACAGACCCCCAAGTGTTCAGTGTAGACACATTCTCCAAACCCAGGGATCTCCAAAGCCCTCTTCACATAGCCAGGATAAGCAAGGGTTGGGGAAGTGACAGGCCCAGAGTGACAAAGGGACATCCTTAGGTAACACACCAATCCAGATTTGCCTTCACCAAAGCAGCAGGAACACTGGAGCCAACTGAAGCCTCCCTGGTCTCCCAGGCAGCTTCAAGACCCGGGGCCATAGTGCGCTGGTTTCCTGCCCCCCTTAATGCCCAGTGACACAGTATCCAGAGCAACTCTGCAACCACACAGACAGAGGTTTGTCACCTGCCTGAATCTGGGAGATTTCCAAAACACTTCAAAGATGAGTAGTTGCAATACCCAGTTTGATGCTGTGAAAATAGGACTCAGACAACTGGCAGCGAAAAGTAATAGGTCTCAAGAAATGCAGCCCCAACACCAATGGCATTCTAGTGCCCTTACCCCAAAGCCTGAGCTGCCTCCTTCCTGCTGTAATGGTTGTGGTGGTAGCTGGGGGGTAAGGGGGGCAACAAAGTTTTTCATTTTCAATTTTCAAAAGTAGGTAACTCCCACTGTCCCCATGCCCCCATCCCAAGTCAATTTTGTACTTAAGTATAATGTAGTAAAGGAAGGAAGAGATTTTATGCTTCAATGAAGTTGTAAATTAATGTCCAACTGCATTTTTCTCTCTCTCCTCCCTTGGCAAAAAACCAGAGCAGGCACAAATGAATGTGACCAGAACAGGATAGGAATAGGGCCTGGCCTTGCGGCTCAGCTCCCATTTCAGGGGGCCCACGGGCCAGGGACCTGTCAGCGACAAGGCTGTGTGAGCCTGTACTGGGCTCTGAGGTTAGGTGGCCAGTCCACTTGGGGGTGGGTTGAGGGCACTGGTTCAGATCATGCTGGGGTCCTCCTACCCCCCCCTCCACCCCAGGGTACCGCTCCCTTCCTCTGTACCTTGGCTTTCTCTCCTGCAGAATGAAATTCCTGCCATGATTCACTCACTGGTGGGCAATTATTTCCCAGACATGTCTTTCAAGCCAAGTCCTGGACTAGGGGCATCACAGAGACTGAGATCTAGTCAGAAGCTTTGCCAACAGCTAGGTCCGGATGGACGGGACTTGCTCAATCTGAATTCTGGACCCTGTATGTGCTGCCCCAAATCTTGCTGTGATTGGTAAATCCTCACTTCAGCTTCTGCCCCGTTAGTTACTGGATACTTCCCCAAAGTGACCATTCACCCAGTGGCTCAGGTCCATCCCTCCCTGCCCCACAGAACCAGGCCATTTATGAGGGACTCTAATTCAAGCCCTCCCCCTCAGAGGGTGGGAACTTCACAGTTGCCCACAGGGCCTGGCCCTGGGCTGCTGGTGAGGAAGCTCCTTGCTTTCCCCACAGCCAGGTTGGTTAACACTGTGGTATGGGTGATATATTCCCCACCTCCCCACCCCCTCATGGTCCCAGGTGCATGTTCCTGAGGCTCTTGCTCCTGAGACAGCTGGTCAAAAGTGGGAAGTCAGGGCTAGGCACTGCCTTTGTGCTGGGTGCTGGGTTCACAGGCTGCACATGAGGGCACCCAGGTGGAGACCCGTGTGGAGTACCCATGTGGAGGGTTTCTGGGCAGGACACAGCAAGGCTCAAAAGACAGAGAAAGCACCAAAAAGTGCCATGCTAGGGCAGATTCTGGCACAGCAGCCACAACGGCCCTGAGAAGGATGAAAAGCAGTGACTTCTCCAGGGCCAAGGCCAAGCGGGCAGCCCAGGGCCCCAGAGTCCCCTGGCTCCTGCTAAACTCATGCCCCAAGAACGCATGCCCTACGACACAAATGGCAGTAATTCACACAGGACTGAGCATGTTCTGCCCCCGCCAGCCTGAGGCTCCTCTGTGCCAAAGCAGCAAAGGCACCTGCCTGGCTATTTCTCCAGCTCATCCTCCCTCCCATGAACAGCACCTGCCTCTAAGAACTCTTGCAACAACAATGGCTGTTCCCTCCCTCACAGGCCTGCCATGCCCTGGTGAGGCAGTGAACCTGGTTGACAGATGAGGATGCTAAGGCCCAAGCACAGTCCTGATTGCCAATTTGTGCTGTCTCTTTGATGCCCTGGGGGTCCAGGACAGTGGGGAACATATGCAGTGCTCACTGATGTGACCTCAATACCTGGAATGGATCCTGGACAGTGGTCCCTCGATTTGAAGGAATGGGCCCATTTGTCCCTTCCTCTGCTGGTGACAAAGTCCCGAGCACACACAGCACACCACACTCACTTCACAAACCATCCAAACTGACTGCGTGCCAGTCACTTTCCACACCACAGGAGAGAAAGTCCAAGATGGCGCTGAACGCTGCCCAGACAGCTCACTCCCAGGGGTACAGGGTGGACATTCGGTTTCACTGAGCCAGCATACCTCTCCTGGCACTAGGCCCCAGTAGCACACTGCCCACAGCCCCAGGGACTGGGCGCCAAGCCTGGCCAAGCAGCCTGCGCCATCCTGCAGGCGAGGTAGGCCACACTCCAGACAGCTGAAAGGCTCTGTGCTAAGACATTTGTCGGAGCTTCTATCCTCCTCCCAGGATGCTGAAGGTACAAGATCAGGTCTGAAGCAGGGAAGGCAGAACAGAGACCGTCATTCCTGCAGAGCCTAAAGCCAGTCTGCTCCTGAATCTGCCTGCTGTCGCTGGCCAACAAGAAAGAGCTCTGAATGAGCTCTGAGAACTCATGGAGACACTGGTGTCCTGAACCAGATGTCAGGGGCTGCTTGCCTTGATAAAGGATCCCTCCTGTGTGGCCCTCTATCCTGTTCACCTTTAGGGGGCCCACCCCAGCACCACGAGGTGCTCTTAGGAGATAATTTTCTGTTGCTCAAGATCATTGTGTTCATCCCAGTTTCCTATAGCAAGCCTGGCAAGCATCCAAGAGGGTAAAAACCTTCCCCAAGCATACTCTTGCCTTGGGGACACAGGCAGTCCCACATGCTCAGTGGGGCTCAGCACAATTTTGATTACCTAAGCGGTGTCCCAGGCTTTGATGGATTAAAGGAGCAAAATATAACCACACAACATTGCAGTACCACAGACTGGCAATTTATCATCCTCTAAGAGGGGATAATCACCTTGGACACTGCATCCCCGCCCCGCCCCGCCCCGCTGAGCCCGGCAGTCCCCACCCACAGAGACGCTGTTAAAATGCAGCAAGTGACGCCACAGCTTTTGCTCAGCATCCTTGGAAAGCTACACAGATGCACAAGGAAACAAAGAAACCCAAATGGAGGAGGAAACAAAGTAACCAAGGGGGAAAACCTGAGGAACATGTGCCACTTGGGTCCTGAAGGAAAACTAGGGGCTTCCATTCCAAGGGGAAAGCGAAACACAAGGCCAGGAAAGCCACCACTTGGGTGCCACTCTCTGCAAGGCCTGGCTCCACTGGGCTCCAGCACTGCCCGCCTCTCCTCCTCCACCTGACAGAGGCTGGTGAACAGCAAAGTGAGGGTGTGAGCTCTGGCTTTTTATTTTGTATTTTTCTGAAACAGGGTCTCTCTGAAAACTGGTCTCTAGACCAGGCTGACTTCAAACTTGCCCTTCTCCTGCCTTAGCTTCCTGAGTGCTGAGATTACAGATGTGTACCACCAATGTGGTTTGGATTAATTTTTTTTTGTATGGTCTGTACATGGGAGGCACTGAGCTACACTCCCAGCCCACATTCTTCACTGGAAGCCAGGAGGAGCAAGAGAAGTACACCACTCTGTTGGTCAGCTCTCTTGCTTCTGGGTGGTTCCTAGGTGTGAATGGCTCGGGGTCACTTCAGGAGCCTAGGCCAACCATGTGGCCCCTTAGTACAAACTAGAAAGCAGGGTCCCTCTTCCTGACTGGGCACCTGCCAGTCTTGGGTCCAGGCATAAGCCTTGGAGAGGAACACATAGCTGGTTTTCAGCCACACCAGGATGCACAGTGGTTCCTGGTCCCTGGTAGGGGCCAGCATCCATCATGAGGCAGAGCCTGCCCTGCTGGCACTGAATGAGCAGGAGCAGGATTCCAACAGGTGAAGCTTCAAGGAACCCCGTGTATGCCTCACCAGATCCTAAGCCCTCTTCCATCACTTCCATTTGACTGATAAAGCAACGGAGGTTCACGGTTACCTCCTGGAACTCCCGCCTGACTAACTAAGCTCCTAATTCCTCTGCTACCCTGAGAGGGAAGGGGGTAGGGGTATATTTCGAGAGCAGGTAGAGGAAAGAAGTAGAATGATAGTTGTCTCCCCCACCCACTCCCTCTGGAAGCCACCACCAGCCCGCCCCTCTCCTGATAGCTGGCAGTACAGTCCAGGATGCAAGCTGTGGCCAGGCCAGGAGGTCCTCTGCCT